CTCGCCAGAATTGGTCAAGGCGAAAAGCTAAGCCTAAGCCTAAGCCTAAGCCTAAGCCCAAGCCTAAGCCTAAGCCTAAGCCTAAGCCTAAAGCCCTAAGCCTAAGCCTAGGCCTAAGCCTAAGCCTAAGCCTAAGCCTAAGCCTAAGCCTAAGCCTAAGCCTAAGCCTAAGCCTACAAGCCTAAGCCTAAGCCTAGGCCTAAGCTAAGCCTAAGCCTAAGCCTAAGCCTAAGCCTAGGCCTAAGCCTAAGCCCATAAGCTTAAGCCTAAGCCTAAGCCTAAGCCTAAGCCTAAGCCTAAGCCTAAGCCTAAGCCTAAGCGCCTAAGCCTAAGCCTAAGCCTAAGCCTAAGCCTAAGCCTAAGCCTAAGCCTAAGCCTAAGCCTAAGCATAAGCTAAGCCTAGGCTAAGCCTAAGCCTAAGCCTAAGCCTAAGCCTAAGCCTAAGCCTAAGCCTAAGCCTAAGCCTAAGCTAAGCCTAAGCCTAAGCCTAAGCCTAAGCCTAAGCCTAAGCCTAAGCCTAAGCCTAAGCCTAAGCCTAAAGCCTAAGCCTAAGCCTAAGCCTAAGCCTAAGCCTAAGCCTAAAGCCTAAGCCTAAGCCTAAGCTCAAGCCTAAGCCTAAGCTAAGCCTAAGCCTAAGCCTAAGCCTAAGCCTAAGCCTAAGCCTAAGCCTAAGCCTAAGCCTAAGCCTAAGCCTAAGCCTAAGCCTAAGCCTAAGCCTAAGCCTAAGCCTAGCCTAAGCCTAAGCCTAAGCCTAAGCCTAAGCCTAAGCCTAAGCCTAAGCCTAAGCCAAAGCCTAAGCCTAAGCCTAAGCCTAAGCCTAAGCCTAAGCCTAAGCCTAAGCTAAGCCTAAAGCCTAAGCCTAAGCCTAAGCCTAAGCTAAGCCTAAGCCTAAGCCTAAGCCTAAGCCTAAGCCTAAGCTTAAGCCTAAGCCTAAGCCTAAGCTAAAGCCTAAGCCTAAGCCTAAGCCAAAGCCCAAGCCTAAGCCTAAGCCTAAGCTAAGCCTAAGCTAAGCTAAAGCCTAAGCCTAAGCCTAAGCCTAAGCCTAAGCCTAAGCCTAAGCCTAAGCCTAAGCCTAAGCCTAAGCCTAAGCCTAAGCCTAAGCCTAAGCCTAAGCCTAAGCCTAAGCCTAAGCCTAAGCCTAAGCCTAAGCCTAAGCCTAAGCTACAAGCCTAAGCCTAAGCCTAAGCCTAAGCAATAAGCCTAAGCCTAAGCCTAAGCCTAAGCCTAAGCCTAAGCTAAGCCTAAGCCTAAGCCTAAGCCTAAGCCTAAGCCTAAGCCTAAGCCTAAGCCTAAGCTAAGCCTAAGCCTAAGCCTAAGCCTAAGCCTAAGCCTAAGCCTAAGCCTAAGACTAAGCCTAAGCCTAAGCCTAAGCCTAAGCCTAAGCCTAAGCACTAAGCACAAGCCTAAGCCTAAGCCTAAGCCTAAGCTAAGCCTAAGCCTAAGCCTAAGCCTAAGCCTAAGCCTAAGCCTAAGCCTAAGCCTAAGCCTAAGCCTAAGCCTAAGCTAAGCCTAAGCCTAAGCCTAAGCCTAAGCCTAAGCCTAAGCCTAAGCCTAAGCCTAAGCCTAAGCCTAAAGCCTAAGCTACAAGCCTAAGCTAAGCCTAAGCCTAAGCCTAAGCCTAAGCCTAGGCTAAGCCTAAGCCTAAGCCTAAGCCTAAGCATAAGCCTAAGCCTAAGCCTAAGCCTAAGCTAAGCCTAAGCCTAAGCCTAAGCCTAAGCCTAAGCCTAAGCTAAGCCTAAGCCTAAGCCTAAGCCTAAGCCTAAGCCTAAGCATAAGCCTAAGCTAAGCCTAAGCCTAAGCCTAAGCCTAAGCTAAGCTAAGCCTAAGCCTAAGCCTAAGCCTAAGCCTAAGCCTAAGCCTAAGCCTAAGCCTAAGCCTAAGCCTAAGCCTAAGCCTAAGCTAAGCCTAAGCCTAAGCCTAAGCCTAAGCCTAAGCCTAAGCCTAAGCCTAAGCCTAAGCCTAAGCCTAAGCTAAGCCTAAGCCTAAGCCTAAGCTACAAGCCTAAGCCTAAGCCTAAGCCTAAGCTAAGCCTAAGCCTAAGCCTAAGCCTAAGCCTAAGCCTAAGCTAAGCCTAAGCCTAAGCACAAGCCTAAGCCTAAGCCTAAGCCTAAGCCTAAGCCTAAGCCTAAGCCTAAGCCTAAGCCTAAGCCTAAGCCTAAGCCTAAGCCTAAGCATAAGCCTAAGCTAAGCCTAAGCCTAAGCCTAAGCTAAGCCTAAGCCTAAGCCTAGGCTAAGCCTAAGCCTAAGCCTAAGCCTAAGCCTAAGCCTAAGCCTAAGCTAAGCCTAAGCCTAAGCCTAAGCCTAAGCCTAAGCTAAGCCTAAGCCTAAGCCTAAGCTAAGCCTAAGCCTAAGCCTAAGCCTAAGCCTAAGCCTAAGCAAAACTAAGCCTAAGCCTAAGCCTAAGCCTAAGCCTAAGCTAAGCCTAAGCATAAGCCTAAGCCTAAGCCTAAGCCTAAGCCTAAGCACAAGCCTAAGCCTAAGCCTAAGCCTAAGCCTAAGCCTAAGCCTAAGCCTAAGCCTAAGCCTAAGCACAAGCCTAAGCCTAAGCCTAAGCCTAAGCCTAAGCCTAAGCCTAAAGCCTAAGCCTAAGCCTAAGCCTAAGCACAAGCCTAAGCCTAAGCCTAAGCCTAAGCTAAGCCTAAGCCTAAGCCTAAGCCTAAGCACAAGCCTAAGCCTAAGCCTAAGCCTAAGCCTAAGCCTAAGCCTAAGCCTAAGCCTAAGCCTAAGCCTAAGCCTAAGCCTAGCTTCTAAGCCTAAGCCTAAGCCTAAGCCTAAGCTAAAGCCTAAGCCTAAGCCTAAGCCTAAGCTAAGCCTAAGCCTAAGCCTAAGCTAAGCCTAAGCTCAAGCCTAAGCCTAGGCTAAGCCTAAGCTAAGCCTAAGCCTAAGCCTAAGCTGCCTAAGCCTAAGCCTAAGCCTAAGCCTAAGCCTAAGCCTAAGCCTAAGCCTAAGCCTAAGCCTAAGCCTAAGCCTAAGCCTAAGCCTAAGCCTAAGCCTAAGCCTAAGCCTCGAGAGTCTCTTCAAGCGGATCAGTTATCGTAGCATTAAGGACTAGTGTTACTACAGGGTGGCCAGAAAAAAAAAGTGCCTGGTTTGCACTGAAATATCTCACTAACGGAAACGAATCGGACCATCGTTACCTTGCCAGAATGCTTAAATATGCTGGGTATGAAGAATAAACACAAGTTGTTTTTTAAGATTTTTGACGACCCCCTACTCGTTAAGAATTTTTGAACATTTTTGAAAAAGTAGTAAACTTTGAAGAGGAAAATCATGGACCTTTTGATGAGTTAGGGGGACATGAAGGGTATCAAAATGAAGCTCTCGGAGTGCGCTATCAAACCAGTGGCAAAGAATATTGATCGGTTTAACTAGCCGTCAATAGGAGCGTTCGGAAAATCGGCACTTTTTGCGGGAATAATTCCAGATAAAATTTCTTTACCATCCGATCTTTCTGATATTTTGCATTTAGCATTGGATAAATAACTATTAAATTTCGGCGTCATGGTTTTGAAAATCCCGAACAAAAAAATTTTGGCACTTTGCCAAGTCGACGGAATTTGTGACTTCTACGCTCCTATAGTTTAGAATGTGACATATCTATCTTTGGCAAGCATTATTGCATGTAGCAAGTACAAAAAGTTATGGCGACAAGGTGCTTTTTATCGTCAATTGGGAATCGCCCCTTCTGGAAAAACGCCGGTTTTCCGAACGCTCCTATTGACGGCTAGTTAAACCGATCAATATTCTTTGCCACTGGTTTGATAGCGCACTCCGAGTGCTTCATTTTGATACCCTTCATGTCCCCCTAACTCATCAAAAGGTCCATGATTTTCCTCTTCAAAGTTTACTACTTTTCCAAAAATGTTCAAAAATTCTTAACGAGTAGGGGGTCGTCAAAAATCTTAAAAAACAACTTGTGTTTATTCTTCATACCCAGCATATTTAAGCATTCTGGCAAGGTAACGATGGTCCGATTCGTTTCCGTTAGTGAGATATTTCAGTGCAAACCAGGCACTTTTTTTTCTGGCCACCCTGTACATACTAGGAATCTGCAGTGTGTCCCAAAAAAGCACCCCTCAAGGATTCGGCCGTAATACATCCGATCGGTCCCAAAATTGGACCAAAGGTGTATCAAACCCTAAATAACCATAATCCTGAGTTATAGCCCACCAGCTACAATAGTTTTCGAGATACAAAAAATAAACTTTATAATGCGTTTTTCACACGGTTTCCGTCGGAGTCGACCCCCAGAATATTAAGTGAATGAGGCTTCTTTACGCTTAGAAATTTTTCCCTGGCGAAAATTTAACGAAATAAACGCTTTAACAAGCAAAAATCGACCCGGACCATCAGCGAAATGAGGGATTCCGAGCCAGAATCCGATGCAAGTCGATGCAAAGTCCAAAAAGATGGCCGATAGACTGTTAAACGTCGCATAGAAAACACAATTTTGGCAATAACTCGAGAATCACTGTAGCATCCGGGATATAAATCAGGATTGTGGTGATTTAGGGTTTGATGCACCTGTGGTCCAATTTTGGGACCGGTCGGATGTAATACGGCCAAATGCCGGAGGCGTTCTTTTTTGGGACACCCTGTAAATAGCGATGGAAATCGTTAGAAAATTATTAGAAAGGGTTTCATATAGCAGTGATCCCGTTGATGGTCTGCAAATTGCACGCCAGGAAAGGAAACACCCCTGCTACCTTTAACTGTGATATAATTTGATCAGCTTTGATCCGCCTTTCTTGAAAAATCCCGATTTTTGCTGTTTTTATGATGACTTTCACACTGTTCCCTGAGAAATATTTTCCCACAAATCACTCCACCCATACTGATTTCCCAGAGAAAAACCGCGGGATTGCCTCGTCTTACTCCGTTGCACCCGAGCAGCAATTTCTTATCGCGCATTTTGATCGGTGCCCCCCGTGAAATCGTATAAATACTCGGCGTGTTCTCACTATGACCCACGCTATTCCCCCAGCAATCTTCGCCTCAAAATGCCGCACTACAAGTTGACATATTTTGCGGGACGCGGCAAGGGTGGGTCACTAGCAATACAAGAGACCGATAGCTTCAAAAGTTGTCTTCCAGAAATGCGACTTCAATGTCGAATTAATACCAGTTTTTGTTCTTCTAAATATGAAATACACTAAATTGCACTTACAGCTGAGGGAATTCGTCAGACACTCGTCCTGGCGGGTATCGACTTTGAAGATGTCCGGGTGACCCATGGTACTCCCGACTGGCCGAACCTGAAGCCCAGTAAGTCTAAAACAGTTGTGCTAAAGCATAGAAAATGTTCAGATACGCCGTTTGGGCAGATCCCAGTGCTGGAGGTCGATGGAAAAATGCTCTCCCAAGCCAATGCCATCAACAAATACATTGCCGGTTTGCATGGTAAGAACAGACAGTGGTATATCCCTCCTTTAAAAATGTCCTGAGCTATTTGGCCGCAAAGTGATGCTAGTCGCTGGCAGAAGTATAAAAAGAGCTATTTACCTTAGTGACGCCTTTTAAGGCCTGAACGGCTCGAATGCGTGGGAGGCCGCTGAGTTGGACGGCATTGGTATACACTATGATGACCTCTTCAACTCTTGCCGCCCCTTCTACATGACAATGCTGAAGCTGCTCCCTGGAGATTTGGTTTGGTTTCTATGCCAAAGACAGAACAAAGTCTTTCAGAATGAAGCTTACAAGAACAGCGTCACCAAGGGGCGCGACGCATTCTTCCCGGCTGTTATCAAAACGCATCCACCAAATCCCGGCCATCAAGAAATGGATCGAAACGCGCCCCGACACGCCAATTTAAGACCTCAAATGAATTTTTTTGACCAGCATTTGCGCGACAAGGTATACAATAGCTCAAAACGACCACAAAAACACGAAAAACCACGAGTTGTTCCTTGACGGCAAAGAGTTGCTCCTTAAAGGGATAGGGACAGCATAAGTCAACCGATTACGCGCGGGAACGAAAATGTTAAAAAAGACGAAAACCACAAAAAAAGATGACAACCCGAGACTGTAGCTTAAAAATGGTATTGTACCGAGGCTTCCCATAACGTGTGAATTGGTTGCCCCTTAAAAAGTCAGAGGATTGGAGTGTGGTAGATGCAGATACCGATATTTATTAGGCTGTACCATTTTTATCGTTAGATATACAGATTTACCAAAATCGAGGATAAAATATGGAGCCAATCAATCCAAGCCGACCATGTAGGTGAAGCAGGGATGGGTGGGGGTGTCGCGTACGAAATGGACAGCCTCCGGGTGGAACACTACCTGCAAAAATCGTCTTAACTTTTTTTGTTCCAAGACCGCTCAACTCGTGCCTTTTTAAGGCGTATTTATACTTAAGAAAAGGCCAAGACCTCATTGTTCCAGAGTTTAGAAAGTCGGGGTCCAACATACCTGAAGGCCATTGCCCCACTTGATGGCGAGCACCATCTGCGGCTTTATCCCGCCACTCGACGTCTTCTCGCTCACATAGCCGGCAAGACGTTCGGCGGTCCACGGAATCCCTTGCTGATACGACCCCTGATTCCAGACGGTTCGCGACCCGCAATTCCGAGGGATATCGCCGATACGGCGAATGATGCAGTCGCGCATCGACTTTTGGTCGCACCCGCTGCGGAAGACGACGTAGTTGTGGTCATTGTAGCGCCATTCGAAGAAGGCCCTATCCGGGTTATGGTAGATGCAATGGTTGTCGAAACCCGAACATCCGTTGTAGATCGCCACCACCCATTGGTTCGAGAATTTGCGGCTGAAAATTTACTAGTTTTTATCTATTTTTCAGGAAAATCGATACTACCCGGATTCCGAAGCACCAATTTCCAAAACTTTCAAGCTCTCGAGAACAAGATGTGATATTTCCGAAATACCTTATCCCTTGAGAACAATATTGTCAACGCTTGTCAAAATCCAAAGTTAGTCTAAGGCTGTAAGCTCTAAGCCAAAAAGCTGAAAAAATGTCGTCCACCCACCGTAGTTTATCGAAAACACGCCGGGCAATCTCGTCGTTACCTCCTCCGGCGTCGATTTCCCGTTGTACGACCCGCCGCGCCGAGTCCGGCCAATATCCGTCTAACAACCGAGCCTCGGCCCCCATCTGGCGCCCGATCTTTCGTTCCACTTCCAGAAGTTCGTTGAACTGCCTTTGCTGCTCTCCCTCATTCTGAATTCCATTTTCTGACCCCTTTAAAAGAGCCAAATATGTGGAAACGGAAACCTCCGCTACGGAAACGCACCTGGAAAGCTGCGTAATTGGCGACGAGAATGTCTAAGCAGCCGAGCTGTTGCAGGATCTTCGCCTAAAAGGATAAATACGCTCTATGCTTTAAACCGCTAAAAACAATAAGAATACATAATATTCTTATTAGAGAAAGAAACGGCTTAGCACTGTTGGCTCAGCACGTTTACTCGAACTCGGCTGGCAGGAGCTGAAAGAATACCTCAAAAGCATGGTAGGCCGGGAAATCGTAGTCAGAAGCGACCATAAATGAGCGCATAATTGACTGATCGCCGGTGATTCTACTCAATATTCGATTCGCCAGTTCGACCGGTGGCATCGATTGGCACCAAGAGCGGAAGACATTCTCCGTATCCCCGTTCCTCGACGTCAGCATCCGATTCAGGTTGTATAGGCCCAAATTAATGTGGTCGCTGATCGACATCTACAAAATGAAAGCCGGTGCTAATGTAATCCTAATCACAATCATGCTGTTTTTAAACTCTAAGCCTCTGGAAAAGCGAAGCCTAAACCCCGCCTTACTCAGGTCCGTGCATCCACCCGAAATCCACCCGGATCGCTGCCGGAATTCCGATCACGTCCGACAACCGGTGAAAATCGATCGGATGTCGATTGGAAACCGGGTGGATTCCCATCAGATTACGGGCGAACAGGTGGAATCCGATCGGTGTCAACCCGGCTTCCAATCGAAATCCGGTCGATTTCCACCTGCTCTCGGACGCGATCGGAATTCCGGCAGCAATCTGGGTGGATTTCGGGTGGATGCACGGACCTGAGTTAGCATTATAGAATCGGATCCTAAACCTAGCTGAGGCACTGCCAAGCTTGGCTGTAAGCTAAAAACGGGGGGCCTCAAATTTTAATCCATGGCAAAATATTTCAAACGCGATAAAAATACTCGAAAATCAGCGACATTTCAAAACTTTTCTAATAGATGTTTGATTATTTTGATTCTCTATAAATCACTTGATAATGCGCAAATTTTATCACGATAAACCGATTGGATTCCCGTATCTGGAAGACACACCTGGAAGGAATTGTAGTCGACCTTGTAGGCGAGCTGCCCGAAGGACTCCCTGATGACGCCGATCATCCGGTCGACCTCGGTGCGTATTTGTTGTTGAATGGCGGCAAGCTGGGCCTTCACCGGGTCCGGCGAACCGGCAAGTGCCAGGATGGCGTTGATAACGGTGGCGGCTCCGCAGATCCCTTGGAATGCCTTGAGCTTGTCGTTGCCGAGGGCTTGAATCAGGGTGTGGAGACCCTGCGAGGCTTGCTGGATCGTCGATGTAGACTTGCGCACGACAGCAAGCACCTGAGCAGCGCAAAAATTGTACGCAAATTTGATGACATCAACAATGATTCTTTGAACAACGACATCAAGAAGGTTCTCGTTACGGTTGGCAAATCTTACCTCGTCCGTTGTAGTTTTCGATCCCAGTTTAACATCGAGGGTGGCGAAGCCGAAATTCTGTCGACCCATCCTGAGTCCGGAAATGAATTGAAATAAAAGAGGAAGAAAAAGAAGAATAGTTGAAAAGCCTTTGGAAGACAAAAGACGCCAGATGATCGAGGGGGAGGCCGGATCCCTTCCGCAGCTCATTTCGCCCACTACCGGCCCATTTTTAAAGGCGGCAAACGAGGACAAATATTGCGCAACCATTTGGGGAAAGCAAGGAAAATCGGTGCCCCCCCCCCCGGCACATGTGAGTAAATAAAGGTGAGTATCATCCGGGGATACATGATTTGCACGTTCCGACATCAACGAGGGTGGATGGGTACTCATCTGTTTGCGCGGGGGGGACGCAATTTTGCTTATTTAGGCCTTAGAAGCCCCTAATTTCAAAAAAGTCTGAAATTTCAAGATTTAAAAATGCCGAGATTTCAGATGCGCTGTCTGATACCTTTCCTTCCTTTCTCGGATAAAATTTATTGACCAGAATGTAATGTATAACGCATACAACAGCACAAACAAGCAGAAAAACACGAAAATGAGTCATTTCTTGGCGGCAAGCAATTGTTTCTTCAGCTCCTCGATGTCATCCTTCAAGATCTTGTTCTCCGTGCTCATCTCGCCAATATGAGCGTAAAGCTGAAAAAAAAGTGCGAAGAAATAGTGTTATTGCATCAGTGGCTCAAGAATTCTGGTTTTTAACAAACGTAGGTTACCTTTTGTTGTTTTTCATTCATTGCGACGTTGTCGGCCGTCTTTGTCTCCAGCTCCTTCCGCAACTAGAATTTAAGTATAGAAAACCCATTTCTGTGAAGCCATACCATCTCCCGTTTCTCATTCAACCCGTTAATGATGGCTGCCTTCGACACGAGTTCCCTTCGAAACGCCTCATTCTGTTTCTCAGCCTCGTTCTAAAATCCGAATTCCACGCAAAACGCCAAGGGCTGACCAGCTTTTCCATCAATTTCTTATTGGCCGTCGCTTTTTCTTCCAATTCGGCCTTGACCTGCTCCAATTCTTCGATCAGACGGTGGTCCTAAAAAATTGAAAAAATTGGTATTGTAAATTGATAGTTACCATAATGCCATCGATCAGGCTTTCTTCCGATTGCGGGTCGAAATACACAGAATCGTCGATGGGGGAGACGTCTGAAAAAGAGTATGTAAGTAAGAGTACCATCTAGCCTCAGTTTTTGCTCCAAAATCCTACCCAACGGTTCCTGCTTGACATGTGCTTGCGGCTGGGGGCTGGAGTTGCTTGACGACGCCTGCGCCAAAAGTTGCGCAATATCTGGCTTGACGTCATCCTATAGAAGCAAGATTCTACACATATCTACAAACAAAACGTACTTCATTTTCCACGTCGTCAGGCTCATCCATCTCCTCATCCGTCTGCTGCTCCAGGAGTTCCGGGTCCTCGTCATCGTCTGCCATTTCTTCCTCCAATGCGCTCTTTTCCGGCTTCACATCGGGGCTTTCGGGTATCTAAAATTGCAGATTAAAACATAACACGAGATACATCATAAAACGTCCTTATAACTAAAAAAACCTGTACTTACAGTAAAACCATTTTCCATCGCCTGCCCCACGCTTTCGCTAATTGTCTTGATCATTGCCGCCGAAATCTCCGTGAAGTAATTGCCATCTACGATCTGGAATAGCATGATCAAACAAGGTTCTTTTAGTGGAAGGTCAGAAACGCTAGATCAAATACTAACCTCACAGGATTCATCTTCTCCATTGCCCTCCTCCGCTTCCAAGTCGATGACTTGGCGAACTTTTCGGCCGGGCTTTAGCTTCTGTCCGTAGATGTTCACCAACTTCTCATCCACGGCAAAAAAAGGCGGCAGTCTTCTCGCGGACCTCATCATAGAAGTTGGATGTGCTGAAAACAACAAGGATTACTCTCAAATCGTTCAAAATCGTAATGTCGAGTTGTATAATGTCAAAATCGCAGAATGTCGAATATTACATAAAGACCTCCCGCAAAACTTCTCAAATGCGATCCAAAAAATTGGCATATCGACCTTTCGACATTATAAAATCTCTAGATTATGCAATTTCGATCTTCTGATAGCACATCAAAAAAGCGCTTTCAATTAGCCCCTCTCAAAAGCCGTTTAGAAACGAACCTTTCATCAACCATAGACGCACCACAGCAATGTTCATCGACGCGGCGACGCTTCAGCTCGAACCGATCGTGCGTTTCGAAATTGCAAGCTGAAAATAGAATACTAGCCGAAAAGTGGTCACTTTTGGGTCAGCAGGTTTCGACAATTTTGCTGCTAAAATTCACTAAAAATCCCGATTTCAGGGATCTTATCGTAAATGGCGTACAAAGAATAGCTTAAATCCTTGTTCATTTTTGCCTGAATTCTATGGTCGAAATCCGTGAAAATTGGCAAACTAAGGCCAAATTCGGCCTTCGGCAAGATAAAACAAAAACATACAGGAACAACGGTACGGCTTGAATTCCATATGAGACATTGTGTGTTTGATGATACGAGCTGACGTCGTGATGGGCGATTTCCCGGCATAGATCAGTTGATTGCAGCGCTGAAATCAAGTCGTCACGAGCTTTATTTAATTGGATACCTTGCATTGCAATGCCGTTCCCAGTTCTTCATCAGCTACTGACGAAGTGCCGGGTTTTGAGCGGAGGCGGTTGATCGCCTTGTCCACCAATGCCGCGTCGATGATGAAGTTTGCCAGCGTCATATTCCTCCATTTAACGCAGTATTCATCCGTGCTAAAACAAATAACGTAAAAAAATAATCGAAACTTTCGGCGAGCAATTCCCCCCTCCCCCATTATCCTAGGTGGTTTTAGAGAACAATCGTGGATAAAAAAGTTTGTAATTAGGTTATTTTTTGGTGTAATTAATTCGATGAGTATATTTTTCGACGCTCCATCGAATGGTATTTGCAAAATACTACCGCTTGCCGGTGCCGACACGCGACGCCTGCCCATATAAAAACTTACAAGGCGTGGATGAGGAAGCCCTCCCCTTGATGCTCACGTCGCAAATGCCTTTTCATCCACGCTTTATCGCGGCAGCAGCACGTACATTCTACAAACGGGAAACAGTTGATGGCAGCCAAAATCACTTACTAGAGCAACGATATGGCTTATAGTTGATATGGGTGGCGACGTGGTCGAGAATGTTGGACACTCGACGGGCCGTTATCGGAGTCGCCAAAGTTCGTAGGCATTTCTGAAAAGGACCTTAGGAAAATTGTAAATAAAGAATACCCTGCACGTATTCTCCCCAAATGGGGTGCCAATCTCAGTCGGTTCGTCGAGACTTTCGGCCTGTGCCGCCTGTCGATCGATCACAATTTCACAATCCTCCGCCTGATCCGGGAAGCAGTTCTTGGTGACCGTCTTCAACTCGTAGATAAACTCCGGCGAACTAAAGGAGTATTTTATCGCCTAAGGTAAAGAAATCGATACCTATGCTTGACGACGATACCATGGTTCTCATGGCAAATTTGTTGATGTTGTCTGACGCACTTCATCGTCTTGGCCGTAAATGAACAGTCTGAAAAGGGAATGAGGTTATTGTAATCTTGCCAGGTATATAAGAATTGGGCCTGTGGTGGCTTTTCGAAAATAGAACGTAGCATACGATACTCCGAATCTGCTTTCAAATTTTGTCAGAGCCCGATTCCAAAAGTTACGGCCTTTTCATGTCATATTTTTAGACGTCGAAAAAACGACGTCGTATCGTGAAGATATTCATTTTATAAAATCAACGGAGAAGATCAAGGTAATGGTCATTCAGCTCCATATTTTTAAAAAATAACTTTAAGATCGCTATGGCTTTTTTGGCCGGGCTATTTGGTAAAAAACCAAACAAGACCCGGAACCAGCAAGAATTTCTGCACAAGATACGCTGGGTTCGATCCCAAAACAAGACCCTGGTTCCTTTGTAACTTCAAAACAATCGACTGCTTACCCGAACACCCATACGGTTTTGATTTGAGGTGCAAGTTTGCATGGTTGATAAGCTTCTGCAGCGTCTCGGTAAGTTTTAGAGCTCGGACGAAGGGCCGAGAACAAATCTGGAAACAGAAAATTTTTCATCTCGGAAATGTTTTACCTCGCATTTGATTGTCCGCGTCAGGTCGATCAACGATTTCGGGCGTGTTTGTTCCCCATTTTGTATTTGCTAAACGGAAGATGAATATTTGAATTTCTACGAACCTTCACTTCAGCCGCAGAACGGGTGACTGTTGGCTCTGCGAAGAAATCCTTGATAATTGCATCGGCGTCCAGCGGGAAATTCTTGATGCACATTTCCTTCAAGGTCTCCGAATAGTGGCTGGCACTAAAACGGGATTGGGGCTGATTTTGGAAAGTTCTTACGAGAGATGTTGCACTTGTGCATTGCCATTGTGGGCCTGGATGTTGTGGGCGCGCATGATCGTGCTCGTCTTTGCCAACACACCACAGGCTGAAAGAAAAATGAAACGTTATTCGATGTCGATGTAGGTGTTTCTTAGACGCCAGTAAAACCGACCCGAACAGGCGAATGGTTGTTGGCGCATATGCTGTCGAGAATGGTTGACCAATGCATGAGACACCTGATCCGGTTGCGCGACGACTTCCTGGCTACATTGCTGCAAAAAAATGGAGTAAATACTATTAAGAAAGACTGCCTTACCGCACATTTATGCAGCGACGGTGGAGGCACGGAAATAGTTTTATATTGGAGATATGCGGGAGGAGAAGAGCTGCTGGCCGCTCTTTCTGCATCAGCTTTAGTAGCTGGCCCTTCGTTCGCTGCACGATGCGCAGGGACCTTTGGCACTTCCGGTGGCGGGGGACGATTGAGGGCAACGGTATGGGATGCCGGGTGATGTGATGGAGGAACGATACGGCGATGTGGCGGTGGGCAGATTCGGTTGAACGAAACGTGGTAGGGCGGCCGATAGGCTTCGTATCGACTTGGAGCGGTTTGGACCGCCGGCGTTCCGATCATGTCCCCCGGGAAGCGTCGCTTTCTGGTCATTCCAACGGCCGTCGGCGCAAGTTTCTAAAAAAAATATAGTCTCTTTCACCTTTTTTTTCGATCTCGTTACTAGCTTTTGTCAATAAAAAACAATCATCTACTAGAGTGGCAATTGTAAAATTAAAAAGTCAGACCCAAAAAGCCGTTTTTAATTCTGATACGCGTTTCGACTATGTTTTTGCGGGCGAATTTTGAGTATTTTGCCGAAAAGTGATCATTTTTGGTTTTGGACATAAAAGTGGCAAAAAAATTCCGATTTTAACGGTATTTTCGTATCAATCAGTTCGCCAGATAGAGAAGAGTGCCCTATGCATTTTTGCTAAACATTTCGAGTCGAAATCCGTCAAATTCTCGGTGAAACCGGGAAACCCAACCTTAATTTAGCTATTGTATCAGTTGGGATCTGCTATCCTGCGTCTTTATCAACCATATTGCCCATGTATCTGAGCCCGGTTCCAACTATTCCGGGAATCATTCCGAGAACCTATTTCGGGAACAATTTCCCATACAAAATTGTTTCCGGAATGATTCCCGGAATAGTTGGAACCGGGCTCTGAGGTGTAGATGATCAAAACTGACCACAAATCGATAGCGAAACTGCGGCCCAAGAAGTTGACTCCGTTCCCTGTGCCATGTCGAATCAGGAATCGGTTGCTCTGGCCGCAACAGGCGCATCATTTTCGGGGCAGAAGAAGAAGATGATGAAGTTGATGGGCCATCCGCCTAGAGGTTGTTAGAAATTGATGCGTACTATTCAAGTTGGGGGGAGGGCAAAATTTTTTAGGCCATTTTTGGGCTACCTGGCCAGTTTTTCGCCGCCAATCAAGCGCAATGATCTACTCGTAAGCAAAGCTCAGCCCAAGCTCAGCTAAATCGAGCTTGAATAGAGCTAAGCCGAAGGCAAAAGCCATGAAGCTATGAAAAGCAGCCGCGAGGGTACTTCACCCGCCCAGAAGCTACGCCTAAGCTAAGGCTAAGCTAAGCCTGAGCCCAAACTAAACCAAGCCAAGCCAAGCACTAAGCCAATACTAATACATAAGCTAAGCTCCGCCTAAACGCAAAGAAAAACTAATAAGAATGACCGAAAATGACCCGGAAAAATGTTGCTCCGCCCCAACTTGAATAGTACCAATTGATATGTTTGAAACCTCGATCACTCAAGATTTGAAAAATAGGAAAAACCAACCAGAACCGGGTACGGCGGCATCATCTCCCCATTTAATTTCTTGAAGCGAAATTGCGGCGGGGGTGGCAGTTGTTCCATTTGGCGATTTTGCTCGGCTGGATCGCGCTCTACCCTGAAAGCAAACTTACTATTAAAAGTTATTTAGAAAGTTTAGCATGTATAGGAATTGGTGATTTTATAAATCTGAGGGGGGGGGGTGGGTAAAAGCGGTTTACGGAAATTTCATCAAAACCCGACTTTTTTCTTATCCGTCGAGGCTGACTATAGATATCAAAAGTAAGGCGTATTTAGGTTGTTTTTTAGAAAATTTTAGCTATATGGAAAGAAGCAAAACCACGGAAAAAAGTAAGAAAAATGTTGTAAGTTTTGGAATTTTCTTCATTTTTGTGCAAGAAAACTCTATTTTGGGACCTAAAATATCATATTTTGTTCAAAACCTTATCTTCTACCTAAAGTTATCGTTTCAAGATAAACTTTGCGCGAATAAGTAAGCTTAAAATTCCCTGGCTCCAATCAAACGCAAGTGACAGACTGCGGAATCCTATTTTTCTTAGCATTTACCCAAAAATCCCGAATCCTATGACGAACTGCAAAAAAAAAATAGTCGAGGAGAGCGGTAGAGAAGTGGGCGGGGTTTCGAGGCTGGTAATGGTGGTGGGAGATTGCAGAAAGAGTGGGAGAAAGAAGAGAGAAAAGCGCATGGGAAGTGGAAGGGCAGAAAGAGACGCGGCGCGATACGCGATGCGCGCCCCTCCCGGGTCAAGACCCCAACCGGGCGCCAATTCGGTTAAGAACTGACGTCCAGAATAACGATAAACAAAGACATTTTGATATGGGGAAAAGGAAATAAACGAATTACCCGAAAATCCCGAATAGCTCCGGGTGAAAATCCGGAGCGTCCGCAATTCCGCACGACCGTAAATTGGTGTGTTTCGTTTTTTCAGTGTTGCCAATAAATCTGCTTAAGAAAGGTAATTTTGCAATTTTGATTGAATATTTGTTAACATCTCGACTATTTCCAGTATTTTGGGCAATTCATATAAGTAGACCGGTAGACCGGTAGACCGGTAGACCGGTAGACCGCCTTTTGGGCCAAATTCATAAAAGTAGACCGGTAGACCGGTAGACCGGTAGACCGCCTATTCGTTCAAATTCATAAAAGTAGACCGGTAGACCGCTTTCTTGTTTAAATGTTTTTTACTTAGTAAAACATTAAAAATTAAACTTTTATTATTATAATATACCGTAATTGGTATTTTAACTTAACAGAGGGTACTTTATCATGAAATCTAGCTTGTTGCGGTCCATATACTCATGTATCGGGGGCTTTATTGCTTATTTTTAAACCGGCTTTTAGTCTTTAATTCAATTTAGCTATTATTTTATTAATATACTTTTTCTATTTGATACTGTTCTACCTTCGCGTTCTTTGTTTGAAACATTATCTACCAATTACGCGCTCTCCCCCTTAATTCTCAGGCTTTTCATGTATTATATTGATTCATTCCTCGTTTAATACTTTGTTAGTAATCCGTAGTATTTTAAACTGCATTTAGTGGGGAAATACTTGAAATACCACACATTCAGATACTAGTTTAATAACATGCCGATAACTAGCGCCTTTTTCCGCGTCTTATGCGTAGTAGTTCGTGCTTCTGCATCAACTGACCTTAAATATGAAGTCAGACGTTGGTTAACGAAGGTTTTAAAGTATGTAAGCCCATCATAGTCGTGTTTTATAAGTTCCTTATGACAAAATCGCGTTTTATTTATAACACGCATAACCGCGCTACTCCTAAGCCAGCCTTGCTCAAATCGAAGCTAAGCAAACAAGCAAACAGCAACAAGCTAACTTAAGCCAAGACTTGGAATAACGAAACCTTGTGCCTAACTTCCTGTCAAGGTTTACGCGAGGTATAGCCATTTAGCATCTATTGCTATGAATGCGTTAGGTATACAAAAAGCATTCTCATTTGCTGCCGCTGACTGATGACTTGACGACGCTGGCTGAAGATTCGTCGCTTACGTCGTCGATTGAGAGCGTGAAACCATTATTTAAAGTGAAACCGCCGACTGTAATAGGGAATATACCTTTAAATTAAACTCACCGACTTCCAGTTCAAGGATATGTGCTACAAAGGCAAGAACTACTATAATAATGGTATTATTATCCTGTTAAATGCAAGACAACGCGTTAGAGGTTAGCAATCACTGCTTTACCCTATGAATAGTTGCTATTTAAAGTATTAACCAATAGTACTTAAATATGAAAACCATGAAATACTAAAGGTTGGACGAAATACCAGGAAGAAATTATTGTAACAAACGAAAAGCGTGAGAACTACGGAGCTAACGCGTTTTGAGTAGGTAACGTTTCAAATAAAAAGTACGCGCTTGTAGGATAATAGAATATTACTAAACTAATAGCTGAATATGCTTCAAATAAAGCATTTTCCTTAATAAATGTATTAAGAAACAAAAGCCGGTTTAAAAATAAGCAATAAAGCCCCCGATACATGAGTATATGGACCGCAACAAGCTAGATTTCATGATAAAGTACCCTCTGTTAAGTTAAAATACCAATTACGGTATATTATAATAATAAAAGTTTAATTCTTAATGTTTTACTAAGTAAAAAACATTTAAACAAGAAAGCGGTCTACCGGTCTACTTTTATGAATTTGAACGAATAGGCGGTCTACCGGTCTACCGGTCTACCGGTCTACTTTTATGAATTTGACCCAAAAGGCGGTCTACCGGTCTACCGGTCTCCTTATATGAATTGCCGTATTTTGGAATGGTTCAATCAGAGTAATTGATCCAGAAAGACCTGAGAACCACTTCTTTTGTCCCACATGGCTTTTGCGGATAGAGGGCGCGTACGCACGTTATTAGAGTGTCATTTGTACTGGTACGTCGCCAAAGTAGACCGGAACTATATTCGCACAGCGGAAACAGCTAAACAACGAAGGTCGACCGGCTACGGCATAATTCAAATGACGGAGCACCGTAACGAGTAGCATAACGTACCATCTCGTTTGTCTAATCGATTGCCTTAACTGAGTAAAAGCCGAATGCTTAGCAAAATAAAGTTTTTAACTTTTCATTTCTATTTTATCGTTTTCAGCGTACTTTTATACCCATGTCCCGAAATTTTGTTGTTTCCCGGATGATTTTCACCAAAATTTGCTTTTATCTCGAAAATATGAGCTCGGACGGAAAAACAAAACTCATATTCAGAATCTACGCACAAAAGTACCTTAATTCAAGATCTTTTATGCCGGAAACGAGCCTGAAGCTCACTTAAATACTTAACTTTTAACCTCGAAAACTTCCGACCCTATAAGCTCTAAAATCAAACTACGATTTCCATGATTTTGTGCGCAAAAGACGCGCCGTGTGTTCTTCTACAAATCGTATAATCGCAAATTTGCTAATAACGTCGAAATTTTTTTAAATCGGCCTTTTTTATCGCAATCCCCAGCTTTTTTTCGGGCGCCCGGGGGCCCCTATCTCCGCCAGCCTTCGCCCCAATGTGGTGACCTGACCACCGTAGCCAGGTCAGCCCAGCCCCATTTTCCCCCACGTAATCGGTCCAAAAAATCCGCCCAGCGATAATACGACACAATCCGTCTACGAATTCCGTAATTAGTGTACTTGTACTTCGTTGCAGTTTTAAGTAAGGCTGTATCCGCTGTGATTCGCGATTTTAGGGTACATAATAATAAAAAGGCATACCCCGGAAAATTTTGAGTAAAATTCTCCGCAGGTGACTCAATTTCTAGTTCATTCACGCGCTTTCTATTTTTTCTGGTCAATAAATAACTTGTGGTTCAGTGCCAAGTTTATTCTCTGTCAACGGGCAACACATTCATGCTTTTTATTCATCGAGAAAAATTCATTTGTCGGCCTTGACAAGAGCGATTGACTTGGTCTTCGTGACGATGTCGAGCTTCTTGGCACGCTGCCAGGCCTGCAAAAAACGCGGTTGTTTTTCATATATCTATTATTTTCAATACGTGAAAAAGTGGCTTTAAAAAGCTTACCACAAAAGCGTTGACTGGCTGGTTACCAGTGACGGCTGTGTACTGGGTGTAGACGAGCAACAGGCCATCTCCCGTTTTCAACTGTTCATCCGTACTCTCCAGCATAATCTGAAAACACGCATCGTGACTTTATTCAACCCAATAGGTATCTCTCAAGATTACAAATTTCTATAGATTCTAAGATGCCGAATTTTGAATAACAACCTTAACAGTATCCTTCGGCTTGATGAGTCCGGCGCAATCGTGAATCAGGCAACGCTTGTTGTTCGTCGCCTTCAGCTGAACTCAGAAGAAGTTCGTCAAGGACGATGGGCATTACCTTGTACAAGACGGGAAGCGGTCCAGGATTCTCGACGGCCAGCTTCTCATGCCACTTGTTCTCGGCCACCTAGAAATGCTTGCTTTCATTGGCCATTGTAAGTAGCAAGTGCAAGCAACTAGTCAAATCAAGATTTTCGCGATATCGCATCCGGAAGCGCCTACCGCGATCTTTAGCGGCACCAGCTTCACATCGTCTGCATCATTGGCATATGGCGGGAATTCTGCGTTATTTGTGCCCATTTGAAGATTGGCAGACAAGCCCTGCCAAAATTCGGCGGCCAAAAGGGGCAATAAACGTTTTTTTTGCCCCAAATTCATGCAAATTTCTGATGAATTCAGATGAATCGAAATGCGATAGTTATAACGGTGCACATAGAATAACAGGGACTGCCGAAAAAACATCGAAAATATCAAAAATGCTGAAATCGGTTCTTACACCCTGAGTTCTATCAAAGTTTTTGTATAATAAACTTCTAAATTGCATTTCGTTTGCTTCAGACTACACGGTGTCCCAACCCCCCCCCCCCCTTGTGGTCCGCAGTCGAGTCCGATTTTTACGTTTTAGGTATCTATCGAAAGCCATCGGAAAGGCGAGTCCAGCACGTCTCACCGATTTGTGCAATGTCAGAATTTTTTGCTCGATCTTGACCTTTTTCACTCAAAAATGTCACGCCTTTTACCCTACTAATACTTTTTACTCTATTTAACCGGTTCAGGCGCTATCCAAGCTGTGTTTTTGCAAATGGCTTTCAAAAACTGTCGTTGGGCTGCCAGGAAAGGCAAAAAAATCCTTAAATGGTAATTTTTGGGAAAAACCTCTGGTCAGAAAAGCATCATCCTCATCCATCAGCAGCATCCGCACTTTTCGCAAAAAGTATTAGTAAATGTAAGAACGATTTAAAAAATTTGAGAAGCGGGTAGCGTCCTGGAATCGCCTTTTCTGTAGCCTTCGTTGGATACCTAAATCGTGAAAATCGGAGACGACTGCGGGCCGCTAGGTAGGGTTTTTTTGGGACACCCTGTGGATTTCGACATGGAACTCGATTTCTCCATGGAACCATCTGAATTTTTTTTCTTTTGGTATACTGTTCATGGTTTCTCAGATGGAGCTCGCGAAATATCAAAGTAATTTAAAAGTATTACAAATGTTGAGTATCCCCCCGTTATCTTATGTGTACCAAGCAAGTTCCACCGCCATGTTATGCAAAAGATTTATACCGGAATCCAAAATCCCAAAAGACACTTTGGTGTATGATGAAAGAAGGCAAAAATAACACAGGGTATACAGTTGTCAGTCAATGGTCACAGTGTTCCGTTCGACAAGCCTCAACTCTTCCAACTCATCCTTCAGCACACGATTTTGTGCGGTCGCTTCGCCCAGCTGCGCGTACAGCTGAAAACAAGACAAATATAGTTTGAAAGGTATATATAATCTTCGAATAAATACTATTTTACAAACTTTAGAATTCAACGTCGAATATTGCGATACCTTGGCCTGGTACTGCTTTACGTGTCGAATCTCCGTAGTCCTCAATGCCAACGTTTTTTCCAGTTCCGGCAGCGTCGGAATCTGAAAAATATCGTCGGTGCTAATCACTTGAGTGGAGGGGGCAGTCCTGAATTGGCGGTAACAGGTCCCGAGGCGCTCGGATTAAGCTACTTGATTTTTAGCTTCAGCCTAGGCTTAAGCCAAATATAAGTAAGCTTACCTTACGTTAAGCTCCTAGCTTGTTCAGCTTTAAGTTGCCTTAGGAGGGCAAAAAGGGATAATTTTGGGCTTAGCTTAAAACTCAAGCTAAGCTTAGGCTTCGCTTTTATGAGGCTAAACGTAAGCTTGGGAGAGCACCTCACAGCTCCTTTAAGAAAATATGCCAAAAAAATTATTACCGGTCGTATTTTGAACTGAGCAATTTCCGCTTCTCGTTGCTCAATAGCACGCATCAACTGCGCAATCTCTTCAGCCGGCTGAAAATACGTAGCAAATTACGAAAATTTTTCAATAAGATACCGTAAGGGAGGCGGGCGGTTCCTCCTTCAAAAGCCGTGCCGGACGTGTCTCTTGTGGAGTTAATGTTTGAACAGGCTCCTAAAAGGGGGTCTCAAGATCATATACTGAGCGATACCTCGCGTATCTGAATCGTCCTGCATGGAATTCCGACCTCTGGCTTTAGTTCCTTTGGCTGTACAGGGGTGTATTGTGGAATCTCATAAATCTCCAGATCAGAGCCATCGTCGCCAATGTCTGCATCAGAAAAAACCGGCTCTTCATCCGAATCTTCGACATCATAGACAGGCGTCTCATCCAAAATATTTGTCTGAAAACATTCTTCGTTTGCACGTGCCTACAAAAAAAAACGCGGAAAAGCAGGTGTTTCGCGCAGGATCGATACCTTCGGGGCGAAATGCTTCGGATCGCCGTCAACTCCATCGTTCTCATGCACGATGGCCGCGATTTCGAGGTGTTGTAGCGGGAAATTGCTTCGACTGACGGCCTTCAGCTCTTCTTTTCGCTCTTCCTCACTGTAAATCTCTATAGGGGAAGAGTTTAAGGGCACCCAGGCTGCGTCAGTAGTTGTGTAATGAACTCCAACACACCATCGGTTTTTGATAAACTCTACCTTATATAATTTTGAACTTTATCTCTGTGTTCGATAGGGGTTATTAGCTCTCCTCTAACAAACGGCGTTTTCGGAATTCCGATATAAAATTCGAGCTTACGAAGTTAAAGCTGGTTTGACAAAATTTTGGTGTCCTCGACAAATTCCGAATTATGTCAAGTCCATTTTATCATGAAAAGTTTGCAACCAAAAGTACCTCTTCTCCCTCAAAACAGCCGAATCCAATTGATGCTTCCATTTGGCGTGACTGCCGCCCGACGATCGGTTTTGGCAAGACTGCCCGCATACTGAAAAACAATTTGACAAATAAAATTTTCAATTGCCAAATGCTACCTGTACATTCCACGGCCAAAAACGTAAAATGTGTATGGACGTGGCGCAGCAAGTTGCGTGCATTAACGGCTTTGTTTCGAGACTCGGTTATACAAATCCCGCAGTCCTGAATTACGTTAAAAATTGTTTTTTTTAATCCGACGATTCGATACCTGGCATTTGTTTGGGACAATAATCGGCTTGTCTTCAGCATCATTACGTTTTGTGGTTGTTCGTTGAGGGCTATCAACTTCCATGACATCGCTGGCTATCTTCTCCTCGTTTCCACCCGCCCTTGCTCGCGATGGGCTCGTAGGAATTTCCTGGATCTCAGCGGGGTCCCCCTGGTCTTTGGAAGCCTAGAAAATTTCGGTGCTTGATGGGAAAAAGAAAACGAACGAGTTTCATCCTCATCCATTCCTGTATTTCGGTGCTCCGATCGGGAAAACAATCGTCGATGAGGGTGAGAAAGCTGCTCGTCATCATTTCAGGACTAAAAAACAGTTTTTAGGTTTTGGGTCGTTTTTGGTCATTCTATACTCTGGGCTCGGATTCGGCTCCGGTTACTTAAGCTGAGCTTACGATATGCTTAGCTTAGGCTTATGCTGAGCTTAGATTTGGCTTTGATTAGGCTTTGGGTGGACTTGGAATTGGCCTAAGCTGAGCTTCGGATCGGCTTAGGCTATACTAAGATTATGGGCCTGATAAGCCTAGATAAACAAGCCTGATATTTGCTGGGCTTAGGGTTAGCTTAGCTTAGGTTGGCGCTGAAGTATCTTGCTAGAATCCCCACCGTTTGTCGATGATCGTATAGTCGAGTCCGTGATGTTGGGACTCTTGATGTCGACGCATATTTGCCCGATGGTTGTCACTTCTGACGCAATCTGTAAAGCGCGATTTACAACGCAGAACGGGGAAAACGAACGGCTGCAATGATAGCGCTTCATCTCGCAGTGTTTCCAAAGATGAGCCACCAAGTTTCGAGGGGCATTCACTGGCAGTCGTGCCCCACAGTCCTAAAATCCTTATTGCAAAGGGAACTCGCAGCTAACCAGGCATCTCGTGCTCCCATTTTTCTTGAAGCCATTTTGAGGCTTGGGGCTGAACGACGTTCGCTTTGACGTACGGTGCGGAATGTTCTCCTGGAATGCTTTCTCAACCCGGAACTGTTAAACAAACCTGATTGTCGACTGTATCGGCTTTGCGCAGCCACTTTTCCGCAACAGTACGGTAACTGTAAAGGCCATTAAAGGGTTACTTTCGTAGCAATAATCTCGGAATTTCATAATGTGAAAATTTCAGGATCGCGAGATTTGATAATGCCGACATTTTGCATCAGCAAATCTTACGGAAAATTGTCCGAAGGACAATATGGACAACATGTAGTTCGACATTATGAAAATCCGACAGTAAGAATTTCGACATTATCATAGCAAATCTTATTAAAAATTCAATGCATTACTCACCTTCCACCGGTGATGACATTCACGTGAAAATCTGTTGCATGACATTTCCCGATGTGGCGGTCGACGACTTCTTCTTGATCAGACTGAAACCAGGCTTCAATAACCGCCGCGCGCCAAATTCTTTTTATTGAGTCTGTCCAGTATTAGTTTTTATAGTTACCGATCGATAAAACATTACACCGCATTAAAATCAAAAATTTTGGCTGGTGTCGGTCATATTTCATACAATTTTGACGGTAAAGCTAACGTTTTTCAAACTTTACTATCTTACTAGACCGTACCAAAAATCGACATCCGGAGCATTCGTACACTTTCTTGTCGGCTTTTTCGGGATGTTTTTCCAAAACATGAGCCGTCAGCCCTTCCGAGCTAGCCATGCCAGAGTAGTGGAGACACAGCTGAAATCGGGAAAGTGAATATTTGATGGTGATATATACCTGACATCCAGAGTTCTGTTCCATTTCGGCCGACGCTTGAAAAATAGTGTTTGACGGCGTCGTCGACAGTTAGAGATAAACTTGAATAAGCAGACTTTCTCGAGCAAAAAACTCAGAAGAAAGGTCAGCAATTGATAAAGGCTCGGTGTGAACCGCATTAACGAAAATTTACGATGCCTTATCCGCCTGCATTAATGAAATGTAAAAAAATTACGCGATCGATCAGCGGGATGGATTTAGTTCTACCTTATATACATCTGCTTAAAAATGGAATGAAGCATCTGTCCGTTACATTTTTTTATCTGTTGACCGATAACGCAATTCAGTACATCGACGGGTTATTTCCCAAATCCCAAAATCGAAATAGCAGAATGCCGAAATATACAGCCCTTGCTAACATCCCCCAATATTTCGTCTTTGTGAAATGTCGACATCATTAGTTTCGGGATTATAATAGCCAATCCAAGCCGACAATCCAGGATGAAAACAAGCAGATTTTGGCGATTTTTTGCTGGCAATTGTTTTCTCCTGATTTTAGTGCGAAATTGTCATCATCTTGCTCTTGTCTTTCGAATTTTGTATGATTTATTCTCCAAATCACAAGGGTCTCCATCGTCTAGCATCACAATCCGACCGTAATATATTGGCATCGGCTCACTCGTCTCTTACCTAAAAGAATCTTTTTAATTCTGTACCCGGTGATATCTACCGTTTTCCTTTGCGGCGTTGGATTGGGGGTGCTGTGTTTTCTCCGTCATCTGATGACGGCCGTTTTCTAGATAACTTGACGGGCCCTCCTTTTCGACTTGCTTGCGGCTCTGGGCTGAAATTTTGTTGGGTATTTGATAGCGTTGATTTTGGCGTAGAACATTCCGCCGTTTTCTATTAAATGTAGATTTTTACGAGTCTTAATCCGCTTTTTATGCTCCTCAAAATTGCGAATATTTTTGATTGCTTATTAGGATGGCATAATCAGTGATTATGAGGATGTGAGGTCTTTAACACTTACCTCACAATTGGCGCTTTGACCTCGTCTTCTAGTGGCTGGAGGAAATCGGCGAACGGGTTGACAAAAAGCTGTTTCTTTGATTTGATGAGCTCATCGATATATGATGTCAGATCTTTCACTTGAAGCGGATAGGCCTTTCCGGCTATTCCTTTTAAGCTTTCAAGAAGTTCTGGTGTCCTGAAAAGCAAAAACTTGATATGATACATCTATATATTGATATGGTACATGCTTTTACACGCACGGTTCGTCAAGTTACAAAAAAACTTACGTATTGTCGACGCAAAGCTCGGAACGCTGATGATGTTTCCTGCCAGTATGCGCGGCAACAACGGTCGCCGTCTTGGCCGTGTAGGGGCATTCTGAATTTTGTAGTGCTACTTTGGCCGGAAGCGATTTCAGCATCACTGCCTTGAAATGACGGCCGGTTAGAATTAATATTCGCTTACTTACCTGTACAAGAAAATGGCTGGGCCGCTAAATGGGTACGTAGATGGTCGAGCAATTTCCGGGCGGTGGCAACGGGGGTTGGGTAACAGACATGGTACACTCCGCAAATCTAGAAAGGCAACTTTTTGTTCCTTGTCCTAGCTTATTTGTATTCCCTTATTTTAAACTTAAATCGAAACTTTTATTTTATCCTGCGATGCTCTATCGAATGTCCGGTTAATATCGGACCCGTACCGTAAAAAATAACAAAAATATCGACAATTTTGGGCCTTTCAGGCTAACGGGGAGGAGTAAAGCAAAGAGTTGCCCTGAAATCACCTTCAAAATCCCCGCTTTGTTACGGGAAATATCGAAATTTTAGCCCACCACGCATTTATTTTTCTCAATCTCCATAGAACGTTCAGGCATCGGCCGTCGAGAATTCATTTCGGCCCGAAGAATACAGCTAAAAAATTTTGGATCGATGGACTCGGCTAAAACAAATCGATGCAATTTGAAAAGTGTTTTTGCAAGGATCGCAAAAGTTGACTAACCAGATTATTCCACGTTTTCGATCATTTTCAGCATGAAAAAAGTAAATAGTCACTTTTTTCTGGCAGCCCTTGAAAAGCGCTTCAGAAACCTCGACTACCCAAAAAAAAGAAAATTCGCACATTCTTTATTTTGGCACGCGGTTTATTGGCTTTTTTCCTCCAAAAATATTGGATTTCTGCTTGTTACACTATCGTGGGTATACATATAAAGCATTAATGACAAAATCCGGCCGAGAAAGTACGCTACCCGTACCTCCGTTGCATCTTTTAGCTTCGCTGTAGGTCCAAATCTTGGCTTTCATTTATAACCACTGATTTTTTTAAGCAATCCGATTTTCAAAGCGTAAAAGCCGCCTGATGAGTGGCTTGAGCAGCTAGAGGAGGAAATGAGGTTGAGGAGGATCACGATCAAGAAAACATGTGATGCCACCGCGGCCGTCCGGTCCCGCTGGGTGGGTAGCATCCGATGACGACGTGAAATGCTGCAGCCCAAGCCATATGCAAACGCCTACGGCTGCAAGAGGCAAAGTTGAGCGATCTAGAGAGCTAGCGAGGAAAATTAGCTCAGTTTACTAGTTTGAGGTAAAGGTTCCTTAACGGGGGGGGTGAATCAAATTTTGTAGTTTTAAAACTATTCTGCTATTTTGAAAATTTCATCGGCCGAAACGGCAAAAATTATGCCAAGATATTTAGTTTCATTTAGAAAAACCCCCATCTATACAGTAATTTTTAATTAATAAAAACAGAAGAGATTATAGTACATAGACAGTGAGTAGCTTTATTCCGTGAAAACCGAGACAAGGCTCAAAAAATACGGGATGCGTTAGCGGCGGTTTTTCAGTGCTTCAACTTCGTCGCTGAGCAGACTATTCTCAGAGGTGATGCGACCGAGCTGCGAATAGACCTGAAAAGGATGTAGTATACGAGTTTCATTGAGCATAATTAAATCAGTGTTTAACTGAATTTTGCTGTTTTTCCATACCTATATTATAAATTATTTGGGCTAAAATTAAAATTCATAGTTTATTTTTGAGCCTCTATCGAATGACATTAAAAATTGAACACAAAGTATCGACAATTTTGAAAATTAGCCCTTAGTCCATTTGAAAAATTAGGACTTTCAATCCTCTATCTAAGGTTCATTTTTGTTTTTGCTATAACTTTTTTTAAAATACGTTATTTTCAGCTGTCGATGAAACCACTAGGATCTATTTTTGATGCTTTACCAAAAGGCTCAAAAACCCCAAAGCAAGAGCGAACATCTCCAATTTTTTGGGCCCTCGGCTGGCGGAGGTAAGGTATTCCTTTGTACATACTTTCTCCTGTTTTTCTTTCAACTCGCCCAGCTCCACCTCCCTCAATTCGAGCTCCCTTCTCAGCTTGACCAATTTCGGGTCGGTCTGAAAACGGATAAACCTAATCTTTTCCTTGGGTCAAAACTACCATTGCCACTCGAAGCGTCGCCAGTTCGGTATCCTTTTCTTCAAGCACTTTCCGGAGGCGCTGGAGCTCAGCAGCCTGCTGAAGCTGAACGAAAATTGGTATAATAAAAGAATTGATAAATACCTCGGTCATCCTAGTGTCTTTGACCGTCCCTCTCCGTGAGCCGCCATCATCTAGAAAATTCCATATTTTCACCCAAACGATAGAAATACCATTAGGTTCCGTTTTGACCACACGAGCCGAGTCTGGTCTGACGATTTTCCGGGGTTCCGATCTGGGCTCCTCCTGGGAAGTAGAGTGCTTAATGGAAACCGGAAATAGGCACCGTACCTTAACGACAATTGTTTTCTTGAAGACGGTGCTAATGGAGGGAGTGGAAAAATCAATTGTCGCTCGTTTCTAAAATGGTGCTGTGAGGTTTAATCTACTCATCAAAGCTTCGACGGTGCTGGTTCATTAACGGGGGGTATGGATGGCCTCTTCTTTGATACCAGTATTATAGATTACGTTATTTTTAGCCTTAAATCCGACTCGTAGCATATTTTTTTCCTAGTAAAACGAGAACATCGAAACCGACAGAATTCCGAATATTAGCATCTGAACGTCATTTTAAGGGCTATTTTTGTTCTTTCTAGAACTAGTTTTGGTTGCAGTGATATGGGCGGTAACTAAAGCTTAGTATTTTGAAGAACTTAACCTACCTTTTTCGAAGCATTCTTGGCCGATTCACCGCGTGTATCATGAATCCTTGCAGCCGGCTTTCCACCTCGATTCTTTTCGCCGGATGGTGTTTTGTGATTGTTTGAGGGCTGTTCGGAGGTGGCGGGTGCTGTCGCCGCAAATCGAGCAATCTCCGCCTCGAGCACCGTCTTCAACACGTCGAATTTGGCCGGAAACGCCCGCTGGGCAAAGGCAATCAGTTTGTCGTGCTGGTCTTTCGTCCTAAACGACCACGGACATCAAATGGTGCTATTTAAATTGGGGAAATTGTAAACTTTTTTGATGAATTTTGGGAAAGTCATTCCGCTTCGTTTCTTTGGGGCATTAGGCCGCTGCGCCCGGGTTTAAGATTGGGATTAGTCCAAAAGTCCAGATCATCAAGATCAAAATTCAGAAACGAAATTACCCCTTGTAATCGACGACGGGATGGTTAAACTTGTTGTGGTGATAATACATCAATACCCGCGTGCTGCTCCGATATCCACATTCTAAAAACAGTGAAAATGGTTCGAAGGTATTTTTCTACCGCAGCAGACATACGGCTCGTAATCGAAATGTTCTCTGATGTGCTTCCATACGGAACGCCAATCAGCGCCTGTTTGCGAAACTTTCACACCACAGTCCTAAACATGAGTATTTCAAAACTATAAAGGACTCTTTACCTTGCAAGTGAGCCCCGAAGCTGGAACACTCTTTCCTCGTTTCCGTGTCGAGCCCTTGGTCGCCTTTGGTGTGTATTCTGTTTCCAAGCCCTCCGTTCCGCTATCATCTTCCGATTCCTTTGCGATCTCTTCTGCTTCTGGTTGCCCTTCATCCAATCGTGCATTTTCGAGGCTCGTATGAGCTGTCTGATCCATCCGTCGCCGCTTTCCCGCGGGAGCATCGTCATCGTAAAATGTTTCCAATTCTTGGATTTGCGACGGGAACGCGCGGCGGGCGAATTCATGTAGTTCTTCCTTCTGTGCGTCGGTGCTGCAATATAAAGCGTTAGCGGTCAACAATTCGCGGTGTTAATGCACTTTGGGTGGGGGCCGTTTTTACTCTAGCTATGGGCGGCTGCTAGGCTTGTTTTTAAACAAGCTAAGCTTTTACGAAAGCCAATCTGCCCGTCATAATACCGACAGCCATAATTCCAACAAAAGAATCCCGACAGAAAATATCGACAGCCAGAAAGCTCAGATTTTAGAACCACGCATGGGTGAAACGGCCAGAAATATTGCATTAGGCTGTAGGGATTATAGCTGTCGGGATTATAGCTGTCGGGATTTTGAATCCCGGGAATATGGCTGGAATTCGATAAAAATTTGCTTACATTGTGGAATCAACGACCGGCTCGGATTCGGGGTGCCACTTCCTCATGTGCAATCGGGTGCTTTCTTTCCTCTTTGTGCGAACTCCACAAACTATAAAACCAGAGATATGCACCCCTTCTGACGAAATCCCGACCTGTACAGCCATATGGTTTGAAGTCAAAGTGGTGTCGAACATGCCCCCAGAGTTTCTGCGCTCGGACGCTCGGCGCGCCAGCGTCTGTCAATTGCACGCCGCAAACCTAAAATTCTCCTTTTTTCCGATTAGTCCAAAATTCCCCAGTAAATTAGTGGTACGTATTTTAATAATGTTTTTATTGTTAGTAAAATTTAAGTATATTGAAAGTGCAAAAATAAGGAAAACGTAGCCACAGTTTTTGGTTGAGATTTTGTTCCAAAATGGGCCATTTTTGGTCGAAAATCGATATATTTTGTGTTTTTTAATGAAAATTTATAAAGCTTTTACATTTAAGAACTCTTAAAACATTTTATCTATTTAGCTTTGAAAAACTGGATCCTTAGACAAAAAAGTTGGATCCTCCTTCCCCGAGAACGCGCCAACCTCTTACCCCCCTCGATAATGCCAAAGAACCGAACATTATGTATATAAATATGGTTACCGTGCACTTGTTGCGCTCGGCGGTACCACCATCGTTCTGCTTAGTAGACGCGCGAATCTGAGTCGGCTGCTCAGCGGGATCTTCTGTAGCGTCAGGACTCGCCACCGACTTCCGTTTCCAATGTTTAGAGCCTTGGGAGGGCGGAGGAACGATCCATTCCTTCAGCTCTTCAAATTGCAGTGGGAAATTTTTGCAGAGCGCGGCACGAAGAACATCCTGTTCTTCCGGTGTGCTAAAGTATGAGCTATGAACAATGGTCTAACCAGTCTCTGCCGACTTTGATAATAGCAAGTGACTTGAAGCCCCGATTTAAACGACATTTTTGTGAACAATTGCAAAATTTGTAATTTTTTTAAGCATATAGGAATTCCTTCTTCATTTTTGAAAAATATTACGAAGTCGAAAATCTGCCAAAATCCTCATGATATCGGCATAAAAGTGAATTTTGTAACTTTTTTATTTTGCTTATTTTGCCTTGATAAATGGGTTGCAGATAGGGTTCAGTTTTTATAAGGGAAGGGACCTTTTTAATCTCCCGTATGAGGCCCACCTCTTATCTTGAAAGTTCATCCCCGACGAATTGTGAACGGTGCGCAGGTGGTTGCCAATACCACCTCCGTGTTTGTGGCGGAATCCGCAAACTGAAACAAAGTGGCGGTTTAAGCTTTTCGGAGTAGTCTGCAGCCTTATTATTGTCCGCGGTCGAGGATGCTAACGCGAATCTCAAAACGGACCGTTACACTCAAATCCCCTGGCGTCAAGATGGCCGCGTACGTGATCGATCAGACGAATCAAGGAGATGTGCCGACACTTATGACCGCGAAGTGTCACTCCACATTCCTAAAAATTAGGGATAATATTTTAGCTAGGGATTCTGGCGCCTACATAAAAATTCTGTCTTTCAATACAACAAAAAAACTACCAGAGCAGAGCAAACAAAAAAAAAACGTACCATACACTTATTCAGCGCCGCCTTGTTCTTTGCATCACTGCCATGCGTTGAGCTCTTTCGCTTTCGGCTTCCGCCAAAAATACCGCAAAATCGTTGCTCCTCCTTCTTTGGTGGCTCTGCCTCGGGGTTTGGCGCATCATTTGGCATATTTTCATCCGCAGCAACTGGATCCATGTTTTCGCTGTTTTCCGTATTTCCGGGGTCAGCTCCTGAGGCCCCGTGGCTCCCGGCAGCCATTATGTCGGCAACGCGAAATTGGTTGAAACGCGGAGGGGTTGGTGAGGTCGTTTTCTTGGCAATCTAAAGACCAGTTCAATTTCCGGACAGCTACCTACCATTTGTTTTTGCAGGGCAAGCCATTCACTCAGCAACGCGCTGTTGTTTGGGAAACACTGGTCGACCAGTTTCAGGGTTGACCAAAACGTTTCCGGATCACTAAAAAGGGCAAATAGTACACTGATGAAACGAGAGAGAGAGAGAGAGAGAGAGAACGAGAGAGAGGGCGAGAGAGAGAGAGGGAACGACAGAGAGGCCGAGAGAGAGTGAGGGAGAATGAGAGAGATAGAGAGTGAGAGTTAGTGTAAGAGAGAGAGAGGGAGAGCGAGAGAGTGAGAGAGGGTGAGAGAGAGTGAGAGCGAGAGTGAGAGATAACCGAAAACTCGAATTTCTTAGCAGCTTTTAACAACTCACCGCCAACCCAAAACCTTCGGATTCACGCCAGCCGTATCCTGATGAGCCAACAAATGTTGAACCACGCTCTCTTGCACGTCAGCGCTGAAGTCGCAGACTGAAAATAATGGCTTTTTTTAAAAAAAGTGTTACCAACCATTGCAAAGATAGCGCCGTCGTCCATAATGCATCCACGCGTGCTCATATAGAGCGGAGAGCGTTGAACTCGCCATCTCTTCCTGACAAACCTAAAGTTAAAGATTTTAATTTATTTTAGCTATATTCATCTATGACATGGATGACTGCAAGGCTAAAAATACGCTTTTGCTTGAAAAATTTTCCATTTTTGTTAAATATGTTGATTTTTCTTGGGTTTTACGCAACGTAATCAATTTCTTGCCACTTTTCAGCTTTTTCGACCAGTCGTTTCTATACCTGGGGCACGTGAATTTTTACCTCTTAACCCCTTTAAAAAGACCAACCTTGCAACTCTCCGATACCGTATCCTTTTGCAATGTTTCGGCCAGCTCCGGCAATTGAGACATCGGCGTTTCTGTCTGCAACGATCCGGTCATTCTCTGAAATTTCGTTGTTGCGATCGATAGCCATCAAGGCCGCGATTAAAAACCAGAAAAATCAAGGATTAGAGAATATTCTGAACGATTTAATTTACCCTCTAGCTGGAAGAGAGGCCCCAAAAATTTTTTAGCAGAGCCCTAGACCCGGGATAGTATCCCCCAGAAGTTCGAAAAATAAGTACTTAAAATCTTAATTAAATCGGTGTTAAATATGTATTCCGGACTTATTTATTGTTGCCATGGCTTTTATACTACATTATTATTAACAAAAATCATATCTATTAGTATATATTCCAAAGCTGAATCCAGTGGCAGCAAAAAAAACCGAAATATCGAACATATAAAAAAATCAGGATCAGGAAAGAGTAAGCGTTTGCGAAGAGGCCAGGTGAGAGGTCTGCTCCAATTTGCTTTTGCGTTAATTTTTAAGGAGGTCACCGGCAGATGGCACGACGGCTGTGATTAGGAATGATACGAATTAGGATGGAAGTGATAGGCATTAATGGGAAATAAGAATTCAAGTTTTTATAGTTGATTTATTCTCGCACCAATGTTCGAACGTCGGAGAACACTAATAGAGTAGAATCAAATGCCAAATTAAAACCAGAGAGCACGAGGATACTATAGATATATTCCTAGGATACGAATCATGGATAAAGGTGAAAAAACTCAGAGAATCGTGAAAACCGGGGATACCAGAAGATAGTAAGAAATTTGCGGTAAAGGTTGCTTAACGGGGGGGGGGGGGCGGACGACCGCAATAATGTCTTTTCCTTTATAGAGACTTTAGAGAGATAGAGTTGCACCTGTGCAAGCACACCATCGAATCAAGCAGAGCAAAAATTTCAGCCCGAAATTCGATTATCTAAAAGCAGGACTTTATTTGGCTTAAACGGCACGTTCAGGGACGTTTTTTGGAAAAATAGCAAAGATTTTTGCCGCGGCCGGGGTCGAACCCGGCCCCGCTCGGGAGGCGCGGATGGATACCAGTCAGCCACAGCTACAACCTGGCGAGGGGATGAGGGGCGCCCCACGCCGCAAAGGAGGGAAACGGCCTGTCACAGCACGGGCAGGCAGTGCGCGCGGTCCCTACGTCCATAGGGTGTATACGTTGGAACGAGTATACGGCCCCTCCCTGAGCGTGCGTTTTAAATGCTTGATTAAATTAAAAAGAATTAAGGTTTTCGGCTTTTTAAAAAATTAAAGCTTGTTGTATTATTTTTTGACCCTCCATCCGATGGCTTTTCCAAAGAAATTTTTTATCAAAACAATTTATTCCTGTTCGAGCACCTGAAATCAGGCCTCTGAAAGCGTCCGAGAGACCAGTGAGACAACCCGGACTGCTGTCGTGCCATTCCCTGTAAAAAATTCAACGATTGCGATGGGCTTACCGCTTTTGTCCTTTGGACGTAACGCCTTGGGAAGAAGTGTCATAACGAAGAACCGTTTATAACGGCTATTAAAGCCGATGCCCGTACTCGAGACCCAATAAGTACTCGAGGAGAAGCCAATCGGGACCAGCGGATTCAGATCTGGAATCAAAAGGGTGGCAGCATCAGGAGTGCATAAGCCCAATTACAGGGTTCTGAACTCACAGTCGTAAGGGATATCCACCTCAAAAACGGCAAAAATCCCCACGAATATACAAAGGCACGCCGCTCCTGTGGGAACGATAAACTGCAAATAACAGCTTGGAAAAACTGCGTGGAATTTAACCTTAGGTGTTTTAAGTTTAGAGATGAAGATTTTATAAACGAAAAATAGATTTTCGACACACCAATCCCGGCAAAAATTTGCACCTGCAAAATGACGCACAAATAAGCATTGACTTGCTGCTTTGAGCGACTACGCGACGATAACGCGCCCTGTTTCTCGATGTTGTGAATGAAGATAAAGATTGATAATCCGAGTTCTGCGGCCAGAAAACAAGAAAACCCCAAGAGTAATCCAATCTGAATACATTTTTTTTGATTAACCAAGCGGCCAAACATAGATCGAAAAAATTGGATTCAACGCCGGGCAATAATACGTTGTAATTCCAGGGTCCGTCATTAGGTATTTGCGCTCCGGAAACTAAAATCATGACTTTTCCTAAAACTAGCTGAAAGTCTGGCCTTTGCAGCAAAATATTCAATCGCCGCTTCTCCATCTACTTTCCCAAAATAGGCAGAGAAGAATATGGACAAGTCAAAGACGGCGAAAAGGAAGATCTGACACCACAGTCAATCGAAAAACTTGCCCAACCTCCCAGAATAAAACAACATTTTGGGGAATCGACTTGATAAAACGTGACACGGCCATCATACGTCTACGCAAAACGCAACCCATTCCGAGGAAACCCGTGAATAGGAAATAACAATGCAGGGGCTGAAATCGATGCAATTATCCGGTAAGGGTAAGGGTAGGGTACCCACATAATAGAAATCTTTAAGGATAGGTATCGCGAATATCGGCCGATAATTAACGGCAAGCACCGGAAAAAGGGGCACCGTGTTGCATAATAGAATGGTGAAGTCGAACAAGAAAAGGAACGTCTGGAATTTAAAATTATTTTACAAGCTTACGTTTTTTGAGTGTCTTCCGCGCTTTTAGAATCGGACAAAGTCTACCCTGAGCAGAATTTTGCGCTGATTCCGAATATGGTTACCGTTTTTGCGGAATAACCTATTTATCTTATTTTATCGAGATTTTTTCCGATTAAGATGCACTAGCAGCTTTTTCCAAAACCAAGTCCGAATGTTTTTGTGTCCATCAACAGTGGCTGATTTATGGATTTTCCGCCTTACATAGCTCATAACTTTCAAGAATCGGCTATTTCGCAAAAACCGCAACCATATTCGGAATCAGCGCAAAATTCTTCACATGAGAGGCTTGGTCCCAGACAAAATCCGGACGACACTCAAAAACGTCTCCGGGTTAGTAAGGAAGCGAAGGCTAGCTTTCTTACATGCATAACAAATAAATAAGGCAATAAAGGCCGCATCGCACTGGTAGACTGTGTCCCAATTACGTATGCCGTTGTGAAATACACCAACGGGACGAAGACCAGCGCGAATTGCTTATACCAATATAGGATGTTTGCCCAGGAAGTGGCACTTTCGAGGATGGTAGCCATTCAGAATTGTTGCAAAGGAATCGTGGGAATTTTAGGGAAAGCCGGCTCATAGACTCACCTGCTTGCATGGTTTCGTAAACGACGGGGAAGAAGGCTATTTGATCCCAAATGTCTCACTGCAATATTTTGGATTCACCTGTGGTTGGAGTGGGGGAATTGGAGAATCATTTTTCAAAAAAAACCCGTTCATTTTTCACGAATCCCAAAGATAGTTTCGAGCCCTATGATATCCTTAGTTTGTGGAGAAGCACTCTGGTTCAGACTTTTGAAATATTTCGAGGTCTAACTCCGTCAAAATCCCAGTAAAATTGGCAACACTTAAATGTTTATTTTTAAGGAGGATGAGCAAGAAAAAGCCGGCAAGCACCTGCTGGCTAGTGGTTGCAGGAAACTTTCGGGAAACAATACAATTCGGCGACGCGACCTATAAATCAGAAAAGGGGAAGCATGAAAGACGAAAGAGCTGAAGCAGAAACATCAGCAAAGCGAGGAACCGGTGACTAAATGTTGCAAATAGCTTCAGGCTCTTCAAACCAAAGTCTGGCTACATTGTGCTCCATTCAACCTGATATTTTCAAGCCCATTCAGTATGGTGAATTTATGCTAATTAATTCCGGGATTTCTAGCAGTCACCACGCCCTTAAAACGCAAATAAAAAGTTGTGGTACCGGATTTTTTTAGTCACAGCTGATTTTCTCAAAATTCAACTTAAAGGGGAAGAAGTTAAAGCTTAGGTCTCGTCGATTCGAAGTCGATTCTATCCTTCCGAATCCAAAATGATAAAGAACAGAACTTTAGCCTCAGCGATTTGAAAACTAGATTTGCATACGGTAGCGAATTCCGTTCGCTGCTTGACGAAGAAAATCAATACCATTGATAAAAATGGACGTCTATCGTGCTGGTGAGTTTTTATGTGGCTCTCTAGAAAATGTTAATTAGGGCAGCAGCACGGCAACAAGCTGTTGATCCTGCTGATCTGCAGCTTCTCGGCCATCGTATACTGGACGTGTCTTCACAGACTTGGAAGTAGCTGTTTTTTTTAGACTATGACTTCTCTTTGAAACTGTTAAATATGAAACATATCCGGTTCTTCAGTTGACCCACACGATCAGAAGCACATCGGGCTAGAAGAAAATCCTCAATCCCATGAATCGCCCCACGACACCCTCGGCTTCGATGAAAATCAACTTCGACACGCCGAAGACGACGATCTGGATCTGCGACGGCAGCAGAAAATTGGTGCCAGCCCGCCCGTCTGCAACACCAAAGGATGTCAGACGGCTGCTCAGACATTCGTACGTTTGATGGTCTATTTAAAAAAATCTTCGGTAATACGGTTTTATAGTTATCATGCTATTTTTTAGGGGAAAATTGCGTTATATGGTCACTAAACCGATTTTGGATTTTTATATACCAAAATGCTCAGCAGTTCGAGCTGGTTCAGGATCAGTTGAAAAAACTATTGGGAAACACTTCTGGAGCGAGATATACCGCTTCAAAGTTGGCGAGTGTCGTATATGGTCACCGAACGGATTTTCGATTTTTATATGTCAAAATGCTCAGCAGGTCGAGCTGATTTTAGATCAGTTGAAAAAACTTTTGGGAAAAATCTCTGTCGCGAGATATCTAGCTTACAAACCGTCCATTCAGCCCCTGAAGTAGTACGTAGTACACCAAAATACGCCAACTGTACCTCGGAAAGAAACGGAATGGTGGAGAATTGCCGTTTCATGGGTAAAAAAAATACATTGTCAGGCAAGGTGGGCCGTCGCTTCGGATGGGCTGCCGCTCCACTCTTTCGAAATCGGGGCGCCTGGCCGCTACGCGCGCCTCGGGCGCCCCGATTTCGAAACCTTGTACGAGCTCGCGCCCATCCGAAGCGACTAGGCCCCGGGTGGCACGAAGCCTTATTTTTAGGCTCAGATCGAGTGTGGAGTGTCAAGCCAAACGCTTATCGCACACTTATCCATCTTCCCCCTAGAACGGAATTTCCGGGGCGAAAACTTGGTATATAGGGGGCTCATTGAAGACTAACTTCGAAGTGGTATATCTCATAAGTGGTATATTATTGAACGTACTCCCATGAGTCAGGCAAGGTGGGCCGTCGCTTCGGATGGGCTGCCGCTCCACTCTTCCGAAATCGGGGCGCCCCGGCCGTTCGCCGGCCTTGGCGCCGGATTTCGAAACCCTGTACGAGCTCGCACCCATCCGAAGCGACTAGGCCCCCGGTGGCACGAAGCCTTATTTTTAGGCTCAGATCGGGTGTGTAGTCTCATGCCAAACCCATTTCGAACCCAACCATTTTTCGCAACACCGAAAACTGACTCACCGGGGCGACAACGTTATGTAGTGGGCCGGGGTGACGCCAAACTTTGTAGTGGTATATCTCGCTCCAGAAGTATTTCCCAAAGGTTTTTTTAACAGTTATAGAATCAGCTCGGCCCGCTGAGCATTTTGACATATAAAAATCGAAAATCCGTTTAGTGACCATATACGACACTCGCCAACTTTGAAGTGTTATAACTCGCTCCAGAAGTGTTTCCCAATAGTTTTTTGAACTGATCCTGAACCAGCTCGAACTGCTGAGCATTTTGGTATATAAAAATCCGAAATCCGTTTAGTGACCATATAACGCAATTTAGCCTTTTTTAGTTTTAAACGCCAATTTTAGCATTTAAAAAACTTTTTTTTTGCATAATGAAAACTACCAAACCGCAAAAATATACGGCATAACATTGACACGCATAAAAAATTTGCTAGGTCGTTATAAGCTACATAACTCCTCCCATAAGCACGCACCCCCCTCCCTAACAACCTAGAACCGATGAATGTGATTGGTTTAATACATATTTTTGACTATAGAAAAGCATCATCCTCCCTTCGAGCAACCCGTGCAACGACTTCTTCGACTTTGCATGCGGGAAATGGGTTCAGGTATGCAGGAATTTGTGCCTTCAACCCAGGTTACCTGCTTGCAGGACAATCCGTTGAAGCCGGGCGATATGATGACCGGCACGCCGTTGGGCCTCGAAGCTCTGCTGCACACAAAGATAAAAGGTGGGTAGAAGGTTCCAGTACCAAAAATGGCCGATTTTCGACCAAATCCACCTTTTCAACAATTTTCAAAGTCTTAGATAGTTTTTTATCCTTTTCTACTTATTCAAGCTTTTAGAATTCCTCGTCGCCGTCCCCCACAATGCCTCGGCCACCCACGCGGATCGTATCGTGCACAAGGTCTACAACATGTGCATCGAGACTCAACATGGAGGAGTCCAGTCGGAACCTTGTTTACAGCTAATTTTCAATCTTCCAGACAGTTCCGCGAGCTTGTGACGCAGCTGGGCGGGCCCCCATTCACCGCCTCATCTCGGCCATCCTACGCAGAAATCATTCGGCTGACGGGCGGTGATGTGTTCCCCTTCTTCCAGCCGATGCGCTATTTCGACGGCGAACTCCTTGGAATCGTGCTCGCCCCGATCGCCCAACTCTTCCCCGAGCACGTGCCAAAACGACGGAGCTTGGTCAAGAAGGTTGCATATCAATTGTAGAGGCGAAATTCTGATTTTGCAGCTATCTCTGCAATTGGCCGCCGACTTCGGGTCGACATTGTCTGAAAGCCGGCTCGAAAAGGGCCTCAACGGCTACATGAACCTGCTCACCAAGCTTGAAGCTGTAGGGTTTTGAAGTGTTATAGGATAACCTAAGAAAATATCTAGGGAAAAATAGTTTTCAGGCTCGCCCCGGCGACAACGCGCAACGCTTCTTCAACGACATTGGAGAATTGTCGGCGCGATTCCCGAATGTAAGTCAAATTATGTCGGATTAGAATTTTGAGATTTAGTTACACCTCAAAACACAGCTCGATGCCCATCTCCAGCATTTCGGCACCAACTTCTCGGTCATAGTCCAACGGGCATCGTATTTTGAAAAGGTATTTCCTACATAGATCGAAACTTGCTTGGTGCTTTTCTATTTATATTAATGCTTTTCCAGCTGACCCGAATCGTCTACGATCAGCCAGAAGAAGTGCTCGAGGCGCTCGTCATCGAGCTGTTCATCTCCCGATTTGGCGAGCTCGGCAATTCATATCACGCTCTTTGGCAGGTATTCCAATTTTTGAAGCATATTTATAAAATATGCTATTTTTGCTATACTTTAAGTTATAGGAATCAAAAACCACTGGTCAGGACGTTGAGAAAGAGTGCATCAAGAAGGTACGATGGCCATGTTGCTCGTCTAGCCCATTTTTAGGTGATCGAATATCATCCTCGATGGGTGGATTCGATGTCGCTGAACAGTGTATACGATCGCGAGGATCTGAAGAGTATTGTGGTGGAGTGGTGCTCTTTTTAAGCGCTAAAATAAAAGTTTTTAGGAGCTGGGGCTAAAAGTCCGCGAGGCTTTCGTCGAGATCGTCAAGGAAAATCCTTGGGCTGACGGTGGAACACAGGAAAATGTTATTGAAAAGGTATTTTTAATCGGACTTCTTGGATAGGATTCCTTAATCAAATATATATGTATCTCGATAGATCGATTTATCGAATTGCAGGTGAAAAACATGACGATGCACGTGGGCGACACGTTCGAGACCTGGACCATGGGCAATGTCGACGCTTTCTACAAGGAGGTTGATTTAATAAGAGATTTTTAAGATAAAAATTGGCTCTAACTGCATCGCTTGTATTAACTGACCATTTCAGTACACACCTGCCAACGTTTCCAATTGGTTCGATTACAAGAAAGCCGTGAAAACGTTCCGCCCATCGCCAACGCTTGCCAAGGTAGCGTCGCTGGACGGTTTCCCATCGATAGAACATTTGGTTCTCGACTATTAGCGACCGTTGAACGAAATACAAACCGTTTTATAGCACTTTACACAGTTTTTCGACATAAAAACAATGCCAAAGTTTTAAAAAATTTCGAAAATGTTTGGCTTTTTCGTCAAAAATGTGTCAAAAAACGACTTAAAAACCTAATGGAGTATAGAAACCAAAGACGAAATGAAACCATAAAAATTCCCTAAAGATTATTAACAGGTTTGCATAGGCGGAAAAATAAACATTAGTCCCAGCAAAATGAACTTTTAGAATGCGTTCCGGGATACGCAGGCCGTCGTCAACGCGTTCAACGCCGGCAGCTACATTCGTGCGCCCCTTCCCGGAGATAAAAACTTCCCTTTTCAGAAATCATGTGGGGAATCCTGGCAAAACCGCTGTACCATCACGACGCGGCGCTGGAACTGCTCTACGGGGCCATGGGATTCATCATTGGACACGAGCTGACGCACACATTTGATGCGGATTGTCAGTGGCAAAGAACCCCGAAATCACAATGTCCGATTCAGCCATCGAGTCGGCTGGACCGCACCAAATCCTGATCGGCGCCGAAGACAGGCAACAATTCGGTGCCCAGTTGGCGTGCATCGAGGAACAATACGGAAACGCCACGCTACCGCTCAATTCTATCAATGGGACCTTTTCGGTGGGATTCTACACTATGTCCAACCCATTTTTTCAAAAAAATATTATGAAAAAGTTTGTGCTGAAAACTGTTTTTTTAATGACGGTGCACGTTTCTAGTTTTCGTTTTTTTTTATTAATTGCCATCTCACCTGGTAAAAATCCGGGCCCGATCGGATAGAATTTTTGGGGTACTATGTTGTTTCACCCAGGTTTTCATTCGATTCAGCAATCCGGCGAGCTGACCAATGGCGAGGCCATCTCTGACAACATGGGGCTACGCACGGCTTTTCGGGTATTTCGGCATTGATTTTTCTGAAACTCAACTGTTAGGGATACCGGAACGAGCGCAAGCGCCTCTACGGCGACCAAAGCTCTCAATTGCCCGGCCTGCAACAATACACGCCTGATCAGCTCTTCTTCGTCGGCGCCAGTTTGGTGGGTGACAGTTGAATCTATGACAAAACCTTTGAAAATACACTAGCCGGCCAATCAGAGATCTTTTTAGTTCTTTTGCGGCGAAGAAAGCGATGCCCGGCTGATTTCGCTGCTCACCAACGAGCACCCGCCGATGAGAACCCGTCTCAATGAGGTATTGTTATAGATTGGCCGCTCGCAAGTGCCCTTTACAGATGATGAAAAACTCGCAGGAATTTGCGATGACCTACAAATGCCCGGTAGTCATGCCAAGCCTTTTTACGCCGAGTTATTTTTCAGCTCGGCTCTCCGATGAACCCGGCGAAGAAATGTCGCGTGTGGCGCTACAAAAAACACTGAGAAACGCTCGACCGTCTCGGATATTGTGATCAAAAACGCTTAACCGGAAACCGTGAATTTAGATGCCGATCGGCCAGCGCTGCATCGTCTTCGTGCATCTACTCGAAGCGCTTCGCCAAAAGCCCATTTTTGTACACGTGCTGTATTTTTGTATTGATGAGAATAAAGAAGGCGAGAGCGTCTTTTGAGCGGCAATCCTGAAATAGACTGCAGCCTATTGAAAGCACGCTGTATCCCACAATATTCTGTCATATTTTTTCCAAATAAACAACGGCTTTATTCCTGCAATAGGATAACAAAGTAAAGCTACGGCAGGGACCCGTGCGCAGTTTTTAAAGACAAAGTGTAAACCGTGCAGAAAGGGGAGAGCGGAAACATGAAAATAAAGCAGGGTAACAAGGGGCGTTTAATCGATATCAATGGTTACTATCGAGGGCTTGTTCTTGTTCTTCAAAAGTTCCACCTCGTCCTTCAGCATCTTGCACTCGGTGCTCAACTCGCCCACGTGTAGATACACCTGAAAAAAGGTGGCATTGGAATGGACTTGAAGAGCATAGACGACACAATCAAAACGGAATAAAACAAAAACCTACCGCTCGTTGTTTATGACGCATCTCCTCCAGCTCCTCCTCCTTTCGCTGCAACTCGATACGCGTCTGAGTGCTGTTAGCCTCCGCCTAAATGGAAAGCGTTAGCAAAACTATTGAAAATGAAATGCCGAAGAAATCAAAGCTTACCAATTCGGTGCGCAGCATCCGATTTTCTTGCTCCTTCACCTCGAGCATGGCCTTCAGCTCTGCAATCTCTGCCGCCGCGCGAGCCTCGGTCTGAAAAGAAACAATAAATCCGGTTAGAAATCAATCCCACTCAAAACCCTTGTAAACCATACCTGAGCCAGCTGGTTGCGTAAGATCGCCACATCATTGGCGCTCTGCTGGTTGCCGTGCCCGCGGAAAGAAGCGGAGGTGGCGGCGCTGCTGCCGACTTCTAAAAAAAACTGAAGCAAAAGATTTTGCCAAACCGCTAGTGACTGGCTCCTGCTTGACGAGCTTATGTTCGGTAGGAGCATTCGCGGGAAGGTCGTTGAACACATGGAACAGATCCGAGAACGGCACCTGGAAGGGGGATTACAGAAACTACGAATGTATTACTGGTTCATGGCTGGTATCATTCGCGCTGGATGAAGATGGCCACAATGCAGAGGTGCTCGGCTGCTGAGAATTACCTAATAGACATAGTTATCATAATAAAGATTACCTGAGGATCAGTGTCGTCATCGATGTAATAATTGAGCTGCTGATTATTCAGTGGCAAATTCCAGTCGGTCGAATTGCGCGGCTCGAAGCGATTCAGCCATCCCCTCAGCACCTCCTTTGACAGTGAAAAGTTGTTCATACACTTCGACATCAGTTCATCGTAAAACTCGGCGGTGCTGAACCTGATTTACGAAAATCAGAGAGTAATTACGTCTCGAGAACTATGTTGTCCCCACATTTGTGGTCCACGTTGACACGCCGATAGAACGAAGAACGGTTCTTGGCCGGGTAGGCGCAAACTAAAAAAAGTTAATGATGGCAGTGCCAAAGCACAAACCGGCGCATCTAAATGGGCAGTAGGTTATGTGGGTGAGCGTGTGGTTGACGATGCTCCTCGACATCAGCTTGTCGCTGCCAACGTTCGATTTGAAGCCGCACTCCTGAAATGAACGAAATTATTCTGTAAATGACAACACAAAAAGGCCAAATCCGAACGCCAGTTTTCAAGGTCCCATGGAGCAAACCAAAATCCTAAGCAATAAAATTCAGCACGGCCTTTTAAAATAACGCAAAATTTCACTACGTCGAAATCCATTGCACAGGGATCCCACTAGACCGGAAATTTAATAGGATTTTAGTTGCAATTTTCAGTTGCAGTTCGAAAGCTTTCGATATAACCAAAATCGTGCGCTTTGGATTGAGTGCATAAAGTTTCAGAGTCATAAGATCATCCCGTATTGGTGGCTGGCGCAATGTATTTCGGAATACCCAATTTTCCGCATGGCGCTATCAGTAAAATTCACCTTGCACACGCGCGGCCCATTCATCCCACTTGTGCCACTAGTTGAATTCGCCGAGCCCGTGGCAGCCTTGTTGAGCGTGGCCGAGCGGGGTTGCGGGGCGGACGTGCACAGTCCATCCTTGATGTCCTGCAGCTTCTCCAACTGAGCATCGACGAGCGCCGGTGTGATGGCGAACCCGTTGAGCGTCTGCAGGCGCAATTCCGCGCAATAGTCCGGTGTGCTAAAAAGGAACTTCAAATCGAAAAAAAGCAGATTTTCCCGAGAATCTACATAGCTCAAAAACCAACAACGACTTCAGCTGATGGCCATTCCCATGGTGCACGACCCGAATGTGGTTCGACAGGTTGTCCTCGGTGTGGCAGGCATGTAGGCAGACTGAAAAACGGTCGGTGGTCTACACGTATATGATACCAGAGCATTTATATGCCTTGTGCCATGTGATGTGTCGCATCGAGTGTTCGACAAGGCCTTTCACCACTCTGCTTGGGGCATCGATGTGCAGCCGGTGATGGCAGATCTAAATGTCGGTCGTTTTATCCGCCGGTGATAATACCCTCACCTTACAAGTCCAATCTTTGACACGTGGCACTGCTTCAGCAGCTAGCGTCAGGCCGTCCGACTTGAGGTTCATGTGCGTGATATCCAAGTGGTGCTCGCAAACATCTACTTGAAGGGGGTAGAGGCGACGGCAGCACTCTTTCAATTGAGCGATGAATTCGGGCGTGCTAAAATAAAACTATTTTTAAAAGGGCGACTGATGCTCACCTTTTATCCACCACGTCGCCCTTTCCGGCGTGCATAGCCTTGATGTGAGCGGAAACGGTGTTCTTGATCTTCGACTCATGGCCGCATTCTAAAAGCAACGAATAAACGTCAAAAAACGTGTCGCACCCGAACAACAAAAGGGCCTGGCAGAGAGGTGAGTCCGCGCATGATTCACCAATTTTCGGGCATTTTGGTAGACGGATTGCATTATCGACGATGATGATCCACACAACTAAATGAGAAATTAATGAAATTACTGCAGATTCTCACTTACCAAGCATTGGTTGGCGACTGCCTGACTGGCTGGCACTTTCGGTGTCGGCACATCCGTCATGGGATAAGCCAGGGCACCATTAGCAGTGGAAGACTGCGGATGTTGACGCTTCCGCGACGCAGCCTGAGGCATTGCAGCATTGTCCGCCTAAATACGACGTTAATAGCCCCGATAATGGTCAGCCAAACCGTGCCGCCACCCACAAGAGGCTGCAGCTTCTCGGCCATCCATTTTTTCAACATCTTGGCATTTTTCGGATAGCAGACTGTCGCCTCCGCCATAATATCCTCAACCATCTTGGCGTCACTGAAAAGACGAAATGCTTAACAAAAACTAGAAACACCATAACTGCTCGCAAAATATATTTTCGAACGCCTACATCGAATCCTCAATCACGTGTGGCTCGTTGGGATGCGTTGAGTCCAAGTGCTTTGCAAGATGGCTTCGTGTGTAGGAGTGCCAACCGCAAACTAGGCAAGTATTGGTGAATCCAGTTTATGCTTACTTTTGCAAATGTAGCGGGCAAATTTGGCGTGAGACCAAACGTGGCTCGACAATCCGCTCGGCGTCACATCTTGGTGCAGCATGCTGCATTTCTGAAACAAAGTGTTCGTGGATTTTCGAAAATCTTAATATAAAACAACCTTCCCTATCACTCCTCAAAGTCTTAATTAAAATCTCACTAACCCGGCACTTTTCCGATTGGTAATTCTTGGAAACGTGACGACTCTGAACTCCCGGTGCGCTTCTCCGGGCTTTGTTGGTGGCTTGCGTTGAAGTCCTTGGCCTGCTCGAAAACATCGAAGCAACCGTTTCAAGCACCGCGGAATTGACAGCTTCTTCGTGTTGCGGAAAGCACTGCCTGGTCAATTGTTGCAGTTCCTCTCGCCGATCATCGGGGCTGGAAATCATATCCGTTCACCATTATATTCCGAAACAAAGCGCAAAATTCATGAAAACTCACATAATTGACAAAGACAGGCCACGGTCGTGGGCCGTTGTGATATGGCAGACTACCTCCATGCGATGCGCATCTTTGAACGAACATTCCGAACAGCGTTGCTGAAGATAAATAATGAAAGCCGACAAAAAAAATCTACCTCGAACGGCTTATCCGCGTGAATCGTGGCATGTTCCACCAGCTTTGACGCCAGTTCACCGTCATAAGAGCCGACATCGACTTTGTCGTCGCAAATCTAGAAATATAGGAAAATAGTGAGACGCTTAGACGATACCTCGCATCTGTGCAGCTTCTCCTCTTCTTCACTGACGATAGGATCGGTTGGCGGGGTGCCATGATTCGAGTCGAGAGGCTGGAAGCAGACCATTTCAATAGCTCGATGAAAGGAGTGAAGTTGTGTGCTCACTCCATATGAATGGATAGTTTTCATTCATTTATGTGCAGGGCACAAAAAATTAATCGGCGCCATCTGCTGACCTCGGTTTTGCAACGCAACTGATCGCCATCTGCCGGTCCGAACAGTGAGCTGACTTCCGTGAGGACTATCTTCTCAATTGGAACGAAGAACTCATCAGTGACTACATGTTTCTAAACTTAAATAAAAGGATAATCAATTCAAGCGCACCGGAAGCTGGAAGTACATCGGTATTGGCGAATCTGAGGAACCGCAGGGGCTCGCAGCTAGCTTCTTGACGGGCGAAAGATTTTCGTCAGAACCATTTGAGAGCGATGGTGCGACAACTTCATGGCGCTTCAAAAGCTTCCGCAAAGCGTCCGCCATACTAAAAAAAAGTTAGTAATGTGAAATCCGCGAAAAGTGGTGAAGTCGGAAAGCTGAGAAAAGTTTCCTAAAAGAAGAAGGTGCTGTGTGTATGATAATTACCTACAAACAATAAGCTCGTAGCCCAATTATTTGGAAATAGGAAATAGGATAGGAAAATATTATTTGGAATTGTTACGAAAGCTCGGGTCGGGGATTGCCGGCAGAGACCATTCGCCGCCGTGATGCCGTGACTTTGCGCCCGGGACGCGGCTGTCATCCCGGCGGCAAGCGGTCTCACGAAAATTCAAAAAAGCTGAGCGTTTGGCCTGATTGTACGCGTTGCTCTCATTGCGGGCGGCGAAACCGCTGCCAGTAAGGGCGGCCGACGGCAAAGTCGTGGCGACCGCCGTTTGGCATTCGCCGCCACGCCCTGGCGAAACCACGGCGGATTCGCGGCCTACAGGAGGCGAATGCCAGACAGCGGCATCCCGGCAGCGGCATCCCGGCAGCGAACGCACGCCACATTTCCCCCTGCGGAAGCTATTGAGACCTTGTTTTATTTCGGTTTTGTGGAAACTTTTGCAAACAGAATATTCGGCATTGTCCCCGAAAGTTTTTTCCAGGAAAAATCTCCGAAAGGTTGCGCACACGACGAGGCGTCATGGCGCCGGAGCGCGGCGTTCACTAACATGTGTTGATAGGTGCATGGTGTATAGTGGCGTAATGCTTTGTTCGCAAGTGTATTTTTGGCCTCCAACGCGCGCTTTTGAGCAGCGCTTTTCGCTTTGGAGGCCGAGTTGAGCTATCGATGGCCAACGTGTTCTTTCAGAATTGAGCCCCTTGACTGCCGCTTTTGTCAAAGGGCTCAAAATGCGTCATTTAATCGCAGGACGGGGCTTTGAAAAAATCGCGTGAAAATTTAAACTGGTTTCGAAGATAGGTTCCAAAAGACCGAGAGCATGTTAGCCTGTTATCGCCATACTCGCTGATTCCCGTGGCTTGACGTGCATGCTTTTGCATGCGCCGAGTCGAGAAACATCATTATTTGGACAATGCAATAGTAAACTTTTGTGAGGTTCGAAGGAACGCGCTTGGTGTAGTTGTGGGAGGTTTTGAGGGACGCGGGGTGTGGTTCCGAGAGGTTCCAGCGAGGGAGAGAGTCGGGTCGAGGGGTGGTAGAGACGCCGCGCACTAGAGAGGGCACAGACAAGGCGCCCGACTTCAGTGTCGTTGCAACCGCGTTCCCGCCGCGCTATGGATCCCCCAGCACAGTCCCCTTTCAGTGGTGACACACACATGCATGAAGGGTAGCACAAGGCACGAGACACAATCACTTACCAGGACGCATACGGCCTTGCGGGCAAATAACGGTGAGTCTAGCCCGTCGTAACGTATGCGCATCGCTCACGTTCGTATTACTAACTACTCGGGAGATAAATGGTTCCCGGGCCTTATGTGTGCGAAACATGCGGCCCGTCACTTGCGCCCGACACTTGCGGAGGCGACATTTGCGGCCCGTCCTATTAAGCCCGGTTTTCCAATTTAAAATTAAAAAGAGAATTGGTAAGGGTCTCAAGCATCTTCATGAAAGGCAGGCCGTCGCTTCGGGTGGGCTGCCGCTCCCGTCTTTCGAAATCGTGGCGCATGGCCGCTACGCCCGCCTCGCGCCCCGATTTCGAAACCCTGTACGTGCTCGCACCCGATCCCGAAGCGACTAGGCCCCCGGTGGCACCAAACTTTATTTTCAGGTAAAGGCCAGGGGTCAAACTAGCAAAAGCGTTCAGCAAACTAGCCTGCCGGACGGTTAATAGCTTCAGTAGTGTGAATAACCACAGCTTTGGGCAGCAAATCTCGGGCCGCAACTGTTGGGCGCAAGTGACGGGCCGCAAGTGTCGTGGCACCGAGATAAATATGTACCTTTGATTTGTCAGTTGTTAGAATATCCCAATATGCGCCCCGTGATAGACGTCCTGCAGGGTAAGTAGCGTACTCCAGGCTATATAATTTGAGGTGTGGGTCCTCGCGAGGGGTAAATGCCTCCCCTCCCCAAACCAAAGGGACCGAGTCTTGGCAAAAAAGTCATCGTTAGTCATTGGTCATGTTCTCCAAGTGCCTCCACCTCCAAGTCAACTCGAAGGGGAAAAGAGCTAAAGCTTATTGTTAGCTCTCTTCGGATTCGGATAGAGCGTGGTCAGTAACCCCCAAACTGATAAGAAAATTATGAAAACGTTTCAGTTTAAATTATTAAAACTAACTTTGAAAGTTTTTTTTTCCTTAGTAAAAGGGCCGCCATACTAAAAAAGCCAGTAATGTAAAATCCGCAAATAGTGAATTCGGAAATCCGAGAAAAATTCCCCAAAAGAAAGAGATGCCATGCGTATGACAATTACCTACATACAGTAAGCTCATCTCTTATTATTTGGAAAAGAAAGGAATTGGCGAAAAAAGAGTGCACGGGGATTGAGGGCAGGGAGACCTTTTGAGAGCAGGGTCTTGGCGAAGACTCGGCCGCGGCGGGAAGCTATTGAAACCTTGTTTTATATGGCTGCCTGGAAAGTACACCACCATTTCTTACACCCTCTGGAAAAGACGCCCTTGATTTAGCTAACAAGGGAACACGGCTCGTCAAAGGGCACTTTACTACGGGGAGCGCCTATTGCCCTCCGGGCTCTGTGGGGCGGCGCCGCCCATATTAAAAACTCAGAAAATCTACGTTTTCTTCTAATAACTTTTTGTATACTATTTTGAATCTTCGGGCGGCGTGGGAACTTGGTAGAGAAAAAATTCTCTATCGAACTGTGTGGGTCGCGACGAGAGTTCTCACCTAAATAAGGAGATTTTAAAGCCTAAAGTTCCCGAAATTTTCGATCCAGCTGGTTTATGGCTAGTTTTTCGGCCTGTTTTTATCAAAATACGATCAAATCTCGCTAAAAGGTTGGGTGGAGTCACGATACATGCTTTTGAATTAATGACGGAAGTTCTGGAAAAAATCACCCCTTGTCCGATGGCGATCCTAATATTTCGATGCTAGCACCCCACCCGGAAGGATTTGAGCCTTGTATGGCGGTTTTCTAGGTAATTATATCAATTTAATGTAGTATTAATCGCAAAACTGCTGAATTATGAACCTCCTCTTAAGAAAATAGCCAAGGTAGTCGGGGAATTGGACGCTTGGAGCAGGAGCTTCGTCATCTGTAGCTCATTTTGCTAACATAAACGCATCAAAGCGCTTATTATCGTTACTAAGCCAAAAGATTTGTAATAGCAACCCTGAAAGCTGGTTATGGAGCGAAATTGCGACTGTTTTTAAAAAAAAACATTTTTTTAAAACGGGTTCTAGCCGCTTTTTGCTATTTTCTGGGACTTTTTCGCGAGTATGATTTGATTTTGTGTTACCGTAGACGATCGGTGATACATTGGAGCAAAAAGCAAAACAACGATCGCCAAAATGGGGATTTTTCGCCGCAGAGGAACCGAACTGGGGGGCTCGCCTGGGAGGTTAACCCACTATCCGCGGGGAGAGGACCCGCAGCCCCCAGAAGTGCGTTTTTGGTAAGGCCTGACGCGCCGTGGGAACCTCACGCGGACAGGGTGGAATTTCGGAAAACGCTCGCGGCCCCCTAGGTAATCGGCCACTGCGATCACGATGCACTTGTCAGATTTTTCTGAACGCACCTGTGGACAGAGATACAGCACTTCCGGAAAATGCTGTTTTACATGCAAAAAATTAGCATAGAGGGATGGTTTATGAGGCATTCCCATCACTATGGAATCACCAATTGAATGGCCGAGTGGTAAGCGACTCACTTGATAGGATACTGACGAGGGTACGGATCCGCTCACAATTTTTTGCTTTTGCTTTTTGTCCAGCAATTTTTATACAAATTCAGAACCACCAGGGTTGAAAAGCCGCTTCGCGACTTTTCAACCCTGGCCCCGTCTGATCCCGTTTTATCCTTCACTTTGCATAATTTTCCTGAAGTCAGATGACAAAAAATGAAAAACTACCTGTTGAGCTCCTTTATATAGTCGAATCCCCACTTCCGGTCTACGCTAATTGTTCCTAACAAAGAGGTTTTTACAAAACTTAAATTTAATGTCGAAAATAGGTGATTTTGTTAAATCTGATATGCGTGCAGTCATCTCCAGGCCATTACGCATCTAATGACGTATCATACATACCTTAAAATTCATCTCCTATCGAGATAACCTCCGGACAGACAGACGGAAGTGGATGCAAAGTGGCACACAGACACACACACAGACACTATTTTTTTATACAGGGTGTCCCATAAAAAAGCACCCCTCCGGCATTTCGCCATATTATATCCGATCGGTTCCAAAATTGGACCACAGGTGTATCAGGCCCTAAATAACCACAATCCTGAGTTACAGTCTTCCTACTATGGTAGTTTTCGAGATACAACAAAAATAAACTTTTCTATCCGCTTTTCATAAAGTTTTCGACGGAATCGACCCTTCGAATATGAAGTGAAAATGAAGCGGCATGCCTTCTTTACCCCTAGAAATTTTTCCCTAATTAAGATTAATCAAATAACCGTTGATTTCAACGGGGTATTTCCCCTATCCCGAAATTCTGTATCCCGAAACTCCCAATCCCGAAATTCTGTATCCCGAAACTCCCAATCCCGAAACTCTCTATCCCGAAAACTCTCTATCCCGAAAACTCTCTATCCCGAAAACTCTCTATCCCGAAAACTCTCTATCCCGAAAACTCTCCATCCCGAAATTGCATGCGGAGCGCCCCGGAAGTGAGGCATGAAGGCAAGCTTTGCATCATTGCCTCGTTTCCATATGAAAAGCAAGCTCTACTCTGTTTCGGCCGGCGAGGGGGCCGGCGAACCTTGGGCGAAGGGGCCGGGCCGGGGGGCCGGCCGGTTCGCCGAACCTGGATTGGCGAACCGGCCGGCAAACCTACGTTCGCCGGCGAACCTCGGCGAACCTGAGCGAGCTTTTAATGGCAGCCCTTATTAATATATGAAAATTAAATTATTAAACGCTTTCTGCGTGTTGTTTCTATAGTTTCTGCTTCCGGCAACGGCAATCGAAGTGTAGACGAGTAGGGAGGCTGGAAATACTTGGGTTTCCGGTGTTTTTGGCCTTCGTAGCCTTTGAACCTACTTTTTCTCGGATGAAACTACTCTGCTATCAATTCCTACTTTTAACAGAGCGGTATTGTTAACTACTATAACTTACGAGCCGTTACCACCATACGTGCTGTCGACAGCAGTGGTGCATCCCATCTGCGAAATCTAGGACTGAGCGTTCTTTCGATAGCCTTTTATTATTTTGAAACAGCTTGCCTGGAATTAATCATTTTTAAAGAAAATAGACATTTTCGATACAGCAACAATGTTGCCAATTACCTGGATTATGAGTAATTAAAATCCTCCTCTTATGCCCTGACAGCCTACCTGTGCTATTTACCTCATATTGCGTAGTAGTAGCGCGTCTACTTTGTAAAATGGTTCTGAAATTAACTTTACAAGTTAGAAACTCTAAGTGGGGTAATTCTGTAAGAAAAAAATGAACAATGCTTTTATCGACCGCAAAATAAAGACAACAATCAAACCTTTTTCATAAACCTATCGCTTCGCCGGTTGCGCCGTTACGCACCACGAGGCGTATGGTAACCCTAAAACACAAAGAATAGATCGACTTCAGCATAAAAGTAAAACCTACACTACCTATAAACCTAAACATCGACTTAAAAAGTTTAATTAGTCAAGCGTGCAGGCCGCTCAGCAGCCGAGATTTGAATTAAAGGTAAAACTAACCGAAGATGACGTCGTCGGATGCCATTCTCGTCTTCAAGTTTCTGGAGGTAGCGTTCACACTGGTAGGACTGCCTATAAAAGATGAAATCCATAAAAAAAAATATCAAGATTTACCAGTTACCAACGATTCCTGGGTTTCAGGTTCAGTGTGCTAAACAGATATCACCTAAAGATTACGATAGCAATAAATATAAAAGTTATAAAAGATTTTACCTTGTAAACAGCACAATTTATAATTATTTTTTGTTTTATTGCTTAACAGTTCAAATCTTCCGCATTTGCCGCACCGGCGCGCGTTGCGGTTCGCCGGGCCGGTTCGCCGAGCCGAGATTTTGCCCCAGGTTCGCCCCGGTTCGCCGCAGGTTGGCCGGCCGGTGTGCCCGGCCAGGATCGCCGTCCCCTTCGCCCATCCTCGCCGGCCGGTTCGCCAGCCCTCAGGGTGGCCGGCCCCTTCGCCGGCCGAACCAGAGTAGCCACTCATGCACTTTTACTTTGCATTTGGTGTCCTTCTAGCTTTTCTTTTAACTGGCTTAACAGGTTCCGAGATAGAAAGAGTTCTGGATTTGGGAGATTTCGGGATAGAGAGTTTCGGGATGGAGAGTTTTCGGGATAGAGAGTTTTCGGGATAGAGAGTTTTCGGGATAGAGAGTTTTCGGGATAGAGAGTTTTCGGGATAGAGAGTTTTCGGGATAGAGAGTTTTCGGGATAGAGAGTTTCGGGATTGGGAGTTTCGGGATACAGAATTTCGGGATTGGGAGTTTCGGGATATAGAATTTCGGGATAGAGAGCGGTATTCGATTTCAACAATTCTTGTAACCCAAATTCCCCCGATATTAAGAGAAATTAGGGATTCGCGGCCGGAAGTCGATGCAGATCGATGCAAAGTCCAAAAAGATAGCCGTAAATAACTGTCCAGAAACGCGTAAAAACTAGTATTTTTACCATAACTCGAAAGCTACTGCAGCGATCGGGCTATAACTCAGGATTGTGGTTATTTATGCTCCGATACACCCTTATGCAAAGTATGGGACCGATTGGATGTAAGGCGGCGAAATGCCGGAGGGGTGCTTTTTTTTGGGACACCCTGTATATAGTAGGATAAGTGGTAAAGCACTTCTTAAGTCGTCTCAAAATTAGTTCTGAAAAATTAAAAATTTTTTGTACCGACGTGTGTGGGCACCCCGAAAGGCACCCCGGGGTGCGTTCAAAGGCACCCGGGGACACTATTAATGCACCCCCGAGGGAGTGGGGTGTCTTTCAAACAGACCCCGGGGTGCGTTTCAAAGGCACCCGGGGACACTATTAATGCACCCCCGAGGGAGTGGGGTGCCTTTGAAACGCACCCCGGGGTGCGTTTCAAACAGACCCCGGGGTGCGTTTCATGGTACCCGGGGTGCGTTTCTTGGGGTGCTGTCCGACACTAGTGGGAACCCAGCCGGCAGGGCTGATTTTCATTTTACGAATTTTTTTACCTACACTGGCTGTACATGGAATATAACCCAAGTAGGGGTTTTGACTACGAGTAGTAACATTCTGGACTTGTGCAAAAACTTCCGGCCAAAAAGTAAAACAAAAAATTGTGAGCGGATCCGTACCCTCGTCAGTATCCCACCAAGCGAGTCGCTTACCACTCGGCCATTCAACTGGTGATTCCATAGTGATGGGAATGCCTCATAAACCATCCCTCTATGCTAATTTTTTGCATGTAAAACAGCATTTTCCGGAAGTGCTGTATCTCTGTCCACAGGTGCGTTCAGAAAAATCTGACAAGTGCATCGTGATCGCAGTCGCCGATTACCTAGGGGTAGCCGCGAGCGTTTTCCGAAATTCCACCCTGTCCGCGTGAGGTTCCCACGGTGTAAGAAATTTAGATTTTAGAGCCCTCTAGAGCGTATAATTTCCAAGAAAAGCAAGATTTAGCGGGTGTACGGAGGTTGCACGGGGGTGTCCTTTCCAGGTTACCTTCTATTTAGCTTTTCTAGAAACGTTGGTAAACAAAATATTCGGCATTGCCCCCAAAAGTTTTTTCCAGGAAACGTCTCCGAAAGGTTGCGCACATGACGAGGCGTCATGGCGAGGGAGCGCGGCATTCACTAACATGTGCTGATAGGTGCAGGGTGTATGATGGCGTAATGCTTTGTTCGCAAGTGTAGTTTTGGCCTCTAACGAGCGCTTTTGAGCAGCGTTTTACTCTTTGGAGGCCGAGTTGAGCTGTCGATGGCGAGTGGCGGGCAAGCCCGCGGCGTCCCCCAGCACGGTCCCCTTTCAGTGACACAAACATGCACGAAGGGCCGAGCACATGCATCGAGACAAGCACCTACAAGGACGCATATGTCCCGGCAGGTAAATAACGGGCGTAAAAATAACAACCTGTGCGCACCGCATTCACTGTGATTGCTGGTGCACATTCGTTACGTTGTTTTGGTAAAGGGTTAAATAAGAGCGACCGCCGCTAAGGGCTGCACCTGGATAAACTCTATCTGGTTGGAAGGTAAGTCCTTCCGTTTTTGCGAAACGGTTTTTTCCGAAATATTCGATAGTAGTGTCTGTCTATATATATAGATAGATAGAACTGTCTGCGACTCTCCACTGGGCGCGCTCTTTCCCTCCCTACCGCGACGCCCCCGACCGCAACGCCTTTTAAAGGGGTAGCGCGTACATATGTCAGTCGCTTACGCAGGGAAAGGGGATTCCTCTGCGCCTCTCGCCCGGTTGGCAATTTGCCAGCTGTTGATCCCCCCTACCAGAAAGGGGATCAATGGATGCTTTCGGATTCCCTTTGAGGGATCATGTCGTAGTGAAGACGTAGCGCTCCACTATACACAGCCAATAAAGGGATAGCGCCCTCATAGGTCGATCACCCAGATCCACTTTTTGGCAAACAGCCAAAAGGGCAGATAACGCGTTCCGGGAAGAGAGGCAGAGACACTTTCTTTCCCTCTCGTCACCGATTACTTGTGCCGTCCTTATCCCTTGGCGACATTTTGTACCGGCTCTGAAGTTCCTCTGCCCGCTAATGTCTGTGTGCCGAAGAACTTACAATTTCATTGCTTGGAATTAGAGCCATCATATCAGAGCTAAAACTCATTTATTACCCGCATCAAATAACAACAAGCACAACAAGCATATTATTTTCTTTTCATTTTTGAAGTTGAGCCTTCAGCCGCTTGTTCTAAAAAATATTTCTTCGATAATTCTTTGAAATTTACCTCAGCTTCGAGCAACTTGTTCTCAGTCGTAGATTCGCCAATTATGCCGTACAACTAAAGCACATCAAAACAAAGCCTTTAATGGTTACATCTTTCTGCTTTTCCCGGAGTTGTGCTACCGTCGTCTGGAGCTCATCGATGTGTCGTTTTTTCTTGCGCACTTCTTCTTGGAGCTGCTTGTTATCGACCTTAAATATTGTTAGTTATAGAGAATGGTATTTGGCGCAAACATGGCATCTAGATTGCCAAACTCCTTGGTTACTCGGATACGAAAAGGGAAACATACCAATTGGGCCATCAAGTCCTCAATCTGCTTGTCGCGCTCGATGAGTCTTGCATGCAGAATTGCGACCTCGTCGAAACCGCTATCCGTCATCTACAATGCAGGGTTTGTTCGTTTGAAATCTCGTAGCTTACCTGATGGTTTTGTCCATTCCGCAAATCGAGCTGAACGGGCGTGGAGAGAAGAATTGGCTCGGCGAGTATAGAGAAGGCTGGAACAGGATTTTTCTATGATCCCATTTTTCCAAACGGACTACTGGCATTGGTGTATTGCATGAACTTACAATGTGGCTCCTCGTCTTTTTCTTGCTTGATCTTGACATCTCGGCATAAAGAGCTCGTTGCTCGAAAAACGCCTTGCCGGAAACAGTCAGATTCATCAGAGATGGAAGAGGGGAACTTTTGATCCTAAAAAGAGCTCATCAGATGATGTTCTATCGAAACTTGCCTGGAAGCAATTCTGGATGACATCTAACGTCATCGTCGGCGTTTTCACAAAATAGCCGTCATCGGTGTCGGTTCCATCTATTTCCGGAGAGTTGCTGCCCTCTGCGCCATCCATTCCAATGCCAACGCCCTGCAGCGCCTCTTCAATCATGCGGTCGAGGTATGGCACGAGCAACGCCTTTTTCTGCGGAAAACAGCTCAGCGTCATGCTTTTGACCGACTCGTAGTATTCTTGATTTCTGAAAAGATCAGGGCTTTATTGTTAATTTCAGCAGTCTCCGAATGGCTGTACAACGAAAAATTACCTTAGATCTATCAAATGACCCTTTCCATTATGCTGGCGGCTCAAGTGGCTGCTGACCTGCGTTTTTGTGCGCATTCCGTGGCTGCACACTGGGGAAATTTTCAGTAGAAACGGATCGAGTAAGAGCTTTTACGTGAGCATCCAAATGCGCGTTGATGAACGTGCGTATTTCCATGCCAGGCCATCCGTCGATAACAGCGCCCGATGTTCAACTTCTTGTTGCACATCTAGAATCAAGATTCTTTTTTTTAATTGCTTTTCTCCTACCGAACACTTCTGAAAGATATCATCGTCGGTTTGCGTGTTGTCCTTCTGTGTTGGCTAGAATATAATCTTGATTTAAATCTCCTAAACCTCACCTCATCCTTCTCACCACTAAAACTTGGCACTTCCGGTTGGTTACTCTCCAGCCATTTCTTCGGCACGTATTGCTGGATGTAGTGTGCTTCGTCAGGGAACAGAACGGCGGCCATATTCTTCAGATCCGTGTAATACTCTTTCGTGCTGTAAGGCTTGAAAATGATTGCTAAACAATGCATACGTGGCATCAATAATCTCTCCGCGCCCATTGTGCGAATTGTTGACATGTTTGTGGACGTTGCGCTTCAGACGAAGCGACATGCCGCAAACTAAAAAAATGAAAGAAGTTCAAAAAAATTAGTAGCAACATACCCGAGCAGCTGAATGGCCTGATGGCTATATGAGATGCGGCATGTTCTATGAGGTTCCGGAAGCGCTTGCCGCCAGAATACGCAATTGCCTTGTCGCACCCCTGAAAGTGGATAATGGTATTGGAAATGGAAATGTTACTCCGCAATGCTTGACGTCACGTGAATCTCCATCGGCTTTGAACAGCTTGTCAACGTCTTCGGCTGCCTGAAAACGCATCTTCAAATTAATGTGCTCAAATTTTTCGAACCTAAATAAAATAAATTTTTACCTGACTCAACATTTCAGCTTCATCCGCATCATCTAAATTCATGCCCATATTTCCGGTGGGCAACGATTCGGATTGCGCCTTGCGCGCCGCAAAGTCAGCATTCAAGTATTTGGCCATGTATCGCTCAATGTCGTCCTCGTACCCCGGATAGATTTCCTGCGCCATAATCTTGACCTCTTCGTAAAATTCCTTCGTGCTAAAGGGAAATTAAAGTTCTTAGGGTTATAAAATATTAGAATCCAAGAATTCAGACAACTGCATTAAAAATCGTACCTGACATCCACCACAGCCCCTTCCCCATTATGCTGGGCTCGGAAATGTTTGACGAGGTTGGCGGAGATTCGGGTTCCGAGGCCGCATACTGTAATTTTTGGTGCGTCTTAATCATTAAAAATGTATTTACATACTTGAGCATCGAAATGGGCGAAAATCGATGTGCGTCATTGCGTGGTCGACCAAATTCTTGCTCTGAAGTATCCCGGGCTTTGCCACGCCGCATTTCTAAAATAAATCTATTTTGTTTCAATTCAGCTTGAACTCGCCATGCATTTCGGGCCCATTGCTGCCGGTTTCGGCGCAGTTCGGGCAATGACCGGCTGACTGCTGCTCGGTTTTTGGAGTTTGTAATTAGCCAACTAAGAGTATAATAAATTCGATAAAAAGTGACATACGGGCACGGGGTTCTCCATGCTAGACAGCAAGTTTCGCTCCATATAGTTTCGCACATTCTCGGCGTTTTGCGGATAGCACTCGCCGACCAGTGCCATGAAGTTATCAATCATTTGTTCGGTACTGAAAACGATGACGGTACTGTTTCGTTAGCGGGGGGAGGAATTAATTTTTGAAACCAACATTGTATCGATGACTTTCTTGCTCCACTTTCCACCAAAGGACTCGCATTTGTGGCCGGCGCGCGTCATTTGATAACATCCGAAACCGCAGCCTAAGCGGAATTTTGAAAACGTTTGAAGTAACCAGCTCAAGCAATTTTTTTGATTTTTTAAAAATAAGATAAAAACAGGCTGATTTTTACCTTTTTCACAGTAGAATCGCTTGGTGCCCATGTGAGTCCAGACGTGCTGTCCCATATTCCGCACGACAGACTGCCGACGGTTACATTTCTAAATGTAAAGACCTTTATTCATAGAGCGTTCTCCTAAGCTATCTCCTTACTGTCGGTAAAAAAACACATACCTGACAATTCTCGACGATCGTTTCGGTCGCCAAAAGGCTTGGGATGAGGTTGTAGGCCTGTTCCTCGTCAAAATTGTCCATACCAACGTCTAGATCCTCCTCGTCCCCAGTGACCGTATCCCATAATTGGGCCAGCAGTGGAAAGCACGTCGGCAGCAGTTCCTTTAGCGAATTCTCATGCTGGGACTGGCTAAATAATGAATTGAACATGTCAAAAACGCTGAACTCACATGTTCATCAACACTTTGCCATCATCTCCGTGTTTTTGTTTAATGTGGAGAGCTATCAGATCTTTGCTTTTTCCGACGAATGGACAGCGCGAGCAGGTTTTCTTAAGGAAATTGAATTAATTGGTAAACGAGATCCATGTGGTCCCAGAAACGCCTTTTCACTTTCTAAATCCGGATTTCTACCTCAAATTTCAACACTGAGTGGGTGGCGGCATGCTGTAAAGCATTCGTATGGGTCTCAGCTTCGTCGAGACCAAGATCGATGGCATTGTTGCAAATCTAAGTATTGATTTGCTATTATAATGTGGAAGATCATAAGGTCAAAATTCATAATGGCGAAATTTCATGATGTCGAACTTCCGAACCTCGAATTTTTTTTCTCATGGGATTCGGGCTTTTTTCCGGGAAAATTAGCTTATGTAAATTTAAATATTCTAAATGACGTTAGGAAACCTCGACGTTCTGAAATTTCGACATCATGAAAGGACCGTAAATTTTCTGTTTAGCCACTAACAAAATAAACAAACCTGGCAAATTGACATATCATTAGCGCCACCAAGGATGTCGATGTCGCCATCGAATTCGCCACTTTCGCCCGGAAGAATATTTGGTTTCTAAATCCGGGGCTTCAGTGGCATTATTTTCTTTACCTTGTCAACTGGTTCATCAGGGTCTTCGGATGACGCCCGTTTCCTGGTTGCCATCTGCGGGAATATCAAAGACATTTCGCCTAGAAATGTGATCTACACCTGGTCGTAATCAACGTATCAGTACTGATTAAAAAAAATAAAAATATTTGTATTCTACTAAACAAAAAAAAACATAGGTAGATGCGTCCGTCACAGAGTTCAAATCGAATCCCTTCATTGGAAGAATTTAAGGATATTTTTTCATGTGCTGTTGGGCAATAATTTAGGTGACTGCACGCGTACATATGTTTTCAAAATCAGCTATTTCCTAGTTGAAAATTGCTTTTGTTGAACACCTCCCGGACGCTGCTGTTTTGGGACTCAATTTGCATACGCCGAAAATAATATGTAAAGAGCCAGCCGCAGCGATTTTCACATATTTGTCTCCAGAATTCGTGGAAGAACTAACGCATAATTTAAATTATCAGTCGCTTAGCGTTTTTTAAGCCTGCTTGCAGTCAAAATAATATTTGTGGTTTTTATTCATGCAAAAATTGCCAGCATAAACTGCTGGAGGCTGAAAAGTTGTGGCTGGTAATTCAGAACGTGATTCGGGGCTACAAGAAGAAATTCAGTAAAAACCCCCGGCGGAAATTTGAAAGCGGCGCCAGGAATAGCGGGCGGCGGGTATCGACCCGGGGAAGGGGATGGCGGGCGGGGGGACAACGCGGGGCGCTTGCCTGGTGGCGCCCCGGCAATGGCGCGAGTACGCGGGAATCGAGGAGGGGCAGTAGTAGCGAGGGCCGTACACCGACCCCGTGGATGGGGGCATGGCGCAGCTGGCGCCCACATAGAGATATAAGCATTGCAGCAGTCACCGAACGGGGCGCAAGATAATTGGGCGCTTTTAGCGCGGGCCGGCATTGACACCCCGGGAAACCGGAGCCGGTTAAAGGGACGGTGAAGGCTAGGTTTTACGGGCTAAACGGTAGATCTTTAAAGGGGTCGGGAAAGCGCGGCTCCAAATGCTAGTTGATCCCTCCGTGGGGAGGGGGAGTCAACAAGCATTTTGGATTCTGACTTCCCATCCCCTTTTAAAGCGCGATACTCGAGGAGAATAACGCGTTTCCAAGTTATTTCGGACTTTTCATACTAGTATTCCAGGTTTCAGGCCTCGAATCGCGAATCTGTGGCGTCTCAACGAGAAAATCATCCTCACGCTTCGCGACGGTAACCATCTGGCCTTCGGGCTCCTACACCACACCATTCCACCTACCACATCAATACCCACGCTAACGGCTTCACATAGCCCCCCCCCCCATAGCTGAAACCCCCTTAAAAAACTTAAAAAACTAATTTTTGTGAGCTTCAGAGCTTCCATTTTTTAGGCCCTTGTTTTATTGAACTTTGTAGGTGATTGTGAGTGATATGTAGTGCGCAACCATTGATATCGTGAATCGGGGGAATGGATAAGGGGAAGAAGGGTGTCTACTAGGGCTACAGAGGGATTTCTCTTTCTCTCGGCCTCTCACTCTCTCTCCACTCTATCGTCGCTCGTTCAATCGATCGATTCCCGTTCCTTGCTGTGTTCCTACAACCCAGCCGAATGATCCCCCCAATCTTACTTCCTAAACGATGTCTCGCTGGCCTTATATTTGCCACCCTTTTCATATAGCTTTCCTTCTTATTTCGATTTGAAGAATTAACAAATTCTCATACCGAACCAATACTCTTAACGCAATGAATGAATGAAATATAGCGTGATTTCTAAGGTATCATTTTTGGCCAACATTAAAAGTAAGGAGGAGTCCCAAAGGTTTCTCGTTTTTTTTTGTCGCGGCTGTTCTTTGCCATTCTCTTCCTTCCCCTCGTTTTTCGTAACTTAAGCCCCGGCTTTCCCGTTTTTCTTTTCTATGACACGACTAAGATTCTTCCAGGGTTGACCCCACACTCCCTATTTTCCATTTTACATTTTTCTTCTTCAGCGGCCTCTTTCCACCTAGTATACCTTATTCTAACATGCTCCTTAGGGGGATTTAGAGCGTAATCAGAATATTCTAGCATATACAATGTTGTTTATTTGAATCAGTGTCAGAAAATGAGCCAATTCTCCCGTCCGCCCGCAATGATGGCTGTTTGGCAGCCCGTTTCGCGCGTAGGGGGGGGGGAGGCGATGAGCACGCCGCTTCGGATCCGGAGCGGAGTGGTTTAACGGAAAAGAGAGGAGAATGATCTCATCCTCCCTTCTCTTTTCCTTCTTTTGCCTATCCACACAGGGGAGACACTCCAATCATCCCCATTCAGCCGGCCTAGATTCCATTTCCATACGCACGGTGGCGCCCGCAACCACTATGGATTCGGGCGCTGATAGCAACTTTCCAAAAAAAAAACAAAAAATTATTTTGCCCGCTCCTACAGCTGATACCTTGAGTTAATAATCTACCAAGTCTGCATTCGTTAATTCCACTGAAGTTTTCTCAGCTTTTTTGCAATGATCCCGCTTGGTCGCGAATTTATATTTGGTGCTTTCGCATTATCGGGGGGGGGGTTTCTTTAGGATCCAGTTCTTCTAGTCTAAATAGCAGATCGGTTTTTAAACTATTTTTACTATTGCTAAACGCAAAGGAGTTACCAATTAAAAATTACAAAAATTGAGTTTTCGGCCAAAATAGTCGATTTTTAACAAATGTCAAAATGTAAGAAATTATTTTCGGTTTAGTTTTTTCCTTTCATAATCCTACTATATATAAAAAATAGTGTCTGTGTTTGTGTTGGTATGTGTGTGCCACTTCCGCCCGTCTGTCCGCCGGTGTGTCCGGAGGCATAAAGTTAATGGTACGTATGATACGTCATTAGGTGCGCAATGGTCTGTAGATGACTGCACACGTATCGGATTTTACAAAATCAGCGATTTTCGACATTAAATTTAAGTTTTTGTGAAAACTTCTTTGTTAGGAAAAATTGGCATGGACCGGAAGTGGGGATCCGACTATATAAAGGACAGAAGAGGTTGTTTTTCACGTTTTGTCATCCGAATACACGACAATTATGCAAAGTGAAGAGTAAAAAAGGAGTCAGACGGGGCCAGGGTTGAAAAGTCGCGAAGCGGCTTTTCAACCCTGGTTATCCCTATTTTCGTATTTTCCGAAAGGATGACACGAGCAATCGATCGTCTGACCAGTGCCTGTACAAGCCATTATCGCTAGGCGCAGAGTTGGGCCGATTCTGTATCGCATGATTCATCCTTGCTGCCCACTCAAAACTTTCAATGGAGCCGACGGAAACCGTCACATCCAGACGGCCCGGGGGATTTCTGTCTCCAAAAGTAGTATATCGCCTTTAACACAGGCGGTAGAGACGCTAAGTATTCTTCCAAAATAAAAATTTTCATCGCGAATTTATGCCATCTTTTTGCAGTTTTTACAAAAGTCGTTGAAGTTTTAGGCCTTAAAAGTGTTGTATCTCCTCATTAACGCACCTAAAACGCAATAAATTACTTTTACTATGACATATTATTTATTATTTATTACATTAGTATACGTATTACATAATATTAAAGTGCCACTCATTAAAACACAGCCGCAGATGCTTTTAGCTAATGCCAGCATGATACTTTAAACCGTTCGAAGCCATGCTATTCAGTTTTTACAAGGGTCAGTCGAAAGGCGACGAATAGCTGTTTTGGAAGGAGCCCTTCTGGGCCATCGTCCTCCCGCATTAACACACGAATCGTTGGTTCTCTTTTGAGGGTCCAGAATGTCTTTTGCGCCTCTCTTTCAGGCACCCCCCAGTCGATAGGAATCCCCCGTTCTCAACATTCCATTTTCTGGCACTACCCAATTCTTATTCCATGCCTTCCTTTTCCTCAGAATTCCATATTTTTCAGGAAAATGCGGAGTATGCGTGATGAGCGCCCACCACCGCCACCATTACGGTATGAATTATCATGATAATCAAAAAGCATGAGAATTTTTTGTTATGCATATAAAGGAATTTAGCTAAATGAATATATGAGCCTAAGTAGAAACGTCTACAGATCCAGCAGCAGCAACATTGAATGCCAAAATGTGGTCGGGTTGAAGCCATTGCCGAAGGAGCCAACGGACACACTCGGAAATAAGAAGAAAAAATCCCTCGGAATGAATCCCTTCGGAACTAAAAGTGAGTAACAACCACCATCTGTTAAAATAACTTTCGATTTCGACCCTTTTCAACCACCGGCGAGTTAATCCGCTTCCCACCGATCACGAATTGATATTCAATCACCGGCATAACATTATTTTCCAGAAAAAGAAAAAGAAAAGGTCGCCGAAAAGCCGGTTATTTCCGCGCCATCAAACTTTGAGCACACGATACACGTCGGCTACGATCAAATCACCGGCGAATTTACGGTAGGGTTTTTCGTTATTCCTTGTAATTTTTTTGTTTAGGGTATGCCGGCGGAATGGACGCGACTGTTGAAAGATTCACAAATCAGTAAATTGGAGCAGCAGCAAAACCCACAGGTTCGTAGTTTATTTCAGTTACAGGTTCTAATTCCAACGAATTTTTATTTAGTACTTTACCTTAGCACCATAACTTTAATAAACATTTTTTGTAATAAGTGTTGCTAAGCTGCTTTTAAACGTACCAACTTTACAAATTTTATTGGTTAAACTAAATTTACAAACATAGATTTTCACCCAAAAATGGCAAAAGAAGACCATTAAAATATATATCATGAAATTCCCGGGCGATGCTTTTTCGCAATTCGATTGCAACGCAAATTTAAGGCAGTTTTGACGGCGCTACGATACTATACTCGTGACCACGAGCCGACAGAAAAATGGATGCAGCCACAATACGAGTCGGGTGGATCCGGTGTGTAATTTTGCCATTAAGCTTGTTTTGGTTTTCGTCCAGACCAACGATTTTTATAAAACTACGTGAAATTCAGGCTCCGGCTACTCTCCGCGCAGCACCGAGACGTTTTCGCCGAAGAATTCGTACGGGATGCCGCCTCCCCTTTTCAATTACAACAATGCCCAACGATTGCTCGGAGGTTGGGTCATTTTATTGGATTTTTAAATTGTGATTTAGGTCCCTCATCTGCACATTCCAAACCACCGACGGGTTACTCGGGATATGGAGCACAGAATGAGCACAGGATTAGTATGCCACCGGTAGGAAAATGTTATAAATTGTATTGACCTAGCTATAAAACCCGATTTCGATAATATATGTCGTTCGAATCGGATACTAATCCTGAATGTTCAGAGCTACGCTCCTCCCGCTCCTCCAGAAGAAGATGACGAGGCTCCGCCCCCAGTCCCGGATCGTCCAGCCCGCACACTAAGCATAGTAAGTCAGAATCGGAAAATCTCAAGCTACTATTCTTTCTTAGTACACAAAACCGAAAGACGAGGAGGACAAAGAAATCAACGGTGGTTTCGGAGCCAATGTTCATCGGGTTGGCGCCAAGAAAAAGAAGATGTCGGATGCCGAGGTTGTCGCGAAGCTGCGAACAATTGTGACGATCGGAAATCCGGACAAGAAGTACCGAAAGGTCGACAAAATTGGATGCGGGTGGGTGTTGATTTTTGTTATTAATGCATAACTAAACAACATCTTATTATTTCTGTAACCATCAAAAAAACCTAACTTTTGCTTTTCTAAATACACAGCTTGACGAAATATACTTTTTAAAAGTGGCTACGAGCTCTCAAAAATCAATCAGTTTAATTTTTTAACATTTTAGTGCCTCCGGATCCGTGTACACAGCAGTTGAAGTTTCCACAGCACAGGAAGTGGCCATCAAGCAGATGATCCTCCAGAAACAAGTAGGCAAAAACTAAGGGTTCTAAAACACCTCACTCATCCAGGTGAAAAAGGAGCTGATCATCAACGAGATTCTGGTGATGCGAGAAAATAAGCACCCAAATATCGTCAACTACCTTGATTCGTACCTTGTCGGCGAGGAGCTTTGGGTGAGTCAAGAAAAGGGTGTAATATTAATTCTACTAACTACAGTTTTGACCATTACAAAAATGCTGAATTAAGGTGGTAATGGAATATCTCGCTGGAGGATCGTTGACTGATGTTGTCACAGAATGCCAAATGGAAGAAGGAATGATTGCGGCTGTTTGTCGAGAGGTAATTCACCACTTTCCATCATGATATTTGCTCGTTGCTCAGGTTCTGCAAGCGCTCGACTTCCTCCATAGCCGACACGTCATCCATCGCGACATCAAATCCGATAATATTCTGCTAGGCATGGATGGATCGGTGAAATTGAGTGGGTTTTATGTGCAAAATACGGCTGACAGAACCGATGTCTATTTGATAATTTATCTATAGCGATACATATTAAAAACAACCCTTTTCAGCCGATTTCGGCTTCTGCGCACAAATTTCGCCCGAGCAGAACAAGCGGACAACAATGGTCGGCACGCCATACTGGGTGAGTTTAGAACCACGATCAGTAGACAATTTAAAAAAGACTATCTATCCTACCTTATATAATTTTCGCGTGTATCTTTGTGTGTGTGTGTGGATGTCACTTTCGAGGCCCGATTTGAGGGCCTTCCCGTGTATAAAACGCTCCAATTTTCCGTCACTTGGAGTAATCGTCCCTCCTCTATCCGATGACGCTTTCAGAATTTCGATAAAATACAAGTTTACAAAGCTAAAGCCGGTTTTATTCATTTTTGGGGGTACCTGAGGGCTAATTTGCATAATGCGGAGAAATACAAATTTCTTCGTTCTTGCGAATTGCAGGCGCGCGTGTGGTCCGGGGGGTCCGGAGGACCCGAGCTACCGGAAAGTCGAATTTCCCATGCAAAGGCCTGATTCCAGCGCCCAAGGCCCGCGAGGTGGGTTTTGGGCGCTGATGTATTAATAATTGCAGATGGCCCCGGAAGTGGTGACGCGCAAGCAGTACGGACCGAAAGTGGATGTCTGGTCGCTTGGCATCATGGCTATCGAGATGGTTGAAGGAGAACCTCCATATTTGAATGAAAATCCGATTAGGGTAGGTTTTAAAATTGATTATCTAAAAAATTGGATTATTTTTCAGGCTATCTACCTTATCGCCACAAATGGAAAGCCGGAATTCCCGTCTCGTGATACCTTGTCGCCAACTTTTAAGGTATGCTTTTGGAAAATATGATCAAATTGAACTAAATTTTATTCAAAGACCATTAAACTGCTTCTATTATAGAGTTATGCAAAAATTCGTTGCCCCGATAAGGCGAAAACGCCAAGGTCAACTATTTGGCAAGGCCGATTAGCAACAATCTCTGTAAAAGCTAGCTAAAAATCGGCTTTTGCAGCAATTCATCGATGCTGCCCTGGAAGTTGCGGTGGAGGAGCGATGGTCTGCGGCCCAGCTTCTGGCCCATCCATTCCTTCGACAGGCCAAACCACTGGCTTCCCTCTACTACCTTATCGTCGCCGCCAAGAAGAGCATCGCCAACAACTCATAGGCAACTCATGGTCAATTATCTTGTGGGGTTATATTTGTTTGAATTTGGGCTACCCTTCGGTGGGACTAGTCGAATTTTTATGCGATTTTTATCGTGTCCCCCAGTATGCGTTTTTTTGTAGAATTACTTTCCTTATTTCGAATTCCTTATTTGGCCTAAGGACCTGCCTTCAAAACTAATGCGAACTTGGTTCACGTGGATAATATGCATTATCGGGGGGCTATCGGGGGAGGGAAAACCAACTTTTTTCCTTTCCTTTTTTTAGATAGTTCTTGGTGCGAAGCTATTTGTATCTATGCAAAACTCCATCTCCCCCCCCCGATAATGCAAAAGCCCCAAATATTTCACAAGCCTTGCTAGGAAAACAGTTGTTCGGCCAGAATTCTGTTCAACAGCGCTCCTCTTCGATGGTGATACCTTGATTCCCCCGCCCCTTATTTATTCGTTTCGTCATTTCTAATTTTTACGCCTAACGACCATTTACAGTGTTACGGTTCCCCGCGCGCGAGACACAATTGATTCTGCGCTTTCCTCTGACTCGTCCGCCCCATTTCAGCATTATCGCCTCCCTACCCCCCTTGGTGCTCTTCGTTGCCTTAAAAAGATTATTTTTTGCGCACCAAAATGGGTCGCACCGCGTGGCCTGTACCTTCTCTATCTCTGCCCCCTCTTATAGCTCTTCAGTGTCTTAATAATAATTATTCATGCCAAATAAAGATATTTACGGTTATATTTATTGCGAAGGCAGTGATGGGAGTGGCTGGAAGGCACCTAGGAGGGCTTGAAAACAACTCCAACTTGTCAAACGTCGATACAAAACATTGACTTTTGAGACTTAGTGTATTTGCATACATTCCATAACGCGGTAAAATTAGACAAATGTAACGCATGAAATACCATCCGTAGATAGTAATGAATTGGACTTTGTACCAAAGTTGATTACGACATCGTCATCATAAATAAGGATTAGTGCACAACGCGCTTCGTAGTGTAGTACCTTCTACCCGCACCTTTTTTCAACATCGAGATCCGATCTCTTCAGCATCAGTCCAAAAAGAATGCCGACGACCAAGCGCTATTCCTCAAATGCACGGGGAGCACGAGGAAGAATGATATAGTGGCCAGGGTGGCCATCGAGAATAATGCGAGCAATAACCGGTCAACGACACCCGCCAGCTGCTGCCATTGCCATTGGATACGAGCACGCTCGTCTAGGATCTGGAAAAAGAGGCAGTACTGGACTGTTTCGTATGTATTTGAATGATTGATGATGACCTCTTTAGATTAAAGGGGCTCGGAAGTCAAAATTCGCGTGCTCGGGGATTGAACCTACTGCTGAAAAAACGAATGGATTGCCGCCGAAAAGTGCCATAAAATTGATTTCGTTTCGAAAAACCGCAAAATATCTGAGAAAACCGAAATGTTTTCGGGGCGAAAACGTCTTTTTGGGCGCGCGGCGATTACATGTCGTAATGCCTTGTATGGCACCCAATCTCTAGATCTCGGTGATTCCCTGATCAATTTTGATAATTAAAAAGTCTAAAATTATCAAAATTCGATGAGGAATACAGAAATATCGTCAGAATTTTCAAATTCACGCGTTTTCCGTTACAAAAACGGACTAGAGAACATGCGTCGCGGTCGGCTTGCGGCCGCATATGGCTATTTGCCAGGAATCAACGCGTGGGCCGTGGACCAGATTTCGGAGCCCCTTTAAGTTTCGTCTTCCCGATGGATTACTCTTATTTCAAAGCAAGAAAGCTTTGGTGACATTTTGAAGGTTATGCGGCGTACCTCTTCCCGTATTTCATGTTGCTGCAAACTTCTATAGACTCGCTTCAGGATTTTCCGAAACTTTTGCTCAAATTCGGTGAGCATGACCGGGCGAGTGGTGGACATTCTTGGCATTAACTAAATCAAATTGTTGATTGTATAAATTGGTGGTATTAAAGCATTTTTTTCTGAAAATGTTTGATATCCATTTGATAATGTAATAATTACATTCCCAATAAGGTACCTGCTCTGACACAAGCCGCGACAAAAAAGCCCCCTCACTTCCGGTATCATTGGTACGATGCTTTCCGTTAGCTTTCAAGTATTCATGTGCAGCATGTATTGCTTCTAATTCGATTGGAAGCGTAGGATCCTCATCTTGTTGGGCAAGACTCCTCTGTAAATTTGTTCTCTCATCTCTAGTGCACGACGTACGGTTCCCTGTGATACCATACATTCGCACTCTCCACTTTCCGCCGTTGAAGCCTCCTTCTTCCGATTGTCCAGATTCTTGATGCGTTTCAGGTCGCGAAGGATTGAGCTGCGCCGAATCGTTGATTTTTTGGTCTGAAAATGATTGTATTTGGAGGGTCTATGGAGGGCTCCTTTGTAGCTTAAATTTGGTTCCTTCAGCGTGGGGAAAGAAACGTTTTTGCTTTACAATTAGTGTCGAATTTTTCTAATATTAATAGAAAAGGTGCTTCGTAAATGTTAACGGGGCCCCGCCCGCCCGGACCCGCCCCCCTGTTTTCCGCAGGCGCCTTCCGCCGAGCCTCCCGCCCGAATCCCCCCCCCTCCAGGCCGGGGAGGGAAGGGGATGGGCTGGTTCCCACGCCGGCACTCAGCCTTCCGGGCTTTTCCTCTCGCCAACCTTACTTCGTAACTGTTTTTTCAATATCGCTAAACGCGAAAATTATAATTTTTGAGGAACAATCTACAAAAACTAGATCAGAGCATACCTGAGCCGTTTTAATCAGTGTTATGCTGTCCGGTTCTCGAATCGTCATCTTCATAAAGGTAGCCAAATACCCCAGTATGTATTTCTCCATCCAAGGTGGTACATGACGACCCTACAAAATGGATACGCTTTTAATGGCATTATTTTTCCGGCTTCTTGGTTCTTAATTTTAGGTATATTACCTGATTTGCCGCACCGTTCCTGTGTATATTTAACGTTATTACATTTACACAGGTAGCTAGACATACCATAAACAGGGAGGCGACGTAATACATTCCTAAATGTGGATTTTTTTTGTTTTAGGTGCATTTGCTCCATATTCCGTTAATGTCTAACCTATCAAGGGTACAGCCTCTGAAGTCGGTGGTATCGATTCAGTAATTGATTGTAGATAAACGCCCATAGACAAAAGCGTCGTGATGATCATATTAATTTTCTCGCCCGTCTCCGGCGGCATCAAGAAGCCGAGAACGGCCATCGACGAGATCAGAACGCACGGGATTATCTGAATATTTTTCTTTTTATTTTGATGTCAGGGCAACGTTAGTGAAAAATGTTTTCATCTTGAGTAACATCGACTCACGTGGTTGAAAACATAGAACAATGGCCTCCTCCGCATATTGATCCGCACCACAATCACCGGCCAGAGGGAATCGGGTTCCGAAGGGAAATGCACCACCTAAATTCCGACCCTAAAGATGGAGGGGCCGTATTACTTCACGCGTCGCCGTCATGTCCACCAAATCGAACTCGCTGTTGTTCATGTAACTGCTCAGATCGCCCTGAAAGCTTTTCAAGCTATAAATCATGATCCGAAGGTTCAATCGTGGTTGCCAATTTTTGCTAACATTATAGGAATGGTGGGAACCGGTCGTTGAAATCGTCTAGGTATTGGCAGCTCCGAGGTATATTTCAACGGTCTCTGGGTAAGTGATTTTGCGAAAGCAATAGAAAAATATGCATGTGGGCGCGATTTTGCGTTCCGCGTAGCTGTCAAAGGCAGTATAGGGGGTCACCCCCGTGATAAGACCGAACCTACATAATAACCTTACCTTATTCGTATTCAAGCCCAAATCCATCTCCTTGTTGTCATGAGACCAGGAGGCGAATTTCAACTCGCATTCCTGATCGTCGAAAGGATAGTACCGTACTTTGATCCTAAACCATTTTTGGCTTTTTTTTTGTTTTGAACCCTACCGGCAACTGGAACGAAAGATGGCCGAGTAGAGGAAGGTGACGTTGCCATCGCTTGATACCATAATATCGGTTGAGACGAGGGAGGCGTAGTATTCGCGGATGGCGCTTTATTTAATTATATATATATATATATATAAGGTATCTGAGTAAAGATATCTCGCTTGCCCTCTCTCCCTCTCTCCCTCTCTCTCGGTCTCTGTTTCCCTCTTCCTCTCTCTCGATCTATCGTTGTTCCCCCCTCCACCGCGAGTAAAAACCAGAAGTAGAGCGCCAATTGTGCCAATTCGATTGTGTCTCCTCGGGGGCCCTCTTTTCTGCCTAAGTGAGTCAACTCTCGCAGGGACCACCGTGTGCCGCCAGGGAAGCAAATCGTTTAAGCTTGGGTGATTTTAGTCTCTCCACAGCGAGACGGCCGAGCCAGATCAAGTAAAAAAACTCGCGTTGTATGAGGCAAAAATAAGCAACCAAAATAAGCATAGGTATCATTCGTATTCAAATTCGAAATTCAAAAGATCTGGCCTGTGAAGTTTTCTGACTATCTTAATTTCATAGAACAAACGTTTCGACCATGCCCTGAAGGGAGTAGTAAAACACACCCTGGCTACTTTCTAGCCACGTTTTTAAGTGGAAGACACGGGCTTCCTTCCCAAAACCCGTCAATAAATATGCAATGTGAGGAAGCGTGTACCCGAAGTACCCCCCCCCCGCCCAGATTTGCGCAACACACGAAACTTTCTCGCCTACTTGTTGACGAGGATTATGTCCGGTTTCCACAGCTTCTGATGCGGGACGTAGATTGTCTTGATCCCGCCCCACATTGTGTGATTCCAACTAAAAATTAAAAAGGAATTTTTATGGAGTAAAATCCTTGAAAAAGCTACCTTAACCGCTGATCCATCCAGTTGATGTTTAGCCAACTTCTCGTTGTTAGCACTTGGTTTCGTTCGTCCTAAAAAATGGATTGGCATCGGATTTTGAGCTCCTAAGATCTTCTAAAGTGCAAAATCGACCTTTGAGAGACTAGATCTCGACAACTACGCGATGATCCAAATGGAACCTGGATCTTTTTTTGAGAACCAGGGTTGAAAAACCTCTTCGCGGCTTTTCAACCCTGGCCCCGCCTAACGCACATCATAGTAAAAAATGTGCATATTTCTTCCCGAACCGATCGCAAAAAATGAGAAAAAGCCCCCTGCAGCCCCCTTATATAGGCTTTCCCCACTTCCGGCGCCTGCAAATTGCCTCCTAACAAAGAGATTTTTGGATATCGGTACAAAAAACACAATTTTAATAGGGAAAACAGTAATTTTTCAAAACTTTGATATGGGTGCACTCATTTCGGCATCATTACGCACCTAATGACGTATCATACGTACCCGATAAACTTTCCCCTGAGGCTGTAGGTCGGAGACAACCTCACGGAAGTTGCATGCAAATGCACACACACAGACACTATTTTTTTATATATAGTAGGATAGGGAAGTTGAAGTGGAGCAGCAATCCAAAGCAGTTTACAAGTGTTTTGACTTACCGCGTAGCTGTCAACACCCAGTTGGTCAAAAGAGGGTGAAGCGTAGACTTCCTAACTCCTTTAACATACCATTTCGACAATTTGGTTCAACAAGAATCCAAAAGTAACGTTGGTTGGCAGTGAATGGTGCATAGTTGGTCGTACATCCTTCTCATATCGTGTGGAGTCCATAAGTGTGCGATAAAGCTGTTGCTCCGTACCGTCGGCGCTCGATTCTATTTAGCTAGATTAGCTTGCGTAGAAAGAGCTTTGAAAAGGATTTTTCCTGTCGAAAATAGGCCTCAAAAACCTACTAATTCGTAGCGCTCTCCGTACCCCCTCTTCCATCTCGCGTTGTCCCTGATCGCCGAAAGGTGGATGATCAGGTTTTCGCCTCCCCGGACTCGCATTCAGAATCTCCAGAATGCTAGCGTCCGTAAAATCTGTGCGATTTTCAGCAGGGCCATACGTTTGTGAAGGGAGGATCTCCTCGTCGGTGAGGAGTGGGTGCAGCGATTCTTCTCCTAAATTAAGTAAAACCAGGGTTGAAAAGCCGCTTCGCGATTTTTCAACCCCGGCCCCATCTAATCCCAAAATGTCCTTCACTTTGCATAACAAAATGCACGGATGCTCCCGAATGCTCCCTAACAAAGAAGGCTGCCAGCTTTTTCAACAAAAACTCGATTTTAATGTCGAAAATAGCGTAATTTACAAAATCTGATATGCGTGCAGTCATCTCGGGGCCGTTACACACCTAATGACGTATCATACGTTGCTTAAGAACATTCCCCTCTTGAGATATCCCCCGGACACGGTGACGGAAGTTGTATGCAAATGCACACACAAACAGACACTATTTTTTATATATAGTAGGAATAGTAGGGACTTGTCGTTGCATAACTTTTTAACTTTGGTCAAAAGATTCTAGAAAACCCGATCCTGGCCTGTCAGCGGTACCAAATGAAAAAACCTAAAAAGGGTCAAAGTTAACGTTTAAAAATACTTGAAAACTTTTTTGAACGCCCTCGCAATCCAAAGTTGCTAAAAACTATAAAAACTAGAACTGGAAATCAATTATTGATTACTAACGGGTCGGAATCGGCGGCAAGATACCCCCCCCGCTAGCAGGCCGGCACGGAAAATCCGCAAAGAACAAACCTGCTTGCACAGCAGGAGGATGCCGCATTTTAAGATGAGGCCCTTGTCGTGCAGTTCTGGACGGTTCCTTTGCCGTAACGAGGCCGGAACGTAGGGCGGAGAGGAGAAGCAGCAGCCCCCATTTCTGGACACCCATCCTGCAATTCGGCTATTTGCCTGAGCGAGGCAGGCACAAATTGCCCAATAGAAGAGAGAACAAGGTTTCGTTCAGACGTCTCAACAAGAATTTTTTAGTTTTAAGAACATTTTAGTATTTTTTACTGGTATGAAGTGATATATAATCGTTAACAATTTGCGTAAATGTAAACATTTTGGCCTTTCTTGCTTTTCTGAATCTTTGTTTTATCCTTTATAATATTTTTATATCTAAAAACTATATCTAAAATGTTATCATAATGGTTTATTTTTCGTTTTAGGGCCATACGGGACAGGACTACGAGATCAAAGCTGTTAACCCCCCCCCGCTAACAGTCCAGTACTGAGAAAGCTACTGTAGGCAACGAATTCGTTTACAAGATCTCATAGCTTTTCCGAGTCGGGAATTCGCATTAATTTGCTTAAAGACCAACGGGAACCCAAAAATGAGGGCCTTTAACGTCAACACCTGTCAATATATACATTTTTAGGGTTTTTGAGAGGTCTACCGTAGGCAAAAAACGCTGTGAACTTTTCGCTACGCTGTTCTTTTCTGGCCAGAAATTTGCACTAATTTGCATAAAGACCAAAGTGAAGCCAAAGCGACGATCCCCAGAAGAACAAAAACCCGAGGAACAAGGTCTTGGGTCTGATGATGGGCCAAATGGGATGGCCGGGGGACGGGCCGCGAAAACTCGCGTCGACTGGTCCACCCAGGAGAGGTGGAAGGCCCCGGGGACAAAGGGATTTCCACGGATGGGGCCAAACTGACGGCGAGAAAGAGGAAGGGAGAAGCTGAAGAAGAGGGAAGGAAAAGGAGAAGGAGGAGGAGGAGGAGGAGTAGGAAGAAGAGGAGTGCCAGGATGGGCCTTTTTCTCAACAACTTCTGAAGCTCCCCTGAGGGATATTCGTGGATTTGGCTTCCCTGCCGAGGTCGAGAATAGCTTTTTATGGCTTATCACAATTCCTCAGGGCTTTTGGGCGTAGAGGGAGAGAGAATTGATTGGAACGTAGAAGCTGAGGAACAAGTTCTAGCATAATTTTTTGGTAAAGGTTCCTTAACGGGGGTGAAACAAACCTTGTAATTGCCTTGCCTGGATAGGCACAAAGAGCAGCTGAATGGAGCATGACTCCCCCGTTAAAGGGATGCCGACGGCATAGTCAATCGGTTACGCGCGGAAAAGAAAATGTCTCTGCGCCTCTCCCCTGTTGGCTACTTGCCAATTTGTTGATGAGGGGGGATTGACACATGCCGTCGGTAGCCCTTTAAGCAACCTTTACCAAATTTGCCATCTTTGCCAGAGTAAATTTTAAAGCGAAAAAAGGGTAAGCTTTTGAATTCGCGTCTATCGCTCGAGGGAATAGATGCGCTCCATCGACCCATATAGATGGACCTAGGGGGTAAATGGGGGAAGGGCGGTGAATATGAAGAGTGATGGATGGACATCGCTCTATTCTCCGGCTTCTCTTCCAAACCCCCCAACCCCACGAATTCCCACGCCCCAATCACCGAGACCCCCTCGGTGAAGTCCACGCTTTTCAATTCCAGAGGTGACGATGCGCAATGAACATGCATTTATCATCGGTAATAGCTTTTGATCGCAAAAGATCCAAGGGATTAAGAGCTATAGAATTTAAATAATTTTATGCATAGGTTTTATTGATGTCAGCAGCGATGCGACCTAGCCGAGCAATTTCGTAAGAACGATCGGTGAGGAATGGGACCTAAATTAGTGGTTCTACATTTGATTAAAGGTGACCTGAAGCTTCTCCTGCATCCATAACATTTCCGGAAGCTCATTGACGGTCCAGGCAAGAACGTGAAGCCCACGATCGCGTTGCTCTTGCACCCATAGTCTAAAGAGTCCCGCTTGACCTTAATTTTATTAAGCATAGGGTTACTATAACTATTTTTTGCATTCGTTTGGATGCAAACTCAGGCAAAAATTATTAGATTACCAAATTCTTTTTGCAAAAAACGAGCTTCAATGAGCACCCCAAGCTACTGGTCAAAAACACGTACTCGTTAATATTCTTGTTGTATCCCATCAGCCCGTCGACTCCCAAGAATGATGGCAGAAATCCGTTAATGGCCACCATATTCAGCCAGTCCCCAAGTTCTAAGCATCGCTGCCACAATCCCTTTGATCGAGGCCGTTGATCGTGGATGCCCTCGTAGTACCACGTCGAATAGAAACGATCACGGAAGATCAATACTAAAATTAACTGAATTTATCCATGACCGTCAGGCAAAATCAGGGGCTAAATACCTGTAATAAACTTTGGATCGGCCCTTTTGAACGAATACAAAACGCTAGGAGAAAAAGAAGCGATGACCGAGCGATTGTAGAGACCATGCTTTCGAAACATGCCACTTATTGTCTCGACTAGCTAGATTGTAAAGATTTTTTATTCCGGAAATTTTTCTCACCTTTTCATTATCGTCCTTCATATCGAAGATCAGTCGAACCTTGCTCGGTTGCACTAATTTTATTAGGTCTTCTAATTCGGGGATTCTTGAGGGCACTACAGTACGATTTGAGGGTCTAAAACATGTATAAAACTTCAAAAGAGCTGTAAAAACCCTGTTCTATTAAAATCGATCCCAACGTAGCAATCCTCCAATTCGGCCAATGTTTTCGATGAGATTGGACCGGTCATATTTGTCATCCTAATGTAATAAAAAGTAAACATGATAGATACAGCTGCATTAATGAAATAGGAACTTTTTACCTGTCTAAACTATCGTCATGCATCAAAATAGGAAAACCATCCCTCGTTAAAGATATATCAAATTCAATCCCGTCAACCCCATCGAGAAGAGCCTAAAACAAATACAGTGTCTAGTCCGCGCCCAACCTCGCCTGGGGGAAGGATTAAAATTCGAACTCAGCCGGTCGGTTTTCTTTAAAATACTTATTTCTCTGTCCCGCCTTGGTTCCTCCCCTTTCTTGTTTAGTATTTAAAAGTCTCCCCGGTTAAATGGGTATACTCGAAAACCTGCCGGGTTCTGTGACACCTTCCGCTTTCAAATCGAACGTTGGTGGGGCCTTTGTATGTGTAAATAACGTAAAAACAGTTTTTCATTAAACAATACCTGTTGAAAACTGTCCAAAGTATTCTCCGGAAGATTTTCCGGCGACCCACGATGCCCAATAACACGTAAGGAAGTGAAAAAGGCTTCCACCTAAAACTGTGACTTCAACAACTACAAGAGAACCCACGTCACTTGCATCGGCTTTCGAATTTTTCAACAAAAAGAATGCAATAACCACCGTCAACGGGATTGACAGTATGAATGCGAAGATTATACTAAAAATTACCGTGGTTAAGCAACAGTTTCTATACTATTTAATCGATTTTGGTCTCAGCAACAGCGCGCAACATGTGATACAATGTAAATAGCAAGCGCCTTTGATCGGTTCTTCTAGAGGGGAAGCGGGGCGCATTTTGGGGGGCTCCATTCCAATTGGCACCCCGCCAACCAGCGAAAACCATTGCGGAAATTTTAATGGGTAAAGGCGGGAAGGGTTGGGCTTGGGTCTAAAACCTACCATAGCGGTTTACTAGTGGAATTCCGCTTTTCGGTTATATTATTGCCGTTTTCCCATTTTTTCATGGTTCTAGGAAGCCTAAAAAAATCTAAAAATACCGTATAATGAATGAAAGCAAAGTAGATCGGCTGAAGAACCGGAGAAAATTTATCATGGTGTCTGTGAAAGGGACATGACCCGAAAAATCGTGGTTTGGTGGCCGGCTCTAGGAAGGTCATTTGCCCTATCAAGGTTTTTCTTGGAGAACCGACGCTGAGAAATCGTTGGGATTAGTGAAATTTCAAGATTTGACGATGCTCATAAAAATTCGCTGCACCATTTGTCGCGCTGTCAAAGGTGGATCGAAATTTGAGGAAACCGGCCGTTTTCATCGATAATAAATTCTCAAAATGGTTTGAAGTGCACTTTTTCTTTTTTTGCGTCTCGATCAGAACTTTTTCGCTAATTTTTGTACGAATATGTGTTTACTTGCGCTTTCGGATGGTATAAAAATCCTGACAATCCCACTTTTCTAGGCCGAGTTCAACGAGTTTTCGGTAGTCTGTAAGCTACGTATGTTATATACTTCTATCAAGTGTCAACCTGTACACGGATCTTTATCCCAAAAATTCATAGAGACTATCATTTGGCAGTTGAACAGCAGCATCATCTACACCTCGGCGACAACCATCCGCACGCCGCTACGCCGTTTCCGGATATCAAATTTGGTGCGCAGGATACTAAAAATTGCCCGTAATTCGGAAACCGACGCGAAAAACTGACTGATTAATGGAGGAACGTGAGGGGAGTGTCTCTCGACTGCATAGACCATCCCTCAGTAGTTGGGCTCGGATCTCCGTTTGGCTGTAGATGCCTAATCTGCAATAATTGATTGTTGAAAATGAGAAAAGTTTTGTTTACATTATTATGCATTACTTAAGGTAGCGTTCCTAACCTTTTTTGATAATCACGAATTGCAGTGACCAAAGGGCCTTCGGGACGGCCCTCTTTTGCATCTTTTGGTTTGACGCTCCCCGTTTTTCGATACCTTAAATGATGATAGTTATTTGGAGACACCTAGAGCGAGAGAGAGCGTGAGAGAGATAGTAAGCGAGAGAGTGATACCTTACCTTTGCAATATTTTGGAGACACAAGAGTGTGTAACTGCCAGCCTCCTCGAAATATCACAAATTCTCCATCCCTCTTGGTATAGTCGGACGATAAACTGGCGTTCTGATAAGTTCAACGGGATGCCCGGGGAGAACGCTCGGCCCAGCTGATTTCGGCCTAAAAATGGGTGGCCTAACAGCTTCAGTAGCTCAAGCCAGGTTTGAATCAAGAAATCCTTATTTTTTACAAATTTTTCAAGGATTTTGTCAGAAAACAAACCTATCGTCCGCTTCCGGGTTACCCTGGCTGTCACCGGCTTAACCTCAATAGATGATGTCGAGCATTCCGATCGGCTACTCTGTACCGATGCCCCCGAAGAAGCCGATGAAGACGTTGGTGAGCAAGAATCGTACAGTGCCGCGCCGAGAGTCGGCATCTCGGCCGAGATGAAGGGCAGCAGAGGATACCCGGCTGCTTCTTGCTCCCCGGCCAACGTCGCGAAGCAGTTCGGGGATTGGAGGGAGGTACAGGGTTGTCCAGTTGTCAATGTCGGCACGCCATAACCGGTCGAATCGGGGATCAGCACTTTTGCTTCGGGGAGAGATCTGAATTAGGGTAAATGAGATACTGCCTAATTATATAGTCTATTTTTCTGGCCTCTTTCATACGGATCGGTAAACCATTCTAAAACTATTCAAACGAAAATTTGGCATTACAAAACCAATGTTTTCGAAAATGTCTGTGGCATTTCTTACTTCTTGTGATCTCTACCAAATGTCAAGTTTTGTATATTTTAATTTTCAAAAAACTGGTTTTCGACAACTTGACTTTCGTAAACACCTTGTGAGTTCAAGAAAGTTTTTAAATTGTTTAAAATGTGTAGAAAATCATTGACCCACCTATACTCCTGGCCCGGCAAATTCCCCTCATACGGTGGTTGCGTGCTGCTGGCTGGAGGGCATATCTGCGTCGACTGGAAGAAGAGCGGAGGCTGGGGTATTGTAGGGGCATAAATGTCGGCTGACAGGGATAGATGGGGGTAGATGGTGGTGTGGTGAGCCTGAAAAACAGCATCCACACTATCGTACCCAATCTACCGTAGTCCCAGGTAGTAGTGGATCGTAGCTGAGGGTTTGTTGAGCTTCCGGAAAGAACGAGGCCTAAAAGTTGTAAGAATCCACGTAGAAGGTTTTTTGGTGTCTAGAAATTCTGCAGGGGACGGCTACTTCCGCGTTGCGATGGGCCGTTCCGCCGGTGCGGCCGGGGCAGAAAAAGAATAGTTAAAGGGATTTGGAAGTGGCAATATAAAAGTTATAGTAGTTTTTAGAGAATTGATACATGATCTAGTTTCATATAGATTTCCTTAAAAATTCTTACATTCAACCACATGCCATCCAATTCTTGATGGAGGGTAGTCGCGTTGTAGTACTCGTGAGCATCCATTTGCGGTTTTTCTATAAATCCTAGTTTGACAAAACTGTATTGCAAAAAAATTAGATAACGAGAGAAGCCCTGAATCAAAAATGATGACGAAAAAGAGCAAAAACGGTAAAATCAAGTAAGGAGAGGCCGTAAGGTTTTCAAGGTTTAACCAGCAAAATATGGCGTTCAAGCACTAAAATTTTGGCTTAAATTATCCATTTTCTAATCGTTTAAAAGAATTCCAAGTACTTGGCAATTTGTCCACATTGGACTACGGCGGCAGGAGCACTCTGGTAAATCGGGGAAAGAATGCCGAAAAAGGTTCTTCCTAGAATGGCACTTATGTTTTCCGGGTTTTGGCACTAGAACACGTATTTACCCGGAAAGGAGATGAGCAAGTAGCGGAAGGAATGGGGAAGAAGTGACGGAAAAGATAAGGTCAGTAAGTAAGTATTCATTAAATGACAAGGAAAAACTTAGATGAAGAATTTAGACAGAGTCATCTACAAAACAGTTACTAATAACAAAAGAAATGCGTTCGTTGATAAAGAATAAAAACAAAGCCGGGTCGGAAGCCAAGTCGATTGACTTGCCAAAATTCGCTCCGATCTCCGTTCCACCAATGGTTTCGTTAGGTCATCTACTAGAGCCCAAAGACCGGCATGGAGCGATGTTGCAACGGCAGCTCCCCCTTCAAAAGTGAAATGACCCCTTTGGGGAAGACCCCCGTTTCCACCCGATCAGGGGGAGGCGCCTACCGTAGCCCGCAAGAAGCCAATCGAGCCAGCGCTCGAGCAACGGCAGGGAGGGCCTAGTTAGTGAGCGATGCAAAAAGGGCAGAGGAAGTATCATCTGCCCCCTCTACTCTCGAACCCCCAGCCAAAGTCGAACTGACTGTCCGGTCGTCGTATCGAACATCTAGAGATGGATTGTTTTCTCGCCCACTTTTTGCGCGCCTTCTGCCCGCCCGGCAGGCCCAGGAAGTGGATTTCTGCGGGGGACGGGGCAAGCAGCGAGTGAGGCGAGTTGATCGGTTAGAAAGTGTAAATAGTTGGGGAACGGAACGGTTTGGATGGACCGGGGAGTGGGGGCTCTGTTACAAAGGACGGGATGCAGATGCTGTGGCAGTCCAAGACACGCTAAATATCGAGTGAGGCTGTTTTGGTTTTTTTTTTAACCACCCCCCCTCTTTTTGGAACCCCGCCGAAAAAAAACAACAGCCTTTCCGGACCCTTCATAGGTATCCTATGTCAGACTCTAACCTCACGTTTATTAGACGTTTGCTCCAAAATCGAAAGCTAGATATTTTGCGTAACCTGGCGTAGCTGTCGACACCTAGTCAAATCGCGCCGTCAATCCTAGCCTTCCCATCCCCGTTAATGACCGTGATCTCGTTGTTTGTCTCAACTAGGCACCCCGCTTGAACCCGACGCCCGCATCTGACACTCTCATCGATCTGAACCCTCAAAACTGCTCAAAAAGTTCGAAACAAAAGGGACGGCGCCGACGCGGGGGAGGGGAACGCGTCGACTCCTCGGGCATCGCTTTTTGTGGGCCTCAAAAACTGGAAGGGAGGAAGGGCATCATCCAAATCAGGAACTGAACATAGTGTATATCGCGTTTAAAGGGGCAGTGAAGTAAACATTTTTTAACGATTGAGGTGCGCAAATGAATCTACTGCTTATGCTGATGATTTACGCCACAGAATTCGTTTTGCATAAATTTTATACATGGTTTTAGGAAAATTTAAAGAGTTCTTCCACCAATATAAAAAAGTAAAAAACAAAACCGAACAAGACCAGCAAAAGGCAAATCGGCCAGAATGAGCTCCTACCAACATTTTCCTAACCCATTTTTCTGTTTTCCGGTCCCAAATCTGGTTCCCCGACACGCCCAACAACTACAACATAACATCCCCCTCCTGAAAATCAAGCCTTTTCGAGTACCGAAAACAGTTCGACAATGCTTCTCCTCAGAAAGAGGTCCCGGGGCTCGCGTCGGGAGTCGGCTTTCCTTTCGCTCGCCTTGGGGGGAGAACCAGTTCCTGGGGGAGTAAAAACGTGGAAGAGATGCCGGGAGCAGCAGAGGCAACCAACATCGAATAAACACCACAATTCCCAAGTATCAAACAAAAAGCAAAAATGGCCGGGCGGGGAATTGGAAGTCATTTTTCAGGGGTGGTGCCTGGTTCTGGATGCTGATTGCGATTTGCTGACGCCTACATTTGGAATTTGGCGTCGCGCGTAGCTGTCGATACCTAGTGAAAAAGAAAGGTATGTTTTTGCTTTCTGACCCTTCTATAGGGCCGCCAAAAAAAATAAAAAATCAAGGTTCAGGGGAATGGAACACCGGATATCAATTTGAAGTAAATAGCGCATAGAAGGCTCTGTTCACATTTTGACGGAGCATAACTCTCGAGCCCTAGTTGCTGAAGGGAGGGGGGCCGAACTTTCCACTGCCAAATCCCTTAAAAAGACCGGAAAGGTATGCAGATATATTTTTTCTCTGCGGATTCCCTGACTTTGTCGCGCCCGCGACGCGAAAGGCGATAAGTCGCATACTGAATTTAATGAGATCGGAATCCATTACGCAACTGAAGGTGGACAGGCGAGCGTGCGCGTTAAGTTTGCGTTGCGTTCGCAGTGCGTTCGCGTTGCGGGCGTGTTGCGTTCGCGGTACGGTTGCGCTACTGGTGGCGTTGCGCGCCGCATCCGCCACGCTAGAGAATAAAATGAGATATGCTAAATAAACTAAGGGGCACAAATCCGTAGTCCTGCCCTCACTGGACCTTTAAAGGGAGCGCGACAGCCGGGCCAATTGTAAAAGTTTCACAGATAACGATCAAGCGTCAAAAACGAATATGAATCACACAAAAAGATATGTCTAAAAACGATGGTGTGGAGACAGGTTGTGTGGTTGGTAGTGGCCTCGAGCCAGAAAGTGAGGGGAGCGGATATTCACAGGGATTAGGACCGACTCCAGCCGCGGGGCTCTTGCCACCCGGTTGCAAGGGAAGGGGGCTCTCAATTCGAAAACGAGCAGGTTACTCCACAGTCAGACCCCCGGAATAGGATACGGTTCGCGAGAAGGCAACTTTTATGAAACTTGTTCAGAGGATGGGGTGGTACTATCCTATCGATAATATTTCCAGTCAAAAACTACCTGAAAACCTTAACATTCGAGATTTTGATTAAACATCGATATTTTTTGTAACTCTTGGGAAAAATTTGTAAAGTTTTTGCGCTTAGAAATAGTAAAAAACAACTTAGATACACTTACTTTATTTTTATTTGCAAATTAGACAGCAAAGCAAAGAGTTGGGGTGCACCACGGGACCAGAATTTTAAAACACCTTAACCCGGTGGTATAGGTTAGTTAGCTTAGTTTAATCGGTAATCCTTGGTCGCAGAGAAATTGAAAAAGCTATAATTAATTATTAACATTTTGCTGTATAATGACGATAAAACTTCGAAGAGCTGAAAAGCTTAAGATGAGAAGTCTCTCATAAAAATTAAGATAATTTAATCAATAGAATGGTTTATACCAAGCCCAACTAACCCTCAAAAATCGATGGCTGCTGATTTGGCACGATCACAGCCACCCCAAATACTCATTCCTCGGGGGGAAATCAGCTCCATCCCGGGGGGTTCAGTTCCCCCCGCGCCCGGGGGCCACTTTTTGCATGCCCAAAAAAAGTTGCGAGATTTGCCGTTGTCCTGAAGGGGGAAGCGACAGAAGGGGCAGGGAATGCATTTCTGTGGGGTAGAGGGTAGAGGACGAGGAGGAACAGAAATGACTATTTCCGATGATGGAATTGCCACGACGACTCACCTCGGTGCACTTCTGATCTAAATGGCAGAATGTCGAGTCGGGAATGCTTGGAATTGCTCGAGTGGGTGGAAGGTGTTGTCTAGATGGTTTGACAGTTGCGATAAAGATCGGGGTGGGTGTGTGTTATAATGGGTATTTATTTCCCATTGTCTCTGCTAATCAGACCTACCGTATTATTTGGATTTTGATGCTGAAAATTTGGGCTGAAAATTTTTGTAAAGGGGGAAGAAAAAGGCTTTTCTTGGCTTTGTCCGCTCTCTCTCTCTCTCTCTCTCTCTCCCTCTCCCTCTCTCTCTCTGGCTCTCTACACTCGCGCTGTTTTCATCGTCATAAGCTCGAAATCCTTCCAAAGGTTTATGTCTCGATAGCGTGGGAGAGCAGACATGAAGGGTCACAACATTTATTCGGAGGATGTCCCCGGTGGGGTGACACCTCGGTGAAGTAAATGAGGACAGGGTAGCCGGGTTCGGATCGGATGACTGAGGCAATCACAACGAGAAATCGGGGCTTTATCTACCAGGGAACACAAAAAAATCAGCATGGTAATGAGGGGAAGAAATGGTCTTAGCTTGGTCTTCCGGTCATTCAGCATGCGCATGCAGTCGCGGGAACGCGACAGTTTAAGAATATCGAATTACAGAAGCGCAAATTTGACAGAGACTCGAATTTTCAAATTTACGAAATTTACGCGACTCTGAGGGGTTCGAGTTGCGATTTCGTGGTCCTCAAAATGCAGATATCTGAATAATCAAGGTTTTGAAAACTCCAGGATACGATGGACAATATTAAAAAAAGGGGAACGGCAAGGGTTTTAAACAAAAAAAAAATCAGTTGTTATACTTAATTCACCTCCTCTGTCTGGACGACCCACCAGAACGATCCGACTTGTACTCAACATGCCCGCCACTCTCCTAATACAGTGTTCACAGTTGGTTTAGCTGGCTCTACCCGCCCCGTCCGACCAAGATCTTTTACTCCCCCCCCCCGCCGAACACACTGCCATCAAGAGGCGCCCACCCCCTTACAAAAAAGGTTAAATGGATGGGAAAGGTGGCATCGGGAAAAGGGGAGCAAGAAGAAGACGTAGTAACCCGGTGATGGGTGAGAACGGCTCCCGTTGTTTCTCCCCGAAAAGGATCCACGGATTTCAGCCCGATTCCATCCTTCCATCCGCTCGCCCACCAATATGGATGGCATCCTACACCCTTTAGGAGCGAGTGATGGCGCGGGTTTTCGGGGATTGGGAAGGGAAATACTTATGGATTGGTGGGGTGAAATAGGAAAAAAAATATGCTACTCGTAAGATTGTCAATGTTTTTTTTATAGGGGCTAATAAGTGACGCGGGGAGAGAGAGGGTGAGTGACAAGGGAGGAAAAGAGAGGGAGAGAGAGAGAGAGAGAGGGGCAGAGAGAGACAGAGGGGTAGAAAGCCAGAGAAATAGAGTTATACAGAGATATAAATGCTCCGGAATTCCAAACTCTAAAAACTAGGCACTGCGGACCTCTCGAAAAACCAGGGGGATCAACCGCAACCCAAAAATTGGTTGGGCAGATTGTAGACCCGTACCCTTGGGGGAATTGTAACCGCGTAAAGCGTCATTCTCCCGGTACCCTCCCTCCCTCCCTCCCGCAACGCACCATTCTTTGCTCAACTGGTTGTGGATTGTTGCCGTTCCTTTCTATTCCTTTCCATTCCTTCTATTTCTTGTGCCGTTGTGTCCTCGGGGCTTCCCCTCTCGTGTTTCTCCTCCCTCTCTTCACCCTCCCCTTCCTTCCACCATAAACACAATGGCATCCCGGGTGTTTGATGGGTGGGTGCATCCCGGGGTAAGTGGAGGAGATGCCTTACGGGTCGACACCTTGTATGACGAGGCTTGTTTTGGGAGCAAAAGCCGAATGGAGAAAGGTTTTAGACAATTTTTTCATTGGTTTCATCAGCTTAAATTTGCACTTTTTCGCCAAAATCCGTTCCAGAAGTCGCTGAAAATTAATCAACCCAGTGTCCTACACCTGAAATAGACACCCCGGACGACCTCCGGAAGTGGCAACTCCTGGAAAAGGCACCCACTCGGATTCTGATGAAGTGGAGTACTTGATGGAGTGCATTGAGTATGCTGTCCCGCCGGGTGTCTATTCCAGAAAAGCCGCGTACGCCCTCCTCATTATTTGTTCAAAACACTTTTATACGTTCAGCCGTCTCACTTCTGGTTGCTACAGCCATTAACTGCTTACTAAAAAATGACACCCGCACCAAAATCCGTCGCCCTGGAGGGCCACTTTTCCTTATTTATTTTCGTAAGTGGCTAAGCCTTTGTGGGAACCCTATTTTCAGGGTTTTCACGCCCAATATTTACAGCCGGCCTTTAGTGCGCGCTAAATACGGGTTACCGACCCGCTGCCATCCCCTGTCATTTCGAAAGGACGTGGGCGCATTGGTTTACCCTGGGTCACCCCATCCGTCTGCCCCCTCCACCCACCCCCCACTCTCTCGCCGGCGTAACGAATTGATTTGGCGCCATTTGCCCATCCCTGAAAACAACCCAACGCTCGATTTTTTCACCCTGCATTTACAAGGCCGTACTACTATTTTGCCGGATATTTGAAGCAAAGAAAAAGTTTTTTTTGACTCATTTCGAAAATTTTGACGTTTTGGAACGCCTTTGACGCTGTGAAAATACTGCTTTCTTAGTTCTTAAGATTTTATATGAAGCAAATATAATAATTACGGTTTAGGATGGCCTCTACAAGCGGAGAGGAATCTTCCCACATTGAAATGAGGTACGTTTTTGCCTTCGGTTATGATTTATCTTATTTTTGGCGTGTAAAATACAATTACGAACCTTTTTTAGCGTAAAAGCGGCAAATGTGCTTGCCGATTACGGGTTTGAGCCTCTTGCCGACGTGCCCGGTGTTTATTTTGGCCATCAAATGCCCAAGGTGCACGACTTTTGGCTGTTGCTGTTGGCCACAAAGCGCGGCATGTACGTTTTTTATTGTTTTCTGAACAACTTCCCTCAATTTAGTCTAAAATCAACGAGAAGGCCATACTTCGACAACCGAAAGGCCGGTATATATTTGAGCCTCGTTGATCCGGTCATTCTCCGAACCCGAACGGCTCTAAGCGAAGATGCAGTTTCTCCATGGACTTCCGGTCAAGGTATGTAGTTTAAACTTTTATCGGAGCAACACCAATGGCCCTTTTTTATTTTTAATAGCTAGAATCTTTTAGCCATATGCTTTTAGAACGAATGCATCTCGACAACTACTACGCGGACGGCGAAAATCTATCCAGTCGCACCACCGGAAACGCTGAAGGCCTCCGCGTAACCCATCAACGATATTCCAAACACCCGGGAAAATTGCCAATCTCAAAGAAGGTACCGTTTTTTGCCCTACTTGATGTGTTTTTGTAGATTCTTAGCATTCCCCACATGCGAAAACCGGCGCTGGTCGAGCCGAACACGTACGCCGTCGTTTGCTACAAGGTCAGCGAGCCGTTCGAGATGCCGCTCGAGCGAACGAAGCCGCGCGTTAAGCCAGAAGCCGTTGCGGCTATTAGGTACTGCTCATATGCCAAAACTCCAAGCCGATTTTTAGGAGATTAACGACGAAGCACCCTGGCTTAAACGCGGGTAAAATTCACGAGCTGTTGAGCATCGAGTTGCATGGAGTTGACGTCCCAGATGTTGCACAGGTGAAAAAAATGTTTCAAAGTTTTTTCCCGAATCGCCGAACTTGAATCACCATTTTCAGGTCGGATACCAGCAGAAAAAGCTGGCCGGCAAGCTACAGCGCTACAAGTTGATGCGCCCGTTTCTGCAAAATCAACCGGGGACCGGTGACGAGGACGACGAGCTGGATATGGACTCGATGTTTGATGACTATTATGACGAGGAGTCGAATCAAACGCTTGATACACCGCCGGAAGTAAGTAATACGCTTTATTCCCTTATTTCTACATCATTTTTGCATCATTCCCAAGTAATTTAACACTTTTACATATGCAGGATGGCGGAGGCCCCTCATTTTCGCAGTTTGACGGGTCGATTTCCGTGAACGAACACTTGCAACAGCAAGTTTTTGGCCAAGAAGAGACGACCAATGGATACCATGAACATCCGGAGCCGCCCCCGCCGCCGTACCACGCCCCGAAACAGCATCAATTCTCCAATAGCGTCTACCAGCAAGAAATCCCTGGATATTACATGGATCTGGCACAGGGAATGAGTGTTATGGTAAGTATTTCGGCCTTGAGTATTCCGGGCGGGGGGGGGGACCGAACTTTCCGGCCAATAGATTTTTATATAAATAGTGGAAGTGTTTCTAAATTGTTTATAGCTATTCCTAAGCATACAAACTTCACAACATTTAATTAAAAATTTATTTTGTTCGAAAAAAATTTTTGGACCCAAAAAAAAAAAATTTTCCCCTTTCAAGGGTTCTAAACTTTTAAAAAGTTTTTGCTATTAAAATAGGCTTAAATTTCACCAAAACAATGTGAAAAACACATTTTTTTTACTACGCCCCCAGGGGGCCAATAGAAAAAACGTGGGTCCCCCCCCGGAATACTCAAGAACCAGTATTTCAAATTGTTAGTAAAAATTATACGATACTAAGTCTCAAAAATTGTTAGAATATTTATAAAGAAGATCCAATTCCATGTTTTCAGGAAGCCGTTTCCCTCCATGGTAGCATCCCGGACACCGGTTCAGTCTTTCACGGAGCCCAAAAAATCGTCTTGGATGGAATTGTGAAAACGGTAAACCTTATAAAGCTGATTCTATAAAATTCCCAAAATCTAGATGAACGAGCTGCTCAACCGAACCAAAAACAACTTCCACCCACCCGCCCAAATGCGCTCAAACGGCATCAAGCAAGAATTGATCGATGTCGATGTTACATAATTTTTCTCTTGTTTTTAGGCATTACGGGTCGAGTGTAAATATTTATTTCGGTTTTCTGTAGCCAAACGTACAGGTTATGCTGGCGGAAATGGAATGGATGTATGTACAACAGGGGAAAGTTGGTAAAAGCCGAATTGAGCGACAGCACGTTATGGACATCAAAATGCACACATAAAATTGGGGTCGAAAGTAGGCTGAGAGAGTGGGATAGTACCAGTGGCGAGAAGCTACGTGGTGATGTCATCGGAAAGATATTGGCCGTTTTGGGGGCAAAAGTAGATTAGGATCTAGTTTTCGCCTTGAAAAGAGGCGAGTTCAAGTCATAAACTACCTTTAAAATTTTTGGGAAAGACGGAAAGCTCTGTGGCTATCATGTGACATTGGAGGGGGGAATAGTCATTTAGTTCCAGGCCTCTCCCTGGAGGATTTTGACGTCCCAGAGGAAGAGCATGAATTGCACGAACAGGAGAACTGTTCCAATAACGGTGGGGGCACGGTAGTCGTTCGTCTCGACAATCAGGAACCAGACCATCAGGGCGGCGGCGATCAGGTAGAGCACCGTGCAGATAGCTCCGTAGACGCGTTCCTATAATGGGATTATGTTTTTGGAAATTGATCGAAATTTTAAAGACGATATAGGCTTGTAATCAAACTCACCAATCGCCAGAACTTGGCGTCGAGGAAGTTCAGGAAGAAGAAGACAACGTTGATGATCGTGATCACGGAGTTGATCGTGGTCGAGTAGCCGATTTGGCCCCATCCGAAGCAGCCCATCTTCGTCCTAGAATTATTTGGTTAAATTATTGTCTTAAAATATACTATGTCTTCGAAAATTCTTGTTAACTTGTAACCCACCATCCTCCGCAGAAGAGCACACTGATGGCGAGACCGCAAATGATCTGCAGCACCTTGATGATGCCGCGGTTGGAGGAGAGGTAGGCTGTGTTGAGGGCCATTTTGTAGAGGGAGTTTTGAAGGCTGGAAATAGTGATCGATTATTTGCATGAACTCGACAAGGAGGACCAAAAATGAAATAAGGGCATTCTAAAGTCATATTTAAGCCTGAAGAATTAAAATAGAATAATTATTGAGGTCTGAAAAATCTAAGAAATTCGGTTTAAAAGGGGATTGTTAAGTTAGGCTGGTCAGTAAATGTTTAAAGACGGCTTAAATCGCTAAAGTATTTGAAGCTAAGATAGTTAGGGGAAGAATAGAAAGGAAATCTTAAAGCTAAAAAGATAGATGGTTGAGTTTTTTTGATCAAGACCGGGAGGGTTGGATGAAATGGAAGAATGAAATGAAATGCTAGCGCATTGGTAGGTACGTCCAAATTGCCCCCTCCCTCCCACCCGTGGAAAAACAGAACAACAAACCCGCCCCCCGGAAGGGCAGCATTTCACAACGGGTGGAGTGGCGGATTGAGCCAGATGAAAACAACGCGGGTCCCCCGCGACGAATCAACAAGTCTTTTAGACTCTAGCTGAGCCGCCAGTCTCTCTCTCTTCCCCCTCTCTCACTCTCTCATTTTCTCTCTCCCTCTCGCCCACTCTCCCTCTCCCTCTCTCTCCCTCTATCTATCTCTCTCTCTCTCTCGCTCTCTTTGCCTAGAATGCGATGTTTGGCCGACATCGTCGAGCGGGGAATACCCCAGCCCCGCACCCCGTGCACTTACACCCTGGAAAACAAACTCGTCAGCCCCAGGAATTTGGCCTGGCCAAAGAGTTGGTGCACTTTCCAAGGGGCCAAAAATGGCTGATCCTTGACCTTTGTCGGTCTTTGACAAGACGGACTTGGCGAAGGCGTTCTTTAGGAATTTTTGGAATTTTGAAAGTTACGCGCGGCCTCAGTTTTTTCGTGCAAAACTAGTGGTCATGGAAAAAGTTCAGTCGTGCCTTAACAGCATTGTTTTCCGGTAGCGCGGGTAAACACAGACATCTAGTTTGAGTCGCAAAGATAAGCCCAGGGGGAGGAAAGAAGCAAAAACAGGCTCCAGATGGTAAAAAAAGGCAGCGAGAAAAAAATGGGATAACTTCGGTCGCGGTGTTGCGCTTTTTCAGCAATTTCCTACGAAATACAGGAAACTCAAGTTTATGGGCTAACAACACTACTAAAACTAGAACTAAGTAACTAAAAAATGCGCCCAAAAAAACTAAAGATCCGAGAAAGCTATAAAGCTACCGGCAGCGGTTACTACCAGATATAAACCATCTGAGCGGTGGTGTAGAAGATGAAAAGCTCTGTGAAAATAATGAGAAAACGGCTGCCGACGTCCCTTATAAATAAAGCTGATAGCAACAGCTTTATTTACCCGCGGCGCGCACACGCATACCACTCTCCTCTCACCCCGCCCCCAACACGCCAACACCACGACCGGCGGGAAAGTGCAATGTGGAAAACAAGTCATTTGAATGATGTTGATGTCTACGACGCCACGCACACGCATACGAGGGACACCCAGCCAACAGTCATCCCAACAGTCCGCGCTGACTTTTCTATTTTTGAAAAGAAAAGAAAGAGCAAAGGGATTTTGCGGCGAGACGCGCCGATTATTTGTGGATCTCACCTCGGTTTCGCGCCGGTGGTTAATGAGCGTGAAGCGCGAAAAATATTTGGGAAAAGTCGCGCGGGGGAGATCAACAATTCCGCACTTGAGATGAAGGGGGAACTTTGAGTCGAATTTGGAAGGGATTAAGTATAGATTCGGGGTTCAAAAATCGGTACTGGTCTATAAGCGGGGTATATTCTTAACGGTGGGTAGCTATTTTGTCCGATTGCTTCCGTATGTCCTTCAGCGAAAATATATCTTTTTAATAATCTTACAATATTTTCAGGTTTAGTGTTTCGGTAAAAAATCGATGAAAATGAAAAATGAAAGAAAAAGAGTCCAAAAACTTTTATAATTTCTTGGCAATTAAAAACTATTAAAAAATCTAGGAAAATACACTATGGAGCAGTATAGAAGAAAGCGGAAAAAAGCTTCTCCCCTGCTCAGCCCCCCCCCCGCCGCTAACGGCCTAGTACCCACAAGCCTCTTAAAAAGGTTAGTTATCAAGATTTGGACGAAATCCGTTGTATTTGCCTGGAACCCATATTTGAATCACGTATTTGCGGACATAACGAAATTTATTATTTGAGAAAAGGTCATAAACAATTATGATTTATTAATCATGCTTTTCTTCTATTTATTCACCCACTCAGACCAATAATAACGTAGTCTTTGCCTCAGTCTGAACCCAAAAACATATTACAAATCGTTCATAGCTGGTCTAGACAAAATAGAATCCCTTTCCCGGGTTCCGTTCACCTATTTATAACGGTGGTGGCCCATAAAAGTGCAGAATGCATTTCGCTTCAAAAACATGCACCCTTGTTGAATGGCCCGGGATGTCGGCGTGAGCAATACGGATATTTTTTTGCCGCAAATAACAGCTTCAGGGGTGGACAACAATGGTGAAATTCGAGAGAAAACCGAATGCAGAATTGAGCATTGAAGCGCGGCGGGAACACAGCTCTGTTTTCGATGAAGGCCCCCGGCCGTTTACGATCCGATTACTCGTGGAAAAACAAGATAACCTGGTAAAATGCGGAAATTGGTAAAATTTTTTCAATTTAAAATGGTAGATGACCGAAAAACTGATAACATTTCGTATCCGTTCCTTTCATCGGTTTACTACCCATTATTCTACGCACTTCACACGCCTTTTTTGTTCTTTTGAAAATGGCTCTTTTCAGGCAGTTCTATCTAGTATCGATTCGAACAGGTAAACATAGATCGAAAATGATAACATTATATCTTCAGCACTTTTTAGGCGTTGCTCCCATTTCAACAATAATTTGAGGGTACGGCGTATACGTGATCATGGAGATTCGGGTACTATTTCTATGAATTTTTCTCTCCCTGAATGTTTGGGTTCGGAGCCTCGGTAATTTTAGTACAGTATTAGGATAATGTTTGTCATTTAGTGTTGCTTCAATGCAATGGGTCAGCTTTAATTTGATTAGCCTCAAAAAATTCATAAGATCCTGTTAGCCACGCGCATCGGGAATTCGGATTTTTTTTTCCAAACTATCCTGAATATCGGCTGCTTAGAAATCCGCGGGGCCAATTGAGCACCACAGCTTAGAAGGTATTAAACTGACATTAAATATTACAAAATACGCTTTGGGGATTTCGGTGGTACGAATTTTTACATGGTACGAAAGGATGAGGGGTCCGGGATGTCGCTCCCTCGTGTGGATGGGCGCCTCGGGGAAAACATTTATAAAAAATGTTTGAGAGGCAGCATCTTTTCGAAATTTTTAGGGCATATAGTACCCTTCTAGTCTAAACAGAGGGCTAGAAAACGGATAACCAGATGGTGAAATTTTTCCAGAAAAGGCGGTCGAAGCTCGTCTGCAGTTACTTGTCGTACAACCTAATACTTTATTGAGGTCCTTGACTTACAATTCTTTATGGCAAATTTCTCTTTAAATTTATAAAATTTAATGATCGTCGAATAACTTACAAATATTCATCAAGCACCATGCAAACACCGGGCATAGATGCTTGTCTTTCCATAATATTTTTAAAAGGCACATGTCGAGGACTATCGCCAGCGGAATTGGCAGGTCCATGACCGGGCTAATCGCATCGAGAAACTCCATTTTTACTAAAAATTTTGCATTAAATTTTTGATATTAATTTAGGCACAAAAAAATTAAATGACACTTGGAACCATCAAACCACCAAGTGCATCCGTTCGAAAATCCTTCAGGGACGGGAAAATTAGTCTTGAGCTTTGGCCTAATTGCTATTTAAGTAGCGCGACGCGCGAAGTTCTAAAATTTCAAAGCCAGTCTTTAGCGAAAGATCTTGACATTTGCAAAAAATGGCTCGGGCAACCAGAGTTTATTTTTGAGGATGCTCGGGTAGATTTTGTACGGAAATTCTTAGGGTTTAGAGCTCCCTGGGGGTGTTTCGTAGCAAGGTGGCTAATTTGTTTGCAAGAAATGCTTGGTACAGATGTGGATTTTGGAAAATTTGGCGCATCCGGTTTTTGATGTGGAAAACTGGGAAAATAAATGGGCTATGGCCGGAGTAAGGAAAGAGCGTAGACGTCGTGCGGACGTCCTGCGTAGTGTGGGCGATTTCATGAGTGCGAAGCAGCTCGTCGCGGCCCTGGGACAAAATTGAATTTCACATACCAAATTTAGCGTTGCATCAAGTTACATTGCACCTCGTAGAGATGGTTTAAAATTTTCTTTTACAAGCCTTGAGACGCTTGATTGCTCAGGTTTTAGAAGCCGTTTTGACGCCAAAATTATCTTAGGCTGGATCTTCCGAAATACTTATTTGAAATCTGCATGTAAAGCTACGACAACATTCAACCTTTTTTAATTTTTATCATCACGAAATATCTGTTTTATCCGTCAGACGTCAGAAGCAGTTTTAAGGAAAACTCCAAAAACGGGAGACCAACTCTTGAATTTTTAAAATCGACGCGCAAGACGTCGATATCAGGTGTTTGGAATTCCAGGTTTATGCAAACAAGACACCATTCAGAAAACGGTGACTTTAGAGGCTGATTCGGTTGGGTAACGTCCTGAGGAGGGATCTTTTGACACTTCTTGGCCCAGCCAACGACGCAGGCTCTTACGGGTCTGAATATACATCAATTTTCAATTTTCGGAATTTGTAAACCTCTGGAAAACACACAAAAATCACCACCGTCGCGTTGAACCCGTAAAACACGCCTCCAAATTGCCTAAAAACCAGAGTTTCGAAAACATTCAGAAATTTACATAATGACCCAATAGAGCTTGAGGTCGACCTCGGGCAGATCGAAAAATACGAATGCTTGGAGCTCGACGTAGATAAAGAATAGAACTCCGCTTAGTTTCGCTTAAAAATGTATTTTCATATTACGGGGAATATGTACTTACGGATATGGATGAGAAACTGGGCGACTAGGGTCTTCCTTGCCAGGCCGGCGACCACCTCGAAGCGCATCAGGGAGGCGGTCAGTAAAATGTAACAGAGTACTGTATGCGAGGTGTATTTTAAAGGCGCAAATAGCTCGAACCTGTCAAAAATAATATAGCGGGGCTAATGTATGCCGAGTACCATTGCGTAATTGGATCCGGTGTAATCGTCCCGAAACTGATCGAGTTGTTGCCCTAGACAATCAATTCTTAATGGGCGTGGAAACGTTAATTTTTCTGTTTTTGACTTTGAACTTGCCAAGTTTAGTACTTTGCCTGAGTTAAGACAACCTTACCATGGCCCAATATCGGAAGGGAACGTTGATATATATGTGGAGGCTGAGGCAGCCATTGACAACCCAGATTACGACCGTCATAACCATTTGGAAACGGCGTGTCCATATCTAGAATGAATTGGGAGTTAACAATTTTTGAAGAAAATGATGGAAGCCCATTAAAAGGGTATGTAAGGTTATTAAAAAGTATTGAAAAGAAAACATTTAAAATTCTTTAAAGTTTAAACTGGTAAAAGGGCTGATTTAACTTTGGGTTAAACTTCAGCTTCCGCTTAAGCTTATGCAAAGGTTTAGGCTTCGGCTTCAGCTTAGGCTTAAGCTACCGCTTGAACTTGGCCCCTAGGCCGAAGCTTAGGCTCAGGCTCGGCCTCCGGCTCAGGCTTAGACTTATGCCTGTGCTTTGGCTTAGCATCAGTGAAAAAGATTTCAATTTGAAAATGACTTCCATCCACCTTATGAAAAGAAACAGGTCCCATCACGCTCCACAACCTAGAAAGCGCCATGATAAAATTCCACTGTGTCGAGATGCCACCCCACGTGACGATCGTGTCATAAAATATCTAAAAATATTGAAACTATTTAACTTGTTTTAACCACCTTTCCTAAAACCGGTGCACTAGCCATGTAAAAATCTAAGAATATCCCATGCTGTGCCGGCATTCTGATGAATAACTCGACGGCGTAGACGGCCGTTTGGGTCAGGACTGGAATTATTCGATTACCATGGCTATACATGGTTAAATTCCTGATTTTGATGCCCAAAAACTTACAAATATTTTTCAAACACCAGGCAAAAACTGGGCACAAGTGCCTGTCCCTCCATAAAATTTTCAGGAGGTATAAGTCGAGGACAATGGCAAGTGGAATTGGTATATCCATCAAGAGGCTGGCGATATCGAGGAGTTCCATATTTTCTAAAGTAGCCATTGGGTTTATAGGCCCAAAGAGCGGTGAAGGACCCTGGTCAGATAATGAAACTCTATAGTTCCCAAGGCTATAACCCGGTTCAAGTTTCTCAGAAGAGCGACCAAATTTTGGAATAGTTTCCCACGGATTGTTTTCCATCCGGGTCCGTTTCGTAGTGCAAAGAACTTTCGGGTCAGAAACATTCGTTCTATTTGGGTGTATCTGATTTCACTTGTCTGATTTAGATCTCGTTCTCTGGCCATGATCCGGAGTAAGAGTAAAGTACTAGATGGATGGCAAGCCATGGCTATGGGTGGTTTTAGCGTCATGTTTTTGCCGGTTGTATTCGGAACCACGATACGCAATGCTCGCAGATCTTTGGAGTCTTCAAAACGCATAAATAATTACGCTACGCGATATCGGCCGCGTCTCGTGTCGCGGGTGCGATAAATGGGAAAAGAGGAGCTACGGCTCGCTATCGAGTTCAGCTTTGTTGCCCTCCGTACGCGAGCCTTTAGGCTAGCACATATATGTACACTTAGTTGCAGAGCTGAATCACAGAGAGAAAGAGAGAGAGAGCGAGAGAGAGTTAGAGAGAGCGAGAGAGAGAGAGAGAGATAGAGAGAGCGAGAGAGATAGAGAGAGAGAGAGAAAAAGAGAGAAAGAGAGTGAGCTAGAGAGATAGAGTGTCACAGAACAAGACGGTTTCGGGAAGATGTTTCTTTTAAGAGCTCACCCTCTAGTAGGTTTAAGAACCAGAAAAATGCTAAAATTTCCAAGCGACGATGCAACCGTTCAAATTCTCGATAAATGAATGGAGCAATTTCCAGCTTTGGGCAAGTTGACCCCGCATTGGGAGGCGTGTCAGATTAAATTCTAAACTACATAATCGTGTGTATTAGCCCCATGCAAAACCAGCACCAGACATAACTTACTTTACGCCAGCACGCGTAGATAGTTTCAAAGAAAAACCTGGCTTCTTCCAGGCCCCAAGAGAACTTTCGTCGCAAGCTGACTAATCTGCTTGCTGTCTGTAGGTTAGAATCGTGGTTTCGATGGTCCGACCCCTTCGCTGTTTTGATTTGTAGCTTTTTTGGCATCTAGTCATCAGAGGCGTGTAGATTCAATTAATTTCAGAATGGCTCTTCCTTTCTTGATTGACGACACCGGGGCTACTGTAATTGAATCACGAATTTCTTTTTTTGGAAGTCTGCGACGCTGTAGGGAAGAGTAGACTAACGAGCTGGGCAAATCGCATTAGGCTTTAGATGTAAAAAGCATAATCGAAGGCCTTTTCAGAATGACATGGCGGAACGTGAAAACATCTCCAGAGGATTAAAGCAGGCTTAGGCCTAGGCTTATGCCGGGACTTAGGTTTAGGCTTCGCCTTGGGCCTAGGCTTAGCACGTGTGAATGACCACGATTACAAATTACCGCGCTACAACGCAAAAATAAAAAGGGATGACGTCGGAATAAATTCACTCCAGCTGGAAGTTCCTGAAATCTAAACACCATAAGGCTTGTAAAAAATTTTACGCCAATAGCCCCGTTTATTTCTTGGGTTTTTTCGCTTTTCCAGGTCCTTGGCATTCCCGGTCAGCTAGTGTGACCTCAAAATCTGCTCCCCTAAAACCAAGTGGACACAGCAAATCGATTTAGCCAGTCGCGACTGGAGAAGAAACATTTGCCAGGGGTCATAAATGACCTGGCACCCTATCATCAACGTTAACTAAATGTCTAACAATTTTCGTATTACAAGGTTTTGAGAGAAACCTGTACATGATAGGATATTGTTGTAAATCGCATCTTTAAAAAGATCTGTGAATTTTAAATTTATTCATTTCTGATTTTTCGCAGCCAATTACAGAAAAACCTAAAGGTTTTAATGGCATTTTTGGAAAGGGAGGAATTTGCAGTTTATATATATACTAACCCTTCGATTTTTCTTTGAAAGTTCAAATTCGTAAAGATCCCCTGACCTTTTTCTTTATCTGGTTACGCCATTAAATTAGCGTATCAAATCAAAGTGGTCGCTTGAGCGCATTGTGCAACTCTGACTCACGGTTTTTCAGAAAAATCACAAATGCCTTAATTATAATCAAATAATTACAATAATAAAGCAACACTACGCTACACTCCACTGTCTTGCCAACCCACTCAAATAGGGCTTCATCTTTTATGCTGGCTTTCCATTGTTTTCGGGCGCTTCTCTGTTTGCAGCTAGCTTCAAGTGCCTGAAAACACAAACCATTTAGGATGAAATGCCGCCTAAAACATGGGAACGACTAATTAGTTTTACTTTCCTAATTATTATACAATTAGCTACCGGTATTGAACCCGAATACGAAAAATTAACGCCGGAATTTGCTGAAAGTTTTGTTGCTGGAAATCCTAGGCTTCGACGGCTATGTGAAGCGGATCCGGACTGCCCAGTAAAAGTTGGTGGTTCGAGATTTATGTGTTGTAACTGTTTAGGCATCCGAGTTGAGCCCGGAAAAGTGCCTGGGATTCGAGCCGGGATGCAAATTATTGAATAGCTATGCGGCGAACAGGACGAGCTATAGGCCACCGAGACCCGATGAAAAATGGTAGGCCCCAGCGTTATGATTTTTAATTGAAGTCAATAGAGGTCAGCGTCCGTTGGCTAGTTTTAAATACGAATTTTACATATAATTTTACACTTATAATTTTATATTATTATTACATTATAATTGTACATTAAATACAATTTAAATACGAATTAGATAAAAATTTATTGTGGGGGAAAAAGGCGCCCCTTCCTTTTTCTTTTTTTTTAGGAGGGAACGATCCCCACAAAAACCTTTTCAAAAACCCTTAAAAAATTTTTTTTTTGTTGTACCTAAAAATTTTTGGGGGCGGGGGGTTTAAACCAGGGGTGGGTTTTTTGGGGTCCTGACCCCTTTTGTTTTTTTTTTGGGGAAAGGGGGGGGGGGGGGGGAAAGGGGGGGGGGGGGTTTTTTATGGGACACCCTGTAGGCCTTTCTTTACGGTTATTCTCAAAAATATCTTCTTTTTTTGAGGATCGGCGATGAAAAATTCCAACGTGACCACTTTTTCAACGAGGGCGATTTTGGCTATGTGAAGCAGAGGAGCATTTTGAATGAGATTTGCACAGCTGAAAACGAGGTAATATTTCAAAATTAATTAATCTATCAATTACTAGGACCAAGCGACGTTACAATGCTCTGAAAATCTGCGGCATTGTTGGGCTAAAAATATCTATTTTGATTTTCGGAATTTACGGTTGAAAACGAGTAAACGGTAGCTTAATTTTTATTGGGCTTAGCATACAGTTTTAGCTATCGTGAAGACGTGATTCTAAAGGGGCAGGTCGGCGGCAATTGCGCTAAATTTTTCCCTGATGTCATCAGAAGTAATTTGGAGCATCTGGGATATTTGCAGAGCTGGTAATTTTGCTTGTGATTTCAATTTATCAATTTTTAGGGGCCACGAGCTTCAGCATTTCCAGTCGAAGCCCGGCTTCCGGGTCGATGTACAGAATTGTGATGTGATTTTTGACAGGCCAACAGGTAGACGATCATTTTAACGTTTAGAAATATTTGAATATTCTTTTTCAAGGGTTTATTACGTCCTACTGCGTTATAAGAACGTAGTAATTTATACAAAGTCATTATTGACAGTTACGCATCCCGTCCCGTTCCTTTTCGCAAACCAGAGACGCCCCGGAACCGGCTCATCCGTCCGCTTCCTCGCTTCTGCATCGTAGCTTATGCAAAAACCCAAACTTGATTGTTGATGAAAACGCGATAGTGCAATTAATCAGTCGTAAGCAACTGAATATGGACAACGTCAGTATGAAGTTAGCCGAAAAGGCCTCAGCCTCAGCCTGACATGTGGAGGTTATGAGGCTTAGCTAATTTTTGTCGCATCGTGTTCCCGGTATTTGAGTTGATTTTTCCACCAATTTTGAATAGGTTGGGACTGTGTGACCCAAGAACCCCTACATGTAAGCCTACCAGAAAGCCATGGATTTGTAAATTTTGACCTGGACCCATTGAAAATAATCGCTAGTTGCCAGATCGAAACTGACCACGAATACAAATAGAATCGCATACTGTCCCATATTGATCAAGACCTTAGAAACAAAGAATGCTTTTGGAAAGCTGCGGATGCGGCAGTTGGGGGCGTCACGTTGTGGAAGTTTAATATTCTTCAGGATTTAAAAATCTTCAGAAAAGATTCAGGTTGACATTCTTGTGCAAAAATGCGCTGTCGTAACGATGGGTAACCATTTTTGTATGCCGGATGCATAAACCCCGCAAATTTATGGCTGAAGCAAGAGTCAACATATTTTTTTTTTAGTTTTGATTAAACTCGATGCTTCCATCAACATGTACCACCATTTTTGCGATTTTGTGAATCTATTCGCCTCCCAGATGGTTAACGGGTCATTCGCGCGTGATATTGATATCGTTTGGTGGGATACGGTAACAACTTTCGCTTTTAGACTGTTAAGAAACTGCTTCAGGATCCCCACGGGTTTATCGACGCGTTTTTTGGTATCACCTGGAAAGCGTTTTCCACTCGGAAACCCGTAGAGTTGATCTCATTGGACCAGAAACGGGTACGAAACAAATAATAAAAATATACAACAGATCGGTTAAGGTTTGTTTCAAAAATGCGCTTCTACCTCTACTTGCTCGACAGCGTTTTGGGTTGTTTTACAATACACCTTTAGTCAGTTTTAACCCTCTTTACGGGATAGGAATTCACCTTTCATAAATAGAGTCTATTTTTAGGTTCGTGCATGTTCCGGAACAGGACTTTTCCATGCCTTTTTCTCACCATATACTGCACCGCCTGGATATAGAGCAGAAAGGGCCGATTCTGGATACGGTATTTCACGCGCACCTGGAAACCGGAGAAAGTTTACAGGTTCGAATCACTTTTCTCGTCAGGGGAACCCAATTCCGGAAAGTTTTGAATCAGGATGAGGTGGGTTTTTTGCCAGAACATGGTTCACAACCTTTAACTTGCTGCGAATCAATCATTTTGGATGTTTCCATTTGAGGCCCTTGTTAATGTAAGAAATACAGTAGTAAATCACGTACGCCTGGGCCAAACGGGTAAAATGAAGTCGTAGATCTTTATTCGATACTCAGAAAGACAAATAAGTGACAGCCTGGAGTGTCAGGCCAGCAAAGACTCTTTGGGAAGGCTAGACTTCAGCCTCCAACGCCCCCTTTAAACGACAACAGTTCGTGTGCCGCTGGTTTGCACTCCAATCGAGGCTGCATCTAGCGAATCCTCATCAACGTCTCGAACATGACGCAGCTCAATCGGGACGAGGATTTTCTAAAAAATAAGACATTATTAGTTTTGCAATTTTTTTGATAATCTTTCCACAACTTCTAAAAGAATCATTCTTGAAAAATGCATTAAGTTTTTATACCTGATGGCCCATTTGCGGTTCCGTCAAAAAGTACGCCTTCGTTACCCGATTTTCGCCCATCTCTTTCAAGTTTTGGATGAGTAGAATAGCGCATACGAGTGAGGCGACGGCTAAAAGGACAATAAAATTTTTAATTAGAAATTTATACCATGTATTGGCCCAAAAATCATGTGCAGACTGTACATGGCGATCTGGGTGGAAGCGACGATCCGATTCGGGCGAACCCCAATTTTATCCAGGGATCTGTCTTCGAGGTTTATCAGATAGGCGCAGTAGAAGAACAAGGCAACGCTCTCGATAAATGACATGGACGTGGTTAGGCATGAAGCGTACTAAAAGTAATAAAATTAGAAATATTTAAATCAAATTATTTAGAAAATCCTTTGAAACTTACGCCATCTATGATATTTTTCCACATTAGTCAATAATTTTGAATTTTCCAAAACCGATATGTTATTTTATCATAAAGAACATACCAGCATCCCCTTCGTTGGCCAATACTTTTGTAATAGAAACACGACAGCCGTATTCCCGAGTAGAATTAGAGCCACGACTGGCAATACATAATAAGGAGATCCATCGTAGAATATACAAATTATGGAGAAGATTAACTAAATTGATCAAGGTTTTGTAGTTCATAGCCTTACCAATTGCACAGCTGATGCAAACATTATTAAGGTTAGGGTTAATAGCGTTCGGGGGTGCGTGAATAGGACGTGATCGGTGTAGACTTGCTCCACCTAAGAATTTGATTTTATTTGCTTAATCAATTTCAAATATTCGTTATTATTTTTTGCAAAGCTTACGTGGTAACTTTGTGTCAGATTCGTATTTCTTGAACCATTGCTGACGTACATCGGGTTGATCATGTTGACATTCAATCCGCGCACTAAAGAGAGTCTTAGACTGGGGGTCTAGGCTTATGCTTAGGCTAAGGCTCAGGCTTAGGCTTAAGCCTAGGCTTAGGCTTGGGTTTAGGCCTACGCTTTGGCTAAGACTTAGGCTTATGCTTAGGCTTAAGCTCAGGCTTGGGCTTAATTGGGCTGAGGGATAGGCCTAGGCTTATTTAGGACGCCACCAAACCCATGAAAAAACTAACAAAAATTCGCTTATTTGTCCGTCCACCTCAAAATCGGAAAAACATGGCAAGATTGATTCGAGCGAACACCCCCGGGACAACCTGCCAACTGTTCGCCCCGGGTTTTTTTATTGGGAATGGGGGCTGAAGAATTGGGGGTAATTTGGAGCAATGTGGAATGGGTTAGCGTGAAGTTGGCTTTTAGCACAGAGCGGAAAGGCATAGGGGAGAATTTTAGGGATCGCTTGATTCTTCTTGGATTGTGTTAGAAAAAGCGTAGTATAAAGCACAAATTGCCAATGATGGTTGGCTGTGACTTTTAATTCATAAACATCAGATTTTTAATAGCATTTACCTGTACTTTTCGTCGTGATACTATCATCACTACATGTTGTCATCGATTCCGAATGCTTCAATTCTCCGACCCCATCAAAACCATAGGTATCCCGGTAGTAGACGATCGGTGGGTAGGAGGGCATTGCCTAAAAGTTGCTGATGGTACCGTATCCAAGGCTGGCCATCGAGGTTATAAAGTTCATGACCGGAAATGCCTTTTTGCAACTGTTACAAAGCAGCCGAGGACCTGGGGACCAAACAGCAGGATCGGATTTCTTCACACTTTACGATAAAGGGGGTTTTTCAAAAACAAAGCAGTCAGCTAATTTGTATAGAAGCTACGGTACATATTGACGTGGTAATAATCACGATTGATTGTTGATGGAAAATTTTCTCTGAGAACTGAAGGAGTGGAAAAACCTTTTACAGGGAAATAATATTTCGCTGTTCTATTTTACAATAAATATTACAATAAAGTAGAACTTCTCCCAACGCTAAGTCCAGCAGTGAACGGGCCGAAGAGTCGGGCTAAAATCGAAGGGGCAAAGGCCGCGTTAAGTGGATTTTCGCGAAACGTGGAGCTTTTGAGAGTTTTGAGGGTAGGCTTATGCTTCTAGGGGCTATTTTTGGCTACAAAATTCTAGGGTTTTTAGCACGAGTTTCTGCACGTTTAAAAGAAAGAGACAATGGAACGATGGGTTTTAAACAAGGGCAAAAATTGAAAAACAAGCTTAGGACTACAGGAAAAATATAAAAATGGTGCTGTAATTCCAAAAAAGTCTTTTCCTTGTCGAAAAATTGGACTAGCTCTGTGACTAGTAACATTTCTGAGGTATAGAACTGATAAATCAAGAAAGAAATTAAAACCAAAAAATTGCACAAACTGCCGCGATTTTTTAAAAATAAGATTTTACGATATTCCTAAGTCTGTAATCAAAACTTCAAAACAAGAACAGCCGCCGCAAAACATGTGGTCCAGGACCAAAAATTTGGGCCCGCAAAAAGTGATGTGCCACAGAGGAAATGAGTGCGGGCAGGGTGGAGCATGAGCTAATCCTCGTGCTCCTTTTAGTTAGGCGAGTCTTGTCTTCTTTGGCACACACACACGCTCACCTTGTCGTGGCTTGTCCGGAAGGGCACCGGCCCCGCCATTGCAGTTGTTTCGGCGAGGAGCACGAGCCCGGCGAAGGGAGAAAGAGAGGGGTGTAATGGGCTCTCAGCCGGGGCCCCTGTCCGGTCCCTTTAAAAAGTCGGAGGGGAGACGCGAAAAAAACGGTGAGGGCCCAACCTCTTTGGGGGTCTGGGAGCACATGTTGGGTGATTGGGGCCAACCCTGGTCTGGCATTGGAGCATGGTTTTTTAGATGTTGGACTGGGATCAGGTTGAGGATTGCTTGAGGTAATTGATGGGTGGGCAATCTTTGCAAAATCATGATCTCATTTTGTAAAATTTGCAATTTTTAAAATAAAGATTTTGGTAGGTAGATATTTGTAATTTTTTATATGAAAACTGCCATTTTCATAATGCCGTACCCTTTAATCCCATGTTTAAAAAATGCAAATCGGCAAAAGTCGATTAAATCCAAAAATATTACAACAGCCTGTAAAGTAAATGTAGAAAATCCAAATTTTTCCCTGTAGGAAATTTATATTTTCTTAAATCGGCAACTTGAAAATCATAATTTTATGTCGATTTTTGGTTAATTATGTTTTAAAAGGTAATCATCAAATTCAATAGTGTAATTTGCAATTGCGCGTTAAAGAGTGCTCGATGAAAAGCATAAAAACATAATCATCAAAAATTTTAGTTTTTGACTTGTTTTTTCAGCTCCGCGACGCCATCCGCGAACTCCCAAATGTTGCGGTTAAGATGGTCGATTACGATAGGTAATTGCAGCCCTGATTTGGTCAATTTCAATTTTTCCAGTCGTGTTCCCTTCGAGAAACAGCTTTCCATCACGCACAATTCTGATATCTTCATCTCAATCCATGGCTCCGGGCTGACCCACCTGCTTTTTCTGCCCGACTGGGGCGCCGTTTTTGAGCTGTGAGTTTGATTTTTAGCATTTTTAAAGTGTAAACATTTATCGAAGATTTAAATGCAATTTTCAGGTATAATTGTGATGACGCGAACTGCTACTCCGATCTTGCGCGTCTTCGGGGAGTAAAATATTGGACTTGGCAGAAGGTAAGTAGTGGATACGACGGGGATAAATGCTTCTTGCTCAATCAGCCCTGATCATACTTTAAAGTTAAAATAAATAATTGTCAAAAATCTAGGAGAATCTCCTCTATCCGGATGGCCCCGGTCGGCATCCGACAAAACCAGGAGAAGCTCACAAGAAATTTGCAAATTATTCATTTGATCGAGCCGAATTTTTGAGGATCGTCAAGCAGGCCAGTGATGCAAATATTACTCTCCTTTCGATTCATGAATTTTTATAATAACACCAGTTTTTTCCATGTTTTTCTCTTAAAATCCTTAAAATTTTCTGGATTTTATTCATAGAATTTTACGAAGTTTGAAGCCAAAGTTTTCCAACTACGAGTATGTAGCTCTGTGACTTGAAAAACAAAATAATACCCAAATTACGCTGCATAGCCCGAAAACAGAATATTCAGCCAAAACACCCTGGCTCTCTGGATCCTCTATTTTGATCGCCTGACCTGTTGATGTGCACTTTCCAAGTGTGGCTGGGCCTAGAATCTATTTGTGCAGGTCAACCAACCCTGGCACGGCTTATTAATTTTCATTAATATCCGATTGCTTTTGTTTCCCTTTCTGTCACCTTCCCTCCCTCCCTCTCTCTCTCTCTCTCTCTCTCTCTGTCTCTCTCTCTCTCTCTCTGCCCCCCCCCACTCTCACTTTATTTAGGTCACAACTTGTTGACCATGGCGTTAATCGCCCACATTACCAAATTAGCGCCCAACAAATGGGACCCCCACAAGGATTTCATTTTTGGGACGAGCGAAGACGTCAGCCTTAACTTCCCCATATCAATACTGCCGGATTTCCTCCAAAAATCGGGATAAGCCCCGGGGATTATGTCGGTGATGCCGGTATGTATGCAGCTGGGATAATGCATCCGGAGGCCAGAAATCGTAAATCAGATAATGGGAAGGGCGAGCTAGCAGAGATCATTTAGAAAGTGGAAAGAACTCCCCGGAGTTTTGCACACCTATCCTACTATAAAATTTGTCTTTTTTGTGTTTTTGCCCCCCTTGCAAGCAACTTCCGCATTATTCCGTCTTCCGATGGGAAGTATGTTTGATACGCCAAAGGTGCGTAATGGCTGACACGACCGCACAATATCAGATTTCAGGTGCTATTTTCGACATTAAATTATTTTTATGATCCGGCCCCCTTTTTTTGGAAACAATTGCGCCGGAAGTGACGACCAATAAAGGGGGGGTGTTTTCTTTTCCGCGTGGGTTCGTGAAAATATGGTGGAATATCATCGGATCAGGGGCCGGGAAAAGTCGGGCGGCTTTCAACCCCGGTAGTTATTTAAAAAATTTCAGGCGCTTAACGGGGTAGGCTAGTAGAAATCATTTAGGAATCCAAATGATTACAGCTGGCGAGTCTTCAGAGTAGCCGTAGGCCAGTCTTTTCCGGGCAAGCTAGCAGACACAATTTGGATGTGCTCCTGATTAAACTGTATAAATATAAAAAAGTGTCCGATGATTTCCTTATGCAAATTTCCAAGAATTGCACCTAGCCGTTGAGCCCTAACAAATATCCTACAGGATTTTTACAAGATCCGCATTCCACGAATCCACACCTGGGTTCGCTGGAGCGTATCGTTGTCTAGCCGAATTCTGTGTTTTGCCTAGCCGCTTGGTTTGATCCTTTTTGTTTTCCGCTAAACACGCTCAAATTGTCAAAAGCAGAAGATTACGCCGAAAATTTTGGCTAGACGTGCGGGATACGGTGATCGCAAGTTTGCACATTTTGTAAAGAGTAGTGTAGCGGAAGGAAGGTCTCGGAACTTGTTGAATAGATGTTTTCGGAATCGAAGGGAGTGAAAGGGCAGCCACATTTTTCGGGTTGTGTAGGGATAGTGCGTTGGGTAGAATGGTGCGTTAATTACAGTACCTAAGGTCAGTCATCAGTGTGTCGGGACAACAAATTGATTTTATTTTAAAGTGGGTTAAAGAATTTTGTCGGTCGCGAGAACAGCTAAAAATGAAGGGATGAAGCCGGGGAAAAATGATCCTGGAGTATGAATCGGCTTTTAAAGGGGTTAAGTCAGGGAAATTACGGCGATTTTCTCTCTTTTTTCTCCTCCTCCATCTCTCTATCTCTTTACTTCTCTCTCACTCTCTCTCACTCTCTCACTGTCTCTATCTATCTCTACCCTCTCCCACCCCCCCCCTCTCTCTCTCTCTCTCTCTCTCTTGCTCTCTCTCTCTCTTCGCAATGTGAGAATCGACCAAGAATCTGCCAATCCGCACGTCAAAAACCATTCATTTTGCAGTTTTCAACCCTTTTAGGAGACTATAGCAGATTCCCAAACCCCGAAACCTTTCAGCAAAATCCCCCTCGTTCTCAAGGCGTGTAGCTTACCGGAAAGTGTACGTAAATCCTCCACGGCATTCTGAAGGCCCGCAAATCCCTCCGAAAAAACAAATAATGCCGACGGTTGGATGTGTAGGGCTTTCTTCAAATCCCAACCCATAAACAATCGTGCGCTAATCCCCCGCCACACGACTTTTGCGCGTGTCAATAACCGGGAACTTGCGTCGAACCGAATTATCGCGTTTCCACCCATTTTTTGAGTGGTGATGCTAATTAAGAAATGACAGGATAATCCTGGAATACGCCACCGGCGGGATGGTCATTCAAGGACATCAGATAAACAACGAAAAATATTTCGTGGCGTAATTGGTTGCATTCTGGATCCTGAAAAACAACGAAAAAGGATGGCATTTACTATTTTTGGGACCGCGTGGGTAGGTCAGCAGATCCGAGCTGATGACTCGATATGAAAAAAGACAGTGCAAGACCTCAATGAACAGAACTAGATCTAGAAGGTTAGAAGGTAAGGAATCGCGATAATTCAAGGATAGTAGAGCACGAAAATAGTATTGGGATACCTCAATGATCATTACTAACTGGCCCGGGATCGATTTCCGATAAAAACCGTTTAAAGGTTTAAAGGCGAGAACCTACCCCCTCTTTTTATTGGGTATCGACAACGACGTTTCAGGAGACGTCTAAAGACGTCAAGCCACCATAGCCATCAAATACATTATAGCCATCAAATCTAAACGCATACAGGAATTTCCCAATAAAAAGCCACCCCCTCTAACTCGACGCAGAAGTATCGGAACGGAATAATAGTTACACCATCCGAAAGCCCTTGCAATGGCGAGTGTTAACACCTTTAAAAACTTTGTTTTTATTTAACTGCGCCATTTTACCAGCCATTTTGTCAAATTTTCTGGTTTTTCGGGGTTGCATACGAGGTTATTTGCCTCAATTTCTCCATACAAAATAACCGGAAGTAGCCGTTAATTAGATGCAGAGACCGTTCCTTAATGCTTTTCAATGCGTTGTAAAATAGCGCCTTCAAATAAAAACATGGTTTTGAAGATTTTTGCAAACTCGCCGTTTAAAGGGCTTTCGATTCGAGTAACTACCATTCCGACCCGATACTTCTGCGTCGAGTTCTAGAGGGGCGTTTTTTTATTGGGACACCCTGTAGATTCTTGCGCTTGCTAGTGCCCTTCAAATTTGTCAATATGAAAAGGCAATATTCAAATTTATTATGTTATTTTCAGATGACCGACTACGTCCGACGACACCCAAAATTCGTGGTGGAACAGCGAAAGCTGAGAAGGGCAGCGAAGAGCAAAAATGAGTTGTGATATTCTTATGCAATTGGGTAATAAAGTGTATTTTATCGTTCCAATTATCACTGGAATAATTTATTACCAGACGCGAAAATAATCGTAAAAAGACCCGTGAAGTAGAATCCGCATGGAATCACAGAGATCGGAACGTCGAAATGAGCGACAAGCCACTCTTAGAATTACACGATTTTTTGTAAATATGTAGTGGTACTAAATTCAAAACCAAATCATAATTATGACAGGCACGACAGGAAAATTTCTTATTCAGACAAGCTAGGTTTAAAATCGAACAAATCCGGCAATGGAAAAAATCGTCCTAGCAAAAAACCAAGGCCAAAAGTACAAAAGCTAATGAGATGAAGCGAGGGATTTACACAGAAATTTGCAGATTATTCAAATTACAGCCATTGGCGAGGGCTGTGAGGGGTCTCGCAGTTCGAAGCCAAGTCGATGCACGACGAATTTCGGGTCATCATCGGAACCGGGGTGGTGGCACGGTAGCTCATTGTGTGAGCACGATCTCGGGGAGTGATGGCTGGGCACTCTTCGAGGCGACGCACCGAGATGGAGAGCTGAAAATGAGAGAATATTATTAGACTTATTAGGCTTAGGCTTAGGCTTAGGCTTAGGCTGCACACGTCTAGGCCTAAGTACCTCGTTAATTATCTTCCCAATCCCTCACCTGTCGTGAAGAATTCGTCTTCGACAACACGTTCCGATCGAAGACGTACGAGGTCAGGTAGAAGGCGTTGAACGAGAACTGCAAAAGGGTACCTTATTCTCGAGTTTTCCGGCTTCCTCTGCCATTCAACGAATTAATTCTGTCCAAAAAACCCTTAATCTCGGTGTTCAATTATTAGTCAGCAAATTTATTTTCCATTCTCCTCCCCGCATTCCCACCACATTTTTCGGGGTCCTCTCGGCTACAACGCCATTTCGCGGCCTTTCATCCACATGGCCAAAATCCGGGCGGATAATCGCATTTTTGGGATTGGCGAGCGGATATTGGAACGAACCGGAAGGGGTGGAATAATTCGGAGCATTTGAGCATGGACTACAATAGTTGGGATTCGGTGGAGGGGATTCGTTTCGGGAATCAGCATTCAGAAATCGAATAAGTAATCGTGATTCTGACGATTGGATTCGTGAGTAAAAAAAGATGGCGTAAAAGATGCGACATTTTTTCATTGTCTCACTCTTGTGGTTTCTTAGAAACTCTAACTTCGTGCTTGGCTTAGCTTGTTAGGTTTAGGCTTCAGTTTAGGGATAGTCCTACGCTAAATTTCAATGATTTTCTCCCATAGTATTCCGTTTTTTATTCCCTGACGTTCCGCTAAAAAAAAACTAAAAAAATCATTTCCCCAGATGATCTCAACTTAACTCTCCACTCCCCCAAAGAATTGAACCCGCGATCATTAGATACAACGGCTTAATATTCGAGGCTTTCTCTCTCACAATCAGTCTCTCTCTCTCTCTCTCTCTCTCTCTCTCTCTCGATGGTAGCGGATTCATAAGATCCCCCAATAGCTAAAAGCGCCCGGCCATAATCCCCTGCTATCCCCCTAAAAATGTAGCCATTGGCACGGCCCAGAGCGTCCGTATAATCTGCAAACGTGCTCCCTTGGCCGAGATCATTTTGCTGCTCTTTTTTCAAGGGGAGTTAATTATACGGATTTGCCCTTGTCGGTTTAATAAGATCTGAATAATGCAAGGGGAGGAGGGGGCAGCGAATGGCTCCAAAAATACCTACCGGGGACTTGGAAGTGGAATTTATGATTAGGGGATGGGGATGGACTCTTGTTCTCGGGTTTAGAAAAATTGAAAGCAATGGAAAGTAAAGTTTTATTACACTTTACGGTGTGGAATCTTTTAAAGGGGTCGGAATGTCAGGTAATTCTGAAAGGAAACAAACTTTCGAAACTATGGCTCCTCAGATATATATGCAAAATCTAATGTGCTTTGCGTGTTTTTGGGCGACTACTTTCACAATTTTTATATCCCCTCCAATTCCCTGGATTCCATAAGTCCAAAGCAACCATAACTTCCCCCAGGAACGTCAGAAATTGGACCAGCCTTTTTTCCGGAAACAATGGCCGTCGGGTCCACCGGATTACCTGGGGGTTCCTGGAGGCACCAATGACCCTCCCAACTTCCGTGGCACCAAAATCCAATCGCCTACCGAATTGCCGGTTTCTCCAATGTGCAAGAACGTGCAAATTTTTAATTGCTTTAAAGCATCGAAAAACAAAAAATGCTAAAGGGTTTTGCGGAAAGGATCTTGGGATTCATCAAATTTCCGGGATTATGGTCCGGAAATGGGATCGAATTTTGAAAAAAATCCAAAGAGCCGTGAGGTGATCTCTAAATTGCGCTAGAAGACGTGAGAATGGCTGATTGGAGCTCTGGTGTGGGTGGAGTGGGTTCGATTCAAAGAGAAAATTAGCGATTCCGAGGCGCAACGCTGGGCGGAAGCCGGCAAAAAGTATTGTCTAGCTTTTTATAGAAGATTGTGTCTTGATCCCCTGGTTTTAAGCAGGCCTTTCAACCCGGAAAATGTGGTGGTACTGATAAAACTAAAAAAAATGAATCGGCCCCTCACCTTGATGAAGTACAGCGTCTTCGAGGCGCACACGACGTAGAGCGGGATCTCGAGGTTAGGGTGGACCGAGAGAAGAGCACGAAGTGTCAATTCTGGTCCAGAGAGAAGTAGACACACTAGGGTGACGACCATAAAACGACGCATCGTGGCTAGGCGCTTCTGAAATTCAGAAGTTAGAATATTGAAGACCCAGTTCTTCTAAAAGTTTTGTGAAAAAAGAAGACAAACCTTCTCGGTCTCCTCATCGGGTCGGTTCATGACGATGAGCAGCATCGGGTCAGATGGCCGACGAGCATCACGACAGCAGAGGACACGAATGTCCATCAGAAGGATCAGGATTGAGGGCACCATGCACGAGGCGAAGACGTCGACGAGGGAGTAGAGACGGGAGAGACCCTAAAAAGATTTGTTAAAGGGGTATGTCAGCTGGAATCGAATAAAACCGGCTTCTAGAATTTTCCCTTACATCATCAATCATCTTGCATCCGCGCTCGTTGTCGGCGTCGACGGAGAAGAAGACGTGCAAATTCAGGATTATCGACATTCCACCAACAACAAGAAGTAGAGGGAATGGGGATCGCCATACCGTAGAATACCTAAATTGAAAATTCGTTAAAAATTACAGGTTAAAAACTTTGGCTTAGCTGTAGCTGAAGCTAAGCTAAATCTTGCGTATACCCAACATAAGCTCATCCTTACCGTAGTGGATCTCGGGCCGCGTGGTACCGCAACGCGCTCATGCACAACCAGCAGTACATCGACATCGTATACGACAAGTGGGAAGACATGATCACCATCTAAAAATCGGCATCATTAATGCGCACATTGAAGCTTTTTAAATTTAATTTCTCATCTGATGACTTCTGAACGCCCCGTCAACCCGGACTAATCCCCCAGATATCAACTCGCCCCCACACGCCATTTCGGCTCTTCCTTTTTTGTGTGTATCTTGGCGTGGGCTCTTGGCTGTTGAATATTTTACTGACCTTGCACATGCCGCTGAGGAGGGGGGCCTGGAGGTAGCGAGGCATCGCCTGGAGGAACAGCTGGGAGAAGAGGAGGAACAGGGAGATGCAATCGGTGAACGCCATCACGTGCAGGTAGACGCCCGTGCCGAGGAGCCACTGGAAGATGGGATATAGTTTAATAAAATATACTATAACCGCAGTCGGCTTAGGCTTAGGCTTAAGCTTAGGCCTAGGCTACTTTTTAAACAGCTATACCCTCATTTTTAACGTGTAAGTTTGCATTCCTCACCTGCTCCCTATCTTTCCTGGCCAGCTTGCTGAGCCGGCCGATCACGTAGAGGTTCAACAGGATCCCGACGCTGATTATGCATGCAAAAATCCACAGCACCGCCGACATGGGCGAATCTCCGGCCACCGCTTCCACTTCCAACGGCATATCTGGGGTCATCTTGGCTGAAATTTTGCCACTTATAAACAGACAAGCCATGGTTTTGCAGTAATAAAGTTTTCATGGGCGGGAAATTAGCCGGGCTATATAAAAAAGCGGTCACGATATAGGGAGACTACGCGTTTTTAGGCAAATGAGGAGGGGAAGTGTTTTTGAGTGTTTTGGGAGCCGGGCTCCTCGAGGTTGGCTATTTAATTTGCTCCGGAAATAGAGCGATTTAGGTGGCTGAGAAAAAAGTAGAAAAATCGTCTAAAAATTCCAAAATTTCGGAAAACTATGAGAAATTTCGAGAAATATACCATGCACCAGAAATAGGAGCTGGAAAAACCTATAAAAATCTCGGAACATTTTTATCGAAGTTGTGAGAAACTGAGAATTGATGGAGCGTGAGAATTGAGAATGAAAATATTCTAAAAAGGGCTCTAAATCTTAATGAAGACTGATTCAAAGTAGATGAAAAATAGAGGAAAGCAAGAAATGCTGAATTTAAAGGGGCTGTGACAGTAGAAACTGCTAAGAAAAAGCGGTGTTCCTTAAAATCTGGAAAAACAATCGAAAAACGGAAATTTTTGGGTGTCGCAGCCCACTTAAAACCGCTAAAAATGAACATATATATGAAATAAAAATAACAAGTGGGTTCCACCTAAAGGACCGCTAAAGCCAAACCCACAAGCGCTAGCTTCTAAACCAGTGAACTCCTCGAGAAAACTGCTAGATGGCCATCCCCCCCCCCAAGCCATTCAGAATGTGGGCCCCCTCCTCTAGAAGCGGCGATTCGGAAGGGCCGGATTAGAAGCCCCCGGTTCCCTCACAAAAAGAAGGCGATCTCCCGTGGAGCGTCTCCTCCTCCCCGCTTGGGCCACACCCCTTTCCCCCATCGTCTCCAGCAAGTCGGCCGAGAATCTCCACAAAATATGAAGAGAGGCAAGAATCGAGGGGATAATGGGAATAATTGGGCGCCGCCCCGAGAATGGCGGGATTTCCCCGGGATCAAGTTGCGTTGTATGCCTACACTTTTTTGTATTACTGGACTCGGGGCCGGGGCGGCTGCTGCCCACCCCGAGCAAATTGGGTTCAATCCGAAAAAATTGGAGATCAAGTGAATATTATGGTAAATTGTCTGGTTTGTGAATCGACCGGAGGGAGCGGGAAAAAGATGGTCGAGATTTGTTCCGGATGAAAATCTCGGAATTTTAGAATCGTAGGGAAAAGTAAGATGAACACAGAGGGATATAGAGAGGGAGAGACAGAGGGAGAGAGAGAGAGAGGGAGAGAGAGAGAAATCGAATGATTTGCGAAGAGAGACAAGTGGTGGATGATAAAAAAGAAAGAAAGGGTGCGAGAAAAAGCTTTTATCTATTAGAGGATTGTCACCCCGCCTTCAAAGGTGTTGTGAAACGTTGAAATTCGCCAAACACGGTATACCATCGCAACAGCATCACAGCTAACATTGATATCGTCGTGTGCTGCTTGTACGTCGTCTGCTGGCATACCTCGTAGCTATTCGAGAAAAATGGCGGTGTTCGCGGGTACGAACGTCTTTAAATCGCGTTTCTTTGCCCTTTCCTCTACCCGCCAAGACAAATAGGCTCCAAATTAAAGCGACATCGCCTTGGCAGGCGGCCCAGACGGAGGAGAGGGCTTTGAAAATATTTTTAACGAGTCATGGACCGGAAAACCGGCTATCAGAACTATAATTTTGTAGTAATAGACCAGCTTAGTAGTTTGATACCGTAAATGGCGCCCTGCCAGGTCCTACTAGCTACAACTCCCCGTGTGCTTTGGACTGTTACGTCAAAAGCAAAAGACTATTAGGTAAAACTGGCAAACGCTCTGTGAACTCTTACCGCAAAATCTATGCTTTCAAGCCGGAAATCCCGGTTTTCTAGTGTGTTACTACGGTATCTGGACGGCACGGGGAAAATACACTGGCTAATGGCATTCCGGGAATGAAGAAAGTCCATTCTGTCGTCGGGTTTTTCGAAGTTGTGTCCCCGTGGCTATGGAAAATATTTGCTGGAATATTGATGAAGATGACCGCCTGCCTCTCTTGGCCGTCCCGTTTTCATCAATTTATTAGCTGGCGGGGGGCACAGCATGGAGGAGGGGAAAGGGCAACTTATAGAATGGGGGAAGGGTATTTTTGGGTTCGGGGTGGGGAAAGATAAGAAAAAAGAGTGTAGGAGAACGTACTTAAGCTACCTAAGTCTGAACCTAACCTCAGCCTAAGCCTAAGCCTAACAAGCATCAAGAGTTAAAGGATTCGCCCAAGCTTCAAAACTGAAACCTACGCGTCAAGTAATGAAAACGAAGTTGCGCTCCCCAGCTCTTATATGCGCAATTCAAAAACCGTGACCACAAAGAGCCGGGGCCTGAAAATACAGAGATTAGCGACCATGGTCGGCCAGACATGATGCTGACTATTTGAGGGTTGGCCATTGGCAAACCGACGGTCAACCCTCGGCTTTTCTGGAAATAAGCGCTTCGTGACGACCAATGGAAAAGCCGGGGACTCAGCCGCTCGCGGAGCAAAAATGGATTTGCTTTCTCTATTTTTACGCTTCGCCTTGGGCTTACCAAACCTAGAAGCTGATGACGGGGATGGATGTGGCAAATAAGTACGACTTTAAAGGGACTATTGGGTTGGATTTTTATGAGTATTTTCGGGAATTGATTTTGCTGTTCCTATATACCATTAGAAGATTTCTTCTCTCGGCTTTAACGCTTATTTTTAGGCTTATTTCGTGGTTTCGGGAGGTATGGGACCCTGGGCTCGACGACGCATGTCCTTATTATATTTTTTTGTACTTACCCGTACGCTTGCTGATTACAGTTTTGGTTTTCTCGCTCCGGGCTTTTCGCAAGGAGTGGTCGTTGGTTGTGTTTGTTAGTATCTCTGTTTTCTGCGTTGTTTTTCTTTTGGGCGTCGAGAGAGGTTGGGTGTGATTTTTTTGGCGTTAGGTGAGGAGGGGTTTTTATTTGTCTTTTCTGAGCTATTTATATATATGGGGAGGTAACTCTTTCGAACAATATCAACTGTATAATTAGCGGTGCTCGCGCTGGGAGTTTTCATTTATATTCGAGTGTTAAGTATTGCAGTGTCTGGGCTCTTTGTGTATATAACACTTCTGATCTACGTAAGCTTTGGTGAAAGGGAATATTCGACAACCTTCTTTGACTAGGTATCGACCATCGAAACATGTATTGGCCTGTCGAGTAAATGTCGATACACGGCCCCCTTAATCGGTTCATTTCAACTTTTTGTCAACCTTTTAGGGGTGTGCAAGTGAGGAGATAAGCCACCTGAATATTAACAAAACACTCCCTTTTCATCCGTATAAATTGCCCAAACGTCTTTGCTAGCCTGCCATATTTTATGAGAAATGCCAATTTACAAAAACTGTCATCCATGAGTGTTTTCGTTAATTGTATCTTGTTTTTATCTTTTGCTACCCCAGGTTCATAGACCAACGCTCTCGCTTCTTTGCTAATTCGCCGCCTTATTAGCCCTCAAGATTGCAATCTATGTTTTGGCAAGTTTTGAAGCGGAACGACCACGTGCCAGTGGTGAAAACAAGTCAATCAGGTTGTCCAGTCTGAACCGCGAAACTTCATAGAGAAACTAAACAGGCTTGGGGGTTAGGCTCAGGTTTCGGTTTGATTAGGCTTAGGCTTGGCTTAGGCTTTGGCTTTGGCTTAGGCTTAGAATTCGGTTTAGGCTTGGTATTAGGCTTACAATTAGGCTTAGTTCGGGGCCTTTTCCGCCACCAATTTTCTCAAAATCTTAAAAACACTACTTTGCATGAATGGCGAATTTTGTGCTTTGCCGATCCCAGATTAATAATGGCCACCAAAATAGCCGCCTGAGCGTTCCCCGGGGCTCGACAACTTTCCCAAAACCCTGAAAAATTCAAAGAAATGACCGCTACGTAGCCATACTATAAATTCACGCCTTTCAGCAATGAGTCCAAAATAGGCAAGGCGGCCGCAAAATTAATCGCAAAATGGGGGATCGCATCGAGTATTCATTGAAAAACATGGAACGCTGATTGCAAGATGGAGTACGTTGCTGTCCGGTTGAGCAACTTTGCGGCAAAGTCGTTCGGGCGGAAAATAGGGAACATAATGGGAATCTCTATAATTCTCCGAAAGAAAGAAAACTTCCAGGAACCTGTAGATGAGCTCATTACTGTTCCTCATTGTCCGGTGTTATAGAAAAAGGAAGAATAGAAGGTAGTAATGAAAAGAATCGGCTTCGTAATGGGGATGTCCAGACAGGAATCTATTATATCTTAGCCCGTATTAATAAAAAGAGAGATAATTATACACATCCCAGTCAATTAGGGAAAACACCAAAATTCCGAAAGCAAAAATCGCGAAAGCCAAGATCCGGACATGCAAAAACCCGACAGCCAAAATACCGATAGACAAAATCCAAGCAAACAAAATACCGACAAACCAAGTACCGACAGCCAGAATCCCGAAATGCAAAATAGCTGTATTGAAGGAACCAGCTTGAGGATTAGCGTCAAGAATATGTCGCTATTTTCGCTGTCAAGATTTTTGCCTGTCGGGATTTCGTGTTTCGAGATTATGCCCGATGAATTATGAGTATGTCCATTAATATGAAAATTCTATAAACTTCGTTTTCAGTTTGGGTGAAGCGGAAACTGAAAAAAAGTTTCACGAAAATTAAGCCTTTCGGGAATACCCTTGATGCCAATTTGAGATTCTCCAAAAAAGGCTGTGAAGCGGAAAGTCTAGGTTCTGGTCGAAGTACGAATGTGAGGGCTTTTAATTAGCATAAATCAAGAGACTAAAAAAATCCCGAAGTCCAGGCTCAAAAGTACGGATCGCCAGATCCTTGTGTTTACTATCACTTTCCTTAAGTCGAAAGGAAAATTCGCTGTTTTAAAGCAATAACTTTGGTAAGAAAATAATACGTGCAAAATGCGGGTGCGAGGCCGAAGTGCAGATTAAAATGAGAACGTTGTTTTTCG